AGGTCCAAAATCACAATCAATACTCTCCATTATTTGCATAGAAGTGTCAATTAAAACGAACTTGAATTATATTTGATACCTGTAACAGTTGTAAATATTTGAATGATTAATATATAAAGTTTATTTTTCAACAATTTTATTAAGTTTCCTGTGTTGATCTTTTCTCAAGGTAATCGGCTTAACCGAACAATTGCAATAAAATACAATATTAGTCATTATTTATCATTACATAAATTACATATTGGTTCAATCAATGTTTGGTATAACTATTTCGTTATTACAGAATCATTGACATATTTAATAGAATTTCAATAAAGAGTACATTTTGCATTCAGAGTATTGGTTCACATTTTATTGCATTTTAAGAGGTGTTACATTATAAGATCATTGAAAGTACTTACAGGAGGACATATCAGACCTATCACAGTCCATAAATCGGATTTCTGGGGTATTTAATTACAAGGCCCACACTTAACATCTTTAATTCCACTGCGCACTGCTCTGTAATTGTATGTCCTCAGTAGTCTGATTAAATTCATTAAAACCCCACCAGGGGGCAACTTTTTGTTATATTCACACCTGTATGGAATATCTAAATTGTATTACATAGAGGTGTGAGGTGATTTTATACTTGATGGAATGATCAATTAAGTAAGGAAATAAAGTAGTAATATTTCCTTACAAAAGAAATAAGTAAAGAATCTTTTTATTTTTCTTTGCATCTTGTAGTCTTGTTAGTGACTAAGGCTGTCATATTCCTTAGACACAGCTGTTAATTACTGGCCCATACAGCTAATGGCAAATAAGAGGTCCGTGAAGTTGGCGTACCCATATTAGCGTATCCACTTTTGATCATACCAATCGTTAGTTCATCGTTAGTTCTCGATAGTTCCCAACTTTTTTCGTTAGTTCTCAAAAAATAAAAAAGTTATAGCCGATTATAAGTGGGTACGCTAACTTCACACTTCCGGGTTCTAAAACGCGCCGTTTTCTGAGGAGAAATGTTTACATCTATATATCAATCGTTAGTTCTTCGTTAGTCCTCGATAGTTCCCAAATTTTTTCGTTAGTTCTCAAAAAATAAAAAAGTTATGAGGCATACAAAGTGGGTACGCTAACTTCACAATTGTACAATTTCCAGCGGGAACAGTTTTTTTTACTATAAATGCCTATATCTATATACCAATCGTTAGTTCTTCGTTAGTTCTCGATAGTTCTCCAATATTTACGTTAGTTCTCAAAAAATAAAAAAGTTACGAGGCATACAAAGTGGGTACGCTAACTTCACAACTATACAATTTCCAGCGGGTACCGTTTTCTGACTATAAATGCTTATATCTATACACCAATCGTTAGTTCTTCGTTAGTTCTCGATAGTTCTCCAATATTTACGTTAGTTCTCAAAAAATAAAAAGTTACGAAGCATAAAAAGTGGGTACGCCAACTTCACAATTATAGAATTTCCAGCGGGCACAGTTCTTTTACTATAAATGCCTATATCTATGTACCAACCGTTAGTTCTTCGTTAGTTCTCGATAGTTCTCCAATATTTACGTTAGTTCTCAAAAAATAAAAAAGTTACGAAGCATAAAAAGTGGGTACGCCAACTTCACAATTATAGAATTTCCAGCGGGCACAGTTTTTTTTACTATAAATGCCTATATCTATATACCAATCGTTAGTTCTTCGTTAGTTCTCGATAGTTCTCCAATATTTACGTTAGTTCTCAAAAAATAAAAAAGTTAAGAGGCATACAAAGTGGGTACACCAACTTCACAATTATAGAATTTCCAGCGGGCACAGTTTTTTTACTATAAATACCTATATCTATATACCAATCGTTAGTTCTTCGTTAGTTCTAGATAGTTCTCCAATATTTACGTTAGTTCTCAAAAAATAAAAAAGTTAGAGGCATACAAAGTGGGTACGCCAACTTCACAATTATAGAATTTCCAGCGGGCACAGTTTTTTTACTATAAATACCTATATCTATATACTAAGCGTTAGTTCTTCGTTAGTTCTCGATAGTTCTCCAATATTTACGTTAGTTCTCAAAAAATAAAAAAGTTAAGAGGCATACAAAGTGGGTACGCTAACTTCACAACTATACAATTTCCAGCGGGCACCGTTTTCTGACTATTAATGCTTATATATATACACCAATCGGTAGTTCTTCGTTAGTTCTCCAATATTTACGTTAGTTCTCAAAATATAAAAAAGTTACGAAGCATAAAAAGTGGGTACGCCAACTTCACAATTATAGAATTTCCAGCGGGCACAGTTTTTTTTACTATAAATGCCTATATATATATACCAATCGTTAGTTCTTCGTTAGTTCTCGATAGTTCTCCAATATTTACGTTAGTTCTCAAAAAATAAAAAAGTTACGAGGCATACAAAGTGGGTACGCTAACTTCACAATTATACAATTTCCAGCGGGCACAGTTTTTTTACTATAAATGCCTATATCTATATACCAATCGTTAGTTCTTCGTTAGTTCTCGATAGTTCTCCAATATTTACGTTAGTTCTCAAAAATTAAAAAGTTACAAGGCATAGAAAGTGGTTATGCCAACTTCATAATTATAGAATTGCGAATCGCGAGTAGTATGACAGCAAATGCTCGTGTTTTCCGTTCATTGCCGGTATTTTTGCACATATCAAAGTGAACGTATATTTTTGCCATTCCCGTAACGAACATCTGCTGGGCAAACAACACACGTGTGTACACGTTTTACTCGTTAATCGGCAAATAACAAGACATTTAGATCGCCGAAGGGCAAATATGTCGTGCTTTGGGAGTGGCGCATGTCTGGAGACAGCTTATTTTGTTGACGGAAGAACTTCAAATGGCGTTTGACATGGCTTAGGAAAAGTTGAAAATCTGAAAATCACTCTTATCTAGCAAAAATATCGGCAATGAACGGAAAACACGAGCACGAGCATTTGCTGTCATACCTACTACTCGCGATTTGGCGAGTTGCTGTTGTGTACTTGGCGTGGGTACAGTCTGGAGCCGGCTATAGGCATGGAACCTGAATAAAACCCCCTTTTTGCAAATCATTAAACTAAATTTTAATTAATTATTTTATTATAACTAATTTAACATGAGATAAAAATATTTATTCTCGGTATATATTAATAATTTAACACAACATTTAATTTTGAACGTATTTATAAACTGTTTGAGAACGATGCTGTGAATGTTTGAAAGAATAGTTGAGTGTAAGGTTTTGAGAACTATCGAGAACTAACGAAGAACTAACGATTGGTGTATAGATATAAGCATTTATAGTCAGAAAACGGTGCCCGCTGGAAATTGTATAGTTGTGAAGTTAGTGTACCCACTTTGTATGCCTCGTAACTTTTTAATTTTTTGAGAACTAACAAAAAAATTTGGGAACTATCGAGAACTAACGAAGAACTAACGATTGGTATATAGATATAGGTATTTATAGTAAAAAAAACTGTGCCCGCTGGAAATTCTATAATTGTGAAGTTGGCGTACCCACTTTGTATGCCTCTTAACTTTTTTATTTTTCGAGAACTAACGTAAATATTGGAGAACTATCGAGAACTAACGAAGAACTAACGATTGGTATATAGATATAGGCATTTATAGTAAAAAAACTGTGCCCGCTTGAAATTCTATAATTGTGAAGTTGGCGTACCCACTTTTTATGCTTCGTAATCTTTTTTATTTTTTGAGAACTAACGTAAATATTGGAGAACTATCGAGAACTAACGAAGAACTAACAATTGGTATATAGATATAGGCATTTATAGTAAAAAAAACTGTTCCCGCTGGTAATTGTACAATTGTGAAGTTAGCGTACCCACTTTGTATGCCTCATAACTTTTTTATTTTTTGAGAACTAACGAAAAAATTTGGGAACTATTGAGGACTAACGAAGAACTAACGATTGATATATAGATGTAAACATTTCTCCTCAGAAAACGGCGCGTGCTAGAACCCGGTAGGGTGAAGTTAGCGTACCCACTTATAATCGGCTATAACTTTTTTATTTTTTGAGAACTAACGAAAAAAATTGGGAACTATCGAGAACTAACGATGAACTAACGATTGGTATGATCAAAAGTGGATACGCTAATATGGGTACGCTAACTTCACGGACCTGCAAATAAGGGACCTACAGTTTATAGTGAAATCCAAACCACATGTTTGCCTTGTTTACTCTATAGTCTGTGGTATTACCAAAAAAATTAGAATGTTAGCGTCAGCTGCTAGGCGTTTTAAAAAGTAATTTCTAAAAACCTTAAACCATAAACTAAAAATATGTCTTCGACATTCCCTAGTTCTCAAAATTATCTTTCTTAAGAAAAACCCATGAAAATCCGCCAAGTAGTTGATTCAAGATCGTGAAATAAAAAAAACCCTTTCACGTTTTAATATATATGATGATGATGCTGATAAAAATAAAACTTAGTAAAAATTCGACTAAATTCAATTCTGCTCTTGAACTAAATTAATAAAGTTCTAAACTAAAAAATAACCAAAAGTAAAACACAAATAACTACAAAAAATTCAACTTAAAGTACTTTTGGTGCACCCGACGGCCGACAGACGACTGGTGCCGGTTGTATGTGAACAGTCACAGTATTGGGCTGCTGAACGGTCCCATAATCGGCAATGGGGTGAAGACGATTAACGACAGCCGGATATGTGAAACAAGCCTGAAGACCGTTTATGTACAGTATTGCCACTGCACTGCCCGGTGCCCGCACCGCACTGCAACGGCGTTGGCAACCCTGTCGCAGCTGAGGTGGTCGCAGCCAATAGAATGCTCTCATTTTGTCCGTATAAAAAAACCATAGCTGAAATAAAAATTGTGCGTTAGGGAAGGACTAGACAGACTAGAGTAGGCCGGCCAGGCCGACTAGACTAGGGAGGGAGTAGGTACAAACAAGAATAAGATTGGCGTTGGCAATAATGGCAATTAGGCAGGCATCCCTGTTCAGTTCAGTTTTCGTTTTCATATTTTATTTTGTATTTAGATTAGATAGGATGTGAGTGAGATGTCTGCTACTGCTTGTATTTGTATTTATTAATAAAGTTGGTATCGTTGGTGTAGTGACTGGACTGTTTTTATTTGTGGTTTTTATTATTCAGTGTTTCGGTTTAGGTTGACTTGGTTTTCTCCAAAAGTACTAGACCTAGGCCTAGCCCTCTTTTAATTGTCAGTTTTTTAATCGTCTATTTTTCCTAATGGCCCACAGAAATTGGGTTGATGGTAGTTCTCTTGCCAACAAGGGTAGAACTGAAACCATCATTACTAACCAGAAGAAACATGAGCAAATGAGTTACCAGCAACAATTAATAGAACAGAAAAAGCAAGAAATTCAAAAACGCATTGAAGAGAAAAAAAGAAAAGAAACAGAAGATGCTCTCAAAAAACTTAATGAAGATAAAATTAAAGCAGCAGAATCATCAAGATCAAAGAGAAGTTATTACAGCTATTCCAAGAGGTAAGCTTAGGCTAACTTACACTTTATTTTATTTCTTAGGCCTATTCTTATGCTTAGTAGGCTAATACGTTAGGTAGCCTATGGGCCATGGCTTACTTTAGCCTACCTAGGCCTAGGCCTATGTTATTTATTGTTATCAAAGAGGATACGCGTCCGGTAACAGGACGTGGATTAGACGTCCGCCAGTGACGTTAGGCTACCGGGTTGTGGGGGCCTGGAGCGCCATTACCACAACGATACGATGTAGGCTACAGCCATCGGTGTTTACCTAAGCACCCTAACTGACCCTAAGGACCCTAACTGAGGCCTAGTTCAAAATCAAAACCTCTACCACAAATTAGAAACAAAACTGCATAGGTAACTTAGGTAAATATGCATTTTAGGGTGTTGTTGTGGATAGAGTGCTCGGCTGATATGCAAGAGGATCTTGGTTCGAATCCCATTGGTAACTTTAACCTTTTGTCAAAGATTTTGCCTTGAATGCCATTTCTTCTTAACTGTACATCTTTTGTTAGAATTGGCATTTAAGTTTGGGTAGGCTAGGCCTAACTAATAGTTTTATTTTATGAACAGAATTTAACCTTCATTCGATTTTTTCATTTTCAGTAAGGGCTGCACTTTACTTGACGTCCTACACTCATTCGATTGTTTTTTTCGATTCGATATTTTCATTCGATTGTTTCATTCGATATATCGTTTGGTTAGTTAGGTTAGGTTAACCTTACCTAACTAACCAAACGATATATCGAATGAAGCAATCGATTAATCGATATATCGATCGATATTTTCATTCGAATGAGTGTAGGACGTCAAGTAAAGTGCAGCCTCAGTAAGTTTGGTTAGGTTAGGTTATGACAGTATTCTTAACTGCCGGACGCCTGATCCACGTCCGGTCCGGACCCGTATCCTCTGCGTATTTTAATTGACGAAATGAAGCTAGACCTATCTTAAGTTAGACCTTCCTAAGTTAGGCCTAAGTAGGCTACTGTACGTCAAATGTAAAATTAAGTTACTTAGTTTTTAGAGAAAATAAACTTAGGCCTACCATACATTTTAATTTAGGCCTTCGGACCCTAACTGAGGCCTAGTTCAAAATCAAAACCTCTACCACAAATTAGAAACAAAACTGCATAGGTAACTTAGGTAAATATGCATTTTAGGGTTTGCACGTGAATTTTTAAAAACAATTTTCATTCAAGTTACTCGAAATTCAACCCTGATTTCAAATTTAACTTAGGCTAGGCTACATTATTTTTCTGCGGAAAACGACCATATCGCGTAAAAAGGTCCAAAAATGTTTTTTTAGGCTACCAAAACAAAATTAATTTTAATTGTCTTAATCATTTTTAGCTGCCATTTTGTTATTAATGGTCCGATTTCTATTTTCTCCATGTTAATTGTTATATTTCGTCCAGACCTGTAAAATGATAGGTAGGCTAGGCCTACCGTACCAAACTCGACTATACTTGCTATTTTAAAATTTTGAGCTACGGTACCGGTGTACCCCTTACCAGTACCCTCCTTAGGCTACTGTACCTTATTTTGTGCTAAGGGCAACATTTTTAAATCTGACCATAAATAAGTTAGGCCTAATTTTTGTAGGTGCCTTGTGTTCATAATTTGCGAACTGGCATTTGTTGCCGCCATCGTTACGACGTAGGGCCTAAACAAAGATTTTCTATGGGGTAGTAGGAAAACGAACGCATTTCGCCAAGCATGTAGGTACCTTCAAATCCAAAAAGGTTGCCGCAGACCGATTTCAAATAACTTATCTCAAATAGGCCTAAAAAGTTGAAGGGTTAATTTTCAGCCACCCTCATGGTTATTTGGATTTGAAACGTTTTATGGCGCCATTTTGTTACTGGTATTAGTGGACCGATTTTTTCTTTATGTCAATTTTTATGTTTTGTCAAGACCTGTAAAATGATACCAAACTCGACTATAGCCTAACTTACTTGTCATTTGAATATTTTGAGCTAGGTACCCCCTACCCACACTACCCCTAAGGGCAAAATTTTCAAAATTGACCATAATTATTGTAGCCCCTCATAGGAAGAAGGTTGCCGCAAACAGATTTCAAATATCTCAAATGGTTGAAAAGTTAAGGGGATGGTAAGTTACTTTTCAGCCACCCTGTATTTTGAAACTAGAGTCACGAAATAGTGCAGACTAGAAGGGATTGCTTGCCACTCCCAGGCTGCCTTCTACAAAAATCGCTGGGCAAAATATCCACAATACCTTAGTTTTACCACCAGCACAAAATGTTTTTGCGACGAAGTAATCTTATAGGTAGGCTACCTAATTCATTTTGATAGCCCCAGGATTGTGTTTTTTGACTAAATAGGCCTAATAGTTAAACGCATCTTGTCAGACAATCCTTAACATGTCACATGGTAGTGTCGAATTTTACTTCATATGTTTTGGCAGTTCTTTAAATTCACCATCCTCAGGTCAGGCTTACAAAAGGGTCCACTTCTGGAGGTGTCGTCAGAATAAGTTACAAACATTTAACACAAAAACTCGTAACAATTACAGATCACAGAGATTTACAGAAGTATTATCAATTCACGTGTGTACATTGGTTCGGGCAGGACTGGGAATAGATTGATTCAGGTTTTGACGGACCAACGGGTACTCTGGATTGTTGCCTGCGTTGTCAACAGCTGTTATTGGACTATTTTAGTAACGGTGGAGAGTGTTGAAAATATAATGGGATTCAATTGAGTTTTTAATTCAAAACTATTTACAATAACCATGATGCTGGATATAAATTATAGTCTCGACATTCTACATTACTGCGGGAAAGGAAATTTATTAAATAGGCTACTTTGGAAGAGTTGAAAATATATAAATACATAAAAACTAGGGACAACACATAATTTTAAATGAAAAAAAAAACTCAATTATAATTACCATTATATTTTAAACTCTCTTCTCTGTCACTACAATAGTCCAATTTCAGCTGTTGATAATGCAGACGACAATCCAGAGTCAACGTCGGTCTGTGATAACCTCCTGATTCAGTTTGCTTCCAGTCCTGTCCGCGGCAATGTAAACGTGTGAATTGATAGGCCTATCTGTAACCGTTATAAGTTTTGTGTTAAATGTTAATAACATATTCTGACGAGACCTCCAGAATGGGAATTGGCCCTTTTGTAAGCCTGACGATAAAGAACCACCAAAACATGTAGCAAATTTGACACTACCGTACATGTCGAGGATTGTCTGACAAGGTGCGCTTTACAATTATTGTTAGAAATAATCTTCTTAATTATGAATAGCAAAATGTTATTGGTGTTAATAGTGAAAAATTCCCCCCCCCCAATAATTTGTGCCACTGTCCCCCCTCTGGGCACCCCTGTACACCAGGAACTAATTTTGGTCAATACAAAATGCATAGTGTGATACCAAAATGGTCGCGAGATTAAGGACTTTCACACACTCGCCAGTATCAAAGTCATAGGTGGACACCAGGAAATGGTGGTTATACAAAAGGGGCGTAAAATGAAAAACCACTTATGTTAAAATCTAGGCTATTGCTGGCCGTTTAGCTATAGCCTAGCCTAAAACTTTTCTTGGTTGGTTGGTTCATTTTAAAGATGACTGAAATTTTCCAGGCGAGAACGGCCTCCTGAAACTGTAGCTCCTACGCTCCCAGCAAATATATTTAAAAATGATGGAAGTTTTTTTGAACAATTCCAAAAACTGTCTGGTATCAAAGGTAAGTCCGAACTTTTAAACTCTTCAGCCCAATGGGCTTATAACTCTCATTAGATAGAAACTCTTTGACCTAGTATTGTTCCATATATTACAATTTTTTAAGTGCTTGAATAAAGATTCAGGCAAATTCATGAGTTATTGGAGTCCCTAACAATCAATTTTTCTGTAGTTTTATTTTCTAGCACATTACTGAGGGCTTACCTACCTGCTCTAATAACAATTCAGACAAAAGCTTGATCCTAATGTAAATTCAATTCCACAAAATACAACATATTTCAAAATTAAAACAGGGCTGTAGGCCTATAGTAGAACAAAGTTAATGAAAACATATTTCAAGGTAAGAAATATAGCCTAAGTCTTATGCCTACGTAAACAGTAGCTTTGCCCTATGTAAAATAAAAATTGGGTATGGCTAAAAGAAATTGTTTTAATAATCTTTAAAATATTTTTAAAATAACCTTAACTCAGTCATGAAACATGATACTAAATTCAAGTTAACACTAATGCCCATATACAATTTTACTTCCAATTAGTTGTTGGTGTTACCCTATACATTTATTTAGTAGCCAACTTAAAAGCTAATTAGTTTAAGCGCAAGTTAATTTTATTTTTTCCTAACAAGGAATAAAATAGGCTAGGTTACATCAAAATGTATGTGTGCCATTCTAAGATTATTCTTAGCCAGAATAAGATTATTCTTAGCCAGAATAAGATTATTCTTAAATCTTATTCTTATGTCATTAAATTAATAAATCATTTTTGTACAACATAATCGTTTAACTAAATAAGTTAAGTATTTATTTTTGTATGTTATATTTCAGTGGAAGTAAAAAAGAAAAGTCCAGAAACTAAAAACAGTTCCAATAGTGTAAATGATGGAAATGATGAGAAAAAAGAGGAGCCTAAAGGTAAGCCATTGATATTTGTATCGTTGTTCTATGTTATTAGCCTATTTCAAGAGAACTCATTAATAACTACTTTGTTATGGAAGTCCTTTCAGACTTAGGTATTACACATGAGCTTTCATTTATAAATTTAGCTATGATACTGGAACTTAAATTTGAGAAATGGTATTGTTTGCCGTTCCTTTAATTCTCTCCCTCCCAATGACAATTTGTTCTCTAGTACTACAACATCTCGTAGGCCAGTAGTTCAACACACAAAAGAATCAGCTAAGAAAGGTTCTTTTTAAAGCTGAAGTCAAAATATGATCTCTAAAGTGAAGGTCTCAGATCGCTGCAACTCAGTATAACTTAAGCCCTGAGTGTAAAAAAGGAAAAATATACCTAGATTTAAAGCATAATGAAAAATAAAAAAACTAGTCTGTTACAAAATTACCGTTCCAATCTCCCACATCACAGACTTATAGTTGCAAAAACTAAGGCTTTACATTTATAGTACTAAAGGAAATTTGCATATTTTCAAAGCTGGTAGCTTAACAGATTTGGTTTTTGATTGTTGCAATATCACACTGGAGTTAAGTTTATAAATATGATTACACAAGTATTTTTTTTGTTCTTCATAGATTCTGAAAATCAAATCAGCGAGGACCAAGAAAAAAAGAAAGAGAGACGTTGGTCCAGCCCAGATAGGAGTTCAAGTGTTAATGTTATGCAACCACAACCTACAATACCTCAGCAGACGACTTTGCCACAGCAGACGACATTGCCACAGGAGTCGACATTGACACAGCAGACGATACTACCTCAGCAGACGACATTACCTCTGCAGACGACAATGCCGCAGCTGACAACAATGTCTCAGCAACCTGCAATGCCACAGCTAACGACTATGCCTCAGCAGCTAATGATGTCTCATCAACCTCCAATGCCTCAGCCCACCATGCCTCAACAAGTGTCACAACATCAGCCTATGCCCATGATGTTCCAGACACCCATGTTCAACCCACCACCTCAGTTTAACCCCATGCATATGATGCTACCCCCTCCTATGGCTCCATCATCTATACCACCTCCTGCGCCCCTAAACCCTGGGTCTATACCCTCTCCGTCCCCGCTACAGCCTTACGCTATACCTCCGCCGTCCCCACTCATGCCACATTCTATCCCCCCACCGTCTCCGATGGTGCCACACTCCATTCCTCCGCCCTCCCCTCTTACCCCTCACTCGATTCCTCCCCCGATGCCTCTTCGGCCGCAGAACATCCCTCCCCCGATACAACGACCCCCGGCGTTTCTTACTGTCCCACCGCCCCCGCCACCACCACCACCTCCAGAGGAAGAGAAACCCAAGGATAAATCACCTGAGGTGGATGAAGACACTGTCGATCGTAAAGTCAACAATCTTTTTAAAAATGAAGCTTATTCTTCGGACGAGGAAGAGAGGAGTGAGAAGAAAAGTTACTGCCCCACTAGTGACAGACACTCAGATTCCGACTCGGAATATGACATAAAATCTGGCTCCTACTCTAACAAGGAATCGGATGCTGAAATGTACAACAGGGTGGACTCGATGTCTGGATTGGACTCGGAGAGACAAGAGTCGCAGCCGGCTGCTGAAGACACTTCTCGCGGGGATAGAAGCTATATCATCATTGAAGATACTCAGACCCAGTTTCCCCCCGAAAATAACAGAGAGCCAGGTCAGCCACAGTATGTAGTGGATTAAGCTATGATTAAAATTTTAAATATTACACTACTTAGTTGCAGGCCTATTCAATGCCTTGCCAGCACCAGCATTTAAAATCTTGTTACACAACAATAGCTTAAAAGTGTAAAATGCATAAGTCAGAATCTTAATGAACTGAATTACTTTAGCTTGATGCAGTTGTTTGGTGACCATATTGTTTTATACCAATAGTAAGGCTACTATTGGTGGCCTGTGAACAACTGTGAATGGTTTCGTAGATTGGATGGAAATAATATCCAAGTTTGGTTGAATATTAACTCTTTGAGCTCCAGGGACTTTTCGGTTGAATATGAACTCTTGAGCTCCAGGGACTTTTCAATTATTTAACAATGTAGCCTATATTTTTATCAATTTTCTCTCATATTATGAAGACAAAACATAGTTAAAAATGGTTTTTTGGCTGACCATACACAATAAAGTTAATCAAAAACATGTCTCTTTCAAATAATTCACTCATTCCATCTGAGTTGTCTACTGTTTATTTTAGGTAACTTAAGCTTTTCCAGCCATTCATTGTAACAGACAGGTTGACTCATGAGATGCACACTAGATGACCGTGACCTTGACTTCGGAGTTTAAATTCACTATCTCCAGTGCTGTCTTTTGACCAGAGAAATGACGTACCTTATATGGTTGGTCATTGATCAGACCATAGACAAAAGAAATAAATATAGACTGACAAAGGAAGGTTCCGCGATGTTCAGTGTTCGTAGACTCTGCTGTTGTCGATTCACCGTCTGCCACCAGCATACCACTCCTGCAAACCAAACCCTACCAACGTATCACACTTTTCAATGCGGGTTAAGTACAAAATTTTGAGATCCGCCATTTTAACGGACAGCCAATTTTTTTGGAATATCCCAGGAAATAAAAAAAAACAGAAAATTAAAGGAACAAACTCCTACTCAGATGCCGGGGAATTATCCAGAAGTTGGCAACACTGGCTCAAACTACCAACTTGTCATGGCAACATTTGTAGTGCTCACGCTGCAGTGAGCCAAAACTAAATGGCACTCCTAGGGCCAGAATATATGCTAACTGCAGCACTGCTGTCAGTCTATATTTAACTCTTTTGTCTATGATCAGATTTAAGAGTCCACCACGAGAGAGAGATCCAATACTGGTCAACCATAAACACACGTTTTGTAGTTTTAAACTTTACTCCCAGATCTCAGCACACGTCAAGTATAACTTTCATACATTTTGCCAAATAATAATGACATAGATAGTTTGTAAGTTTAAGTTTGTGGTTACTCTTGCTCCGATATGTGCAATAGGAGCTCCAAGGGTTAAGTCAGGTAGGATGTTAATTTTCTGTAATAACATTTTTAATAATAATATACTGTTACCTTCTAACGTTCCAAAATGGTGTGGTCATACGACGCGTTTCGTCAACACAGTGACATCATCAGGTGATCCGCTATCGCTTCGTCTTGAACATTAACACAAAACACATATCACGAACACGAACACATAATTTTTACATTTAAGGACCGATCGGTAGCCTATTGTCGTCGCTGTGGCCACAACTCGCGTACGCACATGATTAATTCTGGGCGACGACTGCAGGATGGAGGTTTGTCTGTGGTGTACTTTGCACCATGACGTCATTGCTCTTCTCCAGGTGTATTACGGTGTCGAACAATGCATTTCTTTGAGTGTTAATTTTGTCATTCAGTACGTTGTCTGGTTCACATTGTACTCCTCTATAAATTTCGTAACACTCAAGTGTGGACATTAAATTACTTTTCTTGCACTTATGTAATATTTGCAGATTGTCTGAGATAGAACTGTAATTATGTCCACTTTGTATAAGATGTTCAGCATAGTTCGATTTTTGGTTGACTGTTTTCTTGGGGAGGTGTTCTTTAAAACGGGTTTTGAATGATCTCCCTGTTTGGCCTATATAGTATTTTGGACAGTCATTGCAGTTTAATTTGTATATCCCACTGCTGTCGAATTTGTCACCAGTACTTCCTTTTCTGGGGTTAATGAGATTTTCTAGTTTGTTGGAATTTCTGTAAGTAACTGTATAACCATGTTTTTTAAATATATTGTTGGTTTTGTAGTTCAGCCGATTGTTGTATGTTAGTGTGACGAATTTCTTCTTCTCCTTGGGAGTGTTCAGGGCATGGGATTTTTTCTTTTTCTTAATTATCCTGTCAATTATGTTACTATCATAGCCATGAATATGAATGATTTTTTTCTTAATTATAAGCAAGAAGAAGAATGATTGATAATGATATATGAAGAAAGAAAGAATGATTTTTTCTTTTTCTTAATTATCCTGTCAATTATGTTACTATCATAGCCACAAAATCAAACTAGCAAAACCCTAGTCAATGAAATAATTAACACTGAGACGGCCATTCAGAGCATCCCAAGTGCAGATCAGAACACTATTAGAACCCTAATCAATGACAAGATCGTCCGAACGCTCCCTAACACCCAGAGTTACGTTAAAAAACCTAATCCAGATGCAAGGCGAGATAAAGAGGCGCTAAAATCAATCAGAGAAAAATTAACTGAAAATAAGGCCATCATTACCAAAGCTGATAAGGGTAATACATCAGTAATCCTGTACAATCAAGATTACGATAACAAAGTTCTAGAGTTCATTGAGTCCAATAACATTCAGGAGCAAAAGAAAGATCCTACCTTACAGTTTCTCAAAGAAGTTAATGACTGTCTAAATCAAACAAAGGAGCTATTAAATGATGGTGAAAAAAGAAATTTAAAAACAATAAAACCCTACGCACCAAACTTACGGGGCCTACCTAAAGTACACAAAGATAATATACCCATACGTCCTCTAGTTAATTATACTTCAGCTCCAGCATACAGAACTGCCAAGAAACTCGACAAAATTATCAGGAACAACATCAATCTCAATCCTAGTCACAGCATAAAAAACAGTTTAGAACTTGTAGAAAAGATAAGAGACATACCTATCGCTCCAGGTCAAACTGTCTTATCTCTAGATGTAGACAATATGTATACAAACATCCCTGTAGACGAATCCATAGACATTTTAAGAGTTAGATTAACAGAAAACAACAGCCTAAGCGTTACTAAAATTAACGAGCTGTGCAGCCTAGCGAAAATAGTAACTAAACAAAACTACTTTAAATTCAATGACAAATACTACATCCAGCAAGACGGACTAGCGATGGGGTCACCATTGTCAAGTGTGCTAGCCGAAATATATTTAAATGATTTTGAGAATAAACACATTATGAGCCAGAATAACAAATACAGGAAATGTATAGTATACTACCATCGGTACGTTGATGATGCCATATGTTTGTTTAAAGGAAATCAGAGACAAATCAACCTTTTCACCAAACATCTCAACGCCGCTCACCCAAAAATAAAGTTCAAAAACGAAATAGAATCTGACAACAAAATAAATTATTTGGACTTGACAATACATACAAACGAAAACAAGCATCAGTTCAGCATTTATCATAAGCCAACCCAGTCCAGCCAAACAATACACGCAACATCCAACCATCCAGTTTCCCATAAAATGGCAGCCTTTAACTCATTCATACATAGACTAAACCAGATACCTATGACCAACAGAAACTACAACAAGGAACTAAATTTAATAAAATATATCGCACAAGATAATGGCTATGATAGTAACATAATTGACAGGATAATTAAGAAAAAGAAAAAATCCCATGCCCTGAACACTCCCAAGGAGAAGAAGAAATTCGTCACACTAACATACAACAATCGGCTGAACTACAAAACCAACAATATATTTAAAAAACATGGTTATACAGTTACTTACAGAAATTCCAACAAACTAGAAAATCTCATTAACCCCAGAAAAGGAAGTATTGGTGACAAATTCGACAGCAGTGGGATATACAAATTAAACTGCAATGACTGTCCAAAATACTATATAGGCCAAACAGGGAGATCATTCAAAACCCGTTTTAAAGAACACCTCCCCAAGAAAACAGTCAACCAAAAATCGAACTATGCTGAACATCTTATACAAAGTGGACATAATTACAGTTCTATCTCAGACAATCTGCAAATATTACATAAGTGCAAGAAAAGTAATTTAATGTCCACACTTGAGTGTTACGAAATTTATAGAGGAGTACAATGTGAACCAGACAACGTACTGAATGACAAAATTAACACTCAAAGAAATGCATTGTTCGACACCGTAATACACCTGGAGAAGAGCAATGACGTCATGGTGCAAAGTACACCACAGACAAACCTCCATCCTGCAGTCGTCGCCCAGAATTAATCATGTGCGTACGCGAGTTGTGGCCACAGCGACGACAATAGGCTACCGATCGGTCCTTAAATGTAAAAATTATGTGTTCGTGTTCGTGATATGTGTTTTGTGTTAATGTTCAAGACGAAGCGATAGCGGATCACCTGATGATGTCACTGTGTTGACGAAACGCGTCGTATGACCACACCATTTTGGAACGTTAGAAGGTAACAGTATATTATTATTAATAACTGACGTTCCAGTAGTAGGAATGAATTCTAATAACATTTTTAGGTCGATTTCTGTTTTATGTATTGTCATCACCTACTTTATGTTGCGGCTAGTGGTCTGATATTGAGTTGTTTAGCTCCCGCAGATCTGTCCAGTGGGGATCACTTACGACCCGGCCTGGGACACCCTTCCAGTCATTGGTGAGTACCGTAATGTTATTTTGATAACGCTTACACAAAATTACATGCTCTAGGCAGGGTGTTTACAGCTCCCATATATTTCTAATTCCAGAAAAGTCCTTGATTTTTCAATTCTCAAATTTACGCAAAAGCTCAAGGAAATTAAAAAGTGTTCACAATTTTTTTAACTTATTCTAAAATGTCTTAACTTATACCAATCTATGAGATATTATCTGTAGGAATTGGGGGTTGTGATGTTTCCCTGATTCTAGGGATGGACAGGATTAAATTTTTAGTTCGGGACGGGACGGGATTTTTATTTCTTTCACAATACAATAAAATAAAATAAAACAAACTAGGCAATTCTTTCATTTGAATAATTATTCTTTAATTTATTTTCTTCCCTAAACTGGAACCAACTAGATCACATAGTCACTGACAATTTAAATTTGTGTATTTAATGATGATTGAATTTAGTTAAATCCTTTTTATTAACTACATAAGCTATAGTTTGCTATGTAAAAAAGTTACGTATTTTAATTCTTCACTACGATTAAGTTCAAGAAAAAAAAAATTGGTTCCAAATAAAAATTGCTAACTCCGAACAAACATCGTAGTGGAAGTATTTAATGTAAACCATTATCAAGGTAAATAACATTAACAGTTATTCTAGGCAACAAGTGAAGAAAGAAAATACAGATGATTTTATGACTTACGAAAAGGACTTTAAGGAAAAGTATGATATATTCAGTATGTCATCAACCAAAAAAGAAATCAAACAAGAATTTGGAGATGGATCTTCAGAAATCAAATCAGAAATAAAACAAGAGGATTCTAACTCTCAAGGTAATTTAAATACAGATTGTCTAGCTTGCATGGTGTTGATAGTTGGTGTTCATTACTTCCAATCGGTAAGGAAGTAATTATCTCAGAAGAGTGGAGCAGTTTATTCAAATGGTATTGTAATATTTACATTTTGATACATGCAGAGCAATTTCTTGTAAATGCATAGAGGTTAAAGCACTTACTTAACAATTCAAACCTTCTACCTGATGCCTTGTTTGTAGGGATGTTTAATTAACTATCCTGGTTTATCATATTTTCACTAACTTGGCACTTGCCTTTCTTATTTAAAATGCATTATTTTTGCTCCACGCTACATGTAAAGATGTATTGGTAAATGTTGACAAGAGAAACTCTTAATTTCGTTGTATGTAGTATTTTTGTATGTATTATATATGTTTTAACAAGTGTAATTAAAAAGTAGTTGAAAACGTGAAAAATGTCTGGTCAGGGCCGATTTACCGAATAGGCACGGTAGGCACGTGCCTAGGGCGCGAGGCAATTGGCTTTTTTGGGGGGCGCCAAAAATTTGGAAATTAAAAAAAAATTCGTGGTAGTATTTGCATGATATCGCGGTAAACTTCAGATAACCACTCGCGGCCGTGTAGGCATCGTAATCGTCTCCCGCGTTTGCAGCAAGATTCTTACTACTTTCTGCAGTCAGGTCGTTTGGACATAAAATTATCGTCTTCCATGATCGAGGCAATATAAGAACGTATCCCGCAGTCGTGAGGAGATTATTATCATCTACCGCAAATGAGGCAAAATTCTGATATTTTCCCGCGGTCGTGAGGACATTATCATCGTCTTCCGTGATCGCGGCAATATTCTGATCATCCCTCGTGGCCGTGTAGAAATAGTTATTATATCTCCCGCGGTCCTGTAGATATCGTACGTATCCCGCAGTCATGAATCCATGGTAATCGTCTGCAGCGATTGCGGCAAAATTTTAATAATGTCCTGCAGTTTTGTGGAGATCATCATCGTCTTCCACGATCGCGGCAAAGTTCTTGAGGTTTCCCGCGGTCGTGTAAACATCAATCGTCTTCCGTGATTGTGGTAATATTCTGATCATCCGTTGCGGCTCATCTGTAGATAGTAGATACCATCATCGTCTTCTGCGATCGCGGAAAATTCTGATCATCCCTCGCGGCCGTGTGTAGACATTTATTATTGTCTCCCGCGGTCACGGAAACGTCACTGATGTTGTCATGCGCGATCACGGAAACGTCACTGTTGTCATGAGCGATCACGGTAAATTGAAAACTCCAGGTAGGAATACAAAATTCACGGTTCAAAGATCTCCCGCATGATTCCCGGATTTCCCGGTCGATATACACCCTGTTATATACAGGGTGGCTGAAAAGTAACTTGCACCCCCACTTAACTTCAACCATTTGAGATATTTGAAATCGGTTTGCGGCAACCTTCTTAGATATGACGGGCTACAATAATTATGTCAATTTTGAAAATTTTGCCCTTAGGGGTAGCGGGGGTAGGGGATAGCTAAAAATTTTCAAATAGCAAGTATAGTCGAGTTTGGTATCATTTTGTAGGTCTTGATGAAACATAACAATTAACATAAAGAAAATAGAAATCGGACCATTAATAACAAAATGGCAGCTAAAAATGATACCAAACTTGACTATACTTGTCATTTGAAAATTTTGAGCTGCCTCTTACCCCCGCTACCCCTAAGGGCAACATTTTCAAAATTGACCATAATTATTGTAGCCCCTCATATCTAAGAAAGTTGCTGCAAACCGATTTCAAATATCTCAAATGGTTGAAAAGTTAAGTGGGGGTGCAAGTTACTTTTCAGCCACCCTGTATATATTGCAAAGGGGCGCTACTATTAGACGTGCCTAGGGCGCTGACAGGGTCAAAAACGGGCCTGTGTCTGGTAAAAGATTCTTTTTAGCAATATGCTGTTGGAAAAAATGTTAGGATTTGCGGCACAATTACCTATTTACAAGCTAACCAGGGGAATGATATATCACTCACAAGAACTCAGTATTACCTTCCATCACCTCGCCGTGCTGGTTACACGTTTTTAGAAATTAACTTACTAAAAAGCCCTCACCCCCCTGTATCTAATTCCTGTTGTGCACCTAAACTATTTTTTTTAATTATCAGGGCAAACAAAACCATTAATGATTTTCTCTAAATGTAAATGTTTCAACAAAGCATTTGTTTTTCATTTTACAAACATATGTATCTTTGCCTTTTATTAGATTCAACTGCAATCAAATCAGAAGATGCACCACCGAGGAAGAAACGCCGAAGCCGGTGGGCTTCAAGTGATGAGAAGATGGAAGTGCCACCTATGATGTCAGCCATACCACCTGGAATGCCACCTGTATTACCCAGCATGCCACCTAGGCCACCTGTAGGTCCGCCAGTGGGTATGCCACCCATGGGTATGCCACCAATGGGTATGCCACCCATGAGTATGTCCGGGCCACCCGTAGTACCCAGGCCACCTGTTGTCCCGCCCGTGGGTATGGCTATGCCCAAGGTGCTAGGCGGAGTTGTGCCTCCAATTCCTCCATCCGTCCCTACTGTCAACGTTCCTGGTGAGTTTTATGAATAAATAGATTCCAATTTACCATCAATTAATTTTTGTATGAAATTAAATATAAGTGATAATTGAGGTGAGTCAGTGGCTCAATTAGTAGTGCAGTAGACTGTAAACCGAGACAGGGATGTAAGTTTGTGTCCTCAGACCTCCTCTTACTATCTATCAGTACAATTAATTCTTGTTCTGCACCTTTCCAACCTTTGCTTTGGTTGATTTATTCCAAGTCCAGGCCTTGAGAGTACTTGGAGCCTTGGCGTTATGGCTCATAAAAAAATTAATAAAGTAGGAAGAAAATTTCTAATCTCACAGTGCACTAGATATTTAAATTACAATCACTTTGGTATCTGAACAAATATTTTGAGGTTGTAAATTGAATAACTTTTCATGGCTGTTTGAAATGAACAAAATCAGCCTTGCTCTTATGGCGGGCAAATCCAAGATGGCCGTTAGCCTCCATGGACTCCCTTGGAAAACAATACAAAGACAATTTCTGATCTCACAGAGCACTAGCTATTTTGCATTACAATCACTTTGGTACTCGATCAAATATTTTGTGGTTGTAAATAAAATAACTCTTCAGCGGCTGTTTGAAATTAACAATACCCCCGCCGCAACAAACCTGCACTCCAAGTAAATTTCCATTTGCCCGAAATGATTTTCAATTAATCTACTTAAATAATATTAAGTTTAACAAGTACCTAGGTTTGCTGCTACAAGGAAACTAATAAAGTGTATTTTTAAGTAAAATAATTGTAGCTTAGTATAAAATCAATAAATGAACAAAATTAGCATTGCTCTTATGGCGGGCAAATCCAAGATGGCTTTTAGCCTCCATGGACTCCTTTGGAAAAGAATACAAAACTACAAAGACAATTTCTGATCTCACAGTGCACTAGGTATTTAAGTTACAATCACCTTGGTAATACCTTGGTACAATAACCCTTCAACAGCTATTTGAAATAATCCAAGATGGCCACTAGCCTCCAAGGACTCTTGAAGCCCGTGTGTGGGGTTTGTTCATGGTTCAAATTGAAAAAAATATTACTTCTCATATTTTTATAATTAACTTTTTATCAAATTATTGTAATGAACACAATGTATTTTGCTGGTTTGTTTTGTGTTAGGAATGTCAGGAGCTATGATCAGCAAAGTCACTCGGACTGATCCTGCATTAGTTGCGTACGCAATGAAGGCTTTTGGGCGAACCAACCTCACTGATGCCGAGTGGAAAAAGGCGGAAGATCACTTCAAGGTATGTCTTAACCTGTAAACATCATTATTTACTGCGACATAATCATTTAAAACTCTATCATATTTCAGGTTTTTTAGTGATATCCTCTTGTAGGGCCAAGGCCAGCGTCTTGCTCCAAGATGGTTTGCGGTACATATTCAGGAAACCATTCAAGTAATAAACCTAGATTGTTGGAAAAAGCTGCCAATTGCACCAATCTATTTGAGAAAAACTGGCAATTATTTTATACCATAAATTCTGGTTGAAAATGATGTCTGTAAAAGTAAAAAATATTTCAAACTACACTAAAGCCTCGTTTTGTTCACTAACTTTATAATTGTATGTATTAGAAAGCTGGTGATGTATAAAAGCGAGAGAGGACACACTGTTACAATCTATCAGGTAGTTTATGACATTTGCAAGTTTATCAAGATTTATCTATAAGTTTTGTTGCAGATAAACCTACTGTACCAGGACATGCTTCACAAGAGGGAAGAGTTACAGAGACTTCAGGCTGCTGGCAGGAACAAGTACGAGTACGACAGTGACGAGGAGACAGAAGGTAAGTGACATTCACACTCGTAAAATCGTATCGGTTCTGTCAATGGAAACTCAGAAGAACCTGAAGAAGAAAGAGAGAAAAGTAGTTGGACACATTTTTGGACTAAAATCGAGTCAACAACAAATGCAGGTACCAAAAAAACCTTTTAGTTCAAAAATATTTCAACATAGATATAGATGTAGCTGGACCCAGCTTGCCATGACGATTGGGTTTTTATTGTTGTTGTGCTCTTCTTGTATCAAGAGATTGCCGGTTCAATCCTTAGATAAGTCAACCAGTAGCTTCTTGATGGTTCAAGACTGGACCCAGCTGTCCTTTATCATTGGGCAATAAATGTTCCTGGCTATTACAAGTCTTAGTTAGAAACAAAGCAGCAATTAAATTTAAATGTAAGTTGAGCCACAGTTAAAGTCTAAGTCGGAGAGAAAACAATTGGAGTGAAAAAGAGAAGCTGAATCCTCACTAAGGAAGAAAAACTGTTTGGCAAATAAAAAGAATAAAAAATTTCCTGAAATAAACTAACCATACTCAACGTCTCAACGTCTTCCAATTTGGAAGTTTTACATACAAAAATAATAATGTGTAGCAGTATTTGGCATATTTTAAATTTAAGAAAATGTTTAACGGTTAGCTTATTAAAATTAAATCTAATAGATTGTTTATTTAAGCTAAACTCAATTAAATGGTGCTGTTACTACTTTTTCTAAGTTGATTTAAATTTAAACATTGATTGAACCTATAAAAATCTACATTTTCTCTAACAAAAAGCTTAAAAGAACTTATCTTTTATTTTCCCACATAGTTGTGAAGAATGGGTTTTAGTAACCAACTTATGACAAAGAAAAGTTGGAATTGTAGATTTTGTCATGGACTTTGAATCGTGATGTTGTGTCTCATCCAAATATGTTCTTTGGCTAGAGCTAGATAGGTGATATCAGTTCAAAGGTTTTTTAAAGGGAATTTCCTAATAAATTACAATGACCAGGTGGGACGTGGGAGCACAAGCTGCGTAGTTTAGAGATGGAGGCCACACAGAGATGGGCCGATGAACTGACAGAAGCTGCAAAGGGCAAACATCACATCGGGGACTTCCTACCTCCTGACGAACTGGCCAGATTCATGGAGAAGGTGACTGATAGGTTTAACATGATTCATTTTAGCGTGTATAGTAAAACTCAGCTACAATACACCCACTATCCTCAGGGGACCGAGCCTTAGGTATGTTAAAATGTGCAACTATGTAAAAAAATAAAACGTCAGTGGGTTTTTATACTTTGAATAACAAAACTGTACTTCCATGGACAAATTTCCACATTATTACTGTGATAATGATGGAAACAAAAGTTTTTAGATTCCAAGAAAAGTTTATTTTTAATCAACCATTTGAAAATTTATGGCAGATAAAATCTACCTCCATTTTTGCCCTGGAAAAGCTGATTGGACCAGGTTCAATTAAGAGAGAGTCTACTATAATATGGTATCTATTTAAAAGACAGATTTACAAATCCGGATTCAGTCAAAGAGTTAATTAAAAACTTATCTTCTAGGTCCCATTTAATTGGATGAGACTGGGCTTACTAAAAAAAAAAACAATAGGTAGTATCCAGTAGTTGAAGTATTTGTTTCTAATAATTTAAAGCTTATTAAATTTACTGTAAAGAGAAAAGAGGTCCTGGAACGTTATTTCACTACCTACACAATTCTAACACAGTAACATTAATAAAACAATGTACTATTGCAGTACGAGGCGTTGAAGCAAGGCCGTGAGCCGGATCTGTCGGATTACAAGGAGTTCAAGCTGCAGGAGGACAACATCGGATTCCAGATGCTGCAGAAGCTCGGGTGGACCGAGGGTCAGGGGCTGGGACCCGAGGGGGGAGGAATCACAGACCCAGTTAACAAGTCAGTACACTCATCAACTCACTGAGTTGTCCACATGTATATGTTTCATGAAGTATCTTAGATTGTATTATTGCTCCTGGTTCTAGCTACTTAAGCGGCTTAGAGACAAGGCAAGCGGAATTACTTTCGTGTTGTAGGCTACTAGCTGCATACTTACCTAGTATCAGAGTTAGGCTACTTTAATTTCAGCAGTAAGTATTAGCTAGCAACAAGAAAATTCAAACAAGATAAGTAGGGTCATGTTGGCAGTCACAACCATTGGTAGCCAAACCTTCCCTGTCAAAACGTTAACTTGTTGTCACCAAAGCAGAATGGCCAGAATCGATAGTTCATAGAAGTGATAAATTTTTTTAAAAATCTTTCAGACAATTGCTATGTTAAAAAAAAATTGTTTTGGATTTTTTTCAAAATGACAAACTATTGTGAAAAGTATGTCGTAATGACAATTTTGACTAACAAAAACATAAAAATGCAATTCAAAGATTGTTGGACAAGCCAAATTTTTCATCATAATCGGACATGCTCAGCACAAGTTAAATCAATTCATTGTCAATTCGGGACTTCAAACTAGACTGGCTCAACAACTTTCCTTGTCTCTTACTGGTAATACTTACTGTGTAAAGAAAAACAGACTGCAAGTGGCATACAGACTGCTCTTGCAATCTCTACTTTCCCTGTCTATAAATATGTTTTTTTCACAATACACTTTCAACCAGTTACAATAATCACAATGAAACCAAAGGAAGCTCTCACTTCCCACCTTAATCTGTTGCCCCAACAACATCATAGGCAATCTGATTACTTACTTATCACTAATGGGTTGTTTCAGAGCCTGTATGAGAATGGAAGGCCAGGGTCTAGGCATGGAGAGGCCAGATGATGTATATGCTGAAGATGATGAGTATGATGCTTACCGCAAACGCATGATGCTCGCTTACCGCTTCAGGCCCAATCCTATGGTAAATGAAACCCCTTATATCTTTTAAAAGGAATCGTGGTTAAACTTATTTCACATGATAAATATACATCTAAATTGTTAGGATATGTTAGATTTGTTATACTAGGTGTTGTTACCATACAAATCTGAAATCTCATATATTTAACTCGCTTCAGTAACCTGAATTCTTAGTATAATTTTAAATTTTTTGTTTCAAATTTTAATCAATAATTTTGTATTTTCTGAAAACCTAAATCATCTTAGTTCCTCCTTACTATCTTTGATAAATCAATTTTTTTAAATTTTTAACATAATAAGTCAGATGAAAATTAACAAATAAACACATAACACTTAGAAATTGTATGCCTACTAGGTCCTTCTTTAATATTAGTCTTTTTTTGCACAAGAAAGACTTTACTGACTACTACTGTATTCATTTTCATCAGGAAGGTAATCCTGCTGTTAAACGTGTCCACCATAAAATCCTTAAAACCCTGGCCTTACGCCATCTTTACCAAAAAAAGGCATTAATGGCATTAAGGCAGGTTGGGCATTAATATCTGAATTTATGTTACAGAATAACCCAAGAAGGCCGTACTACTAGACGCTGCAGCTTTATCACATTTAATGTAGGCTTTCATTTGTAAATAAAACCACTATGATTTCTGTTTTAATGGAATCTTATTTTTAACTGCCAAACTTGGATTTTTTACGAGTTCAGGCTTTTTGGACTGAAACTGAAGCAGTTTTAGAAAACAGAGGATCAGAACACGGCTAAACAAATTTTCAAGCTCACACTGTTAGTTTGCTATCAAGGCTATTGGCATTTAATCAAACTCTCAGAATAAACATTTGTGCCAATTTTGACTACAATATAACTTTTATTACCCGTTAGCATTGAGACTAGACTGTAATTTGATACATACAGAAGATTATTTATGTAAACCAAATAATAAACAACTTATTGCCAAACTTAATAAACAACTAAAAACAAACAAAAATCATATCTTAATTCAATGAAAGTTAGTTTTTTTTTTTTTTTTTTTGAGGTCATATTCAAAGAAAATTCCTAAACTACAGTCGGGACCACGTAAGTTTGCAGTTGGTGGCAATCACAAGACAAGGCTAGTGCGACGTTGCCACATCGCCCGTTGACAACACTAATTAAAATATACTGAGTAATATTTTCCAATCAGCTGGTATTATTAGATTTGGCAACACCGCACGGTTCTCATTGGTTCATTCAAAACCATATGGTAAATAGGCTCCTCCCTCAACTGCAAACTTATGTGGTCCCCATACTAGTTGCAAAGGTTTTAGCAAAGGGCAGAGCTTGCCTTAAGCGTGTACAAAACATGTTACCCTACTCATGGGAGTAACTGCGATTGTAAAAATCATCATGATTATTGCCACAATCGCAAATTTTTCTCCTATGAGCACGAGAAACAATATAGCGATTGGGGAAGGGGAGAACTTTTTAGTAGTAAGGGGTGCTCTGAATATTGCACGGGGCTGTGCACTACCCAAGGCCGTCCCTGGGAAAGGGTAACATTACCTACATTTTTCATGTGAGATAAACATCCTAAACACTATTATAAACCTGGCGTTGATCAGTAAGCAGCTGAATTAAAAATATAACAAGTAAAACCACAAAACGTGATAGGTGATCCAATAAAACTTCACTTTTGATCAATAACTGAATTGTAATGTTACTTTCAAATAAAATGTTCAACAATTAAAATAATATAAATTTTTATCTATTTACAAACACTGTACACAATACTTCATATATCACATAAAATACACAGTTTAATAATGACTAGAGTTTGTATACTGCACATATTATAAAATATAAGGGGCAAAGGTAAAAGCTGTGATGTAACATAAATTCTAACAATGGAACCAAGAAAATTCTGTATTCAAGGCTGATTGATGGGAATAGGGTTCGGACTGGTAAGTATTACTTAGTCATCCAGAAATTTGATTTAAAACAAAACATATTGAGGAAAAAACTTCAAAGTAAATTTTAAAATTAAGTACAACATTTGAGATAGTTTGGGAACAAAAAGAAAGAAGTGTTTTTTTTATATAAATACAACATTTGAGATAATTTGAGAACAAAAATAAATAAAAGTGTTTCCTAAAAAATAAAACTAAAACTATATATACAACCGTCGCACTACATCAGTTTTACAAGTTATTTTCCATTAGTATTGACAAAAATTTTGAAATGATTACAATTGTGTTATTATAGATTTGATTTTTTAACCAATCATTCAAATGATTTAACCATTTTGACCACTTTTTTATATAACAAGGAATGATGATTTAGTTTTTTGAAAATATTGACAGATAATTTAATTAATAATTTATATAGCCAAGAGAGGAAACGGTCTTAAGGGTTTTCTGGACACCCAGATCGTATGAATAGCATTGAGGATAACAAGGTCTATGGTAAAATGTGATGTTACTTGGCTTTCATTACTTTATCTTACACACTAGATATCACAATTTACATTTTTACATGTAGCCACATAAATATTAATACTACACTCTGCAAGAAACCTTTTGCTTTCTTCTGAAGCAATTTGATTGTTCATGCTTAACAGACTACAGATCCGTGAGCCCAATATGTATGCGAGTGTTGTTTTTTTAGGTGGGCATTTTTTTAAACACCTATGATGATCAATGAGGTCGGAAGTTGGGTGTAGAAGGAAAGTTACTTGATGGGGGTCCGGTCAACCCGACCTGTAACATATTACAAAAAAACGTTATTCTAGTACCGTAGAAAATAATAAAAAACATTTTTCCCCCACTACAGGCGGCTGTTCTCTGGTCTACTTAAAGTCAACTCAGTCTACTGGTGTTACTTAAAATAGTACTTAATAAACAATGCTGTAACTGTATGTGTGAATTGTGCTTTACTTAGTGTGAGACACATTTTAACACGTTCGCTGCTACGGACGTTCCGGAACGTCAAACGGACCACGGCGCTAGGAGCTAGGAACGTTCTGGAACGTCGCCGTTCATCGATGTTTAACGTTATCATGGATCAGCCAGCTCGTCACGAGCGTCCTATATTTCTTTGCTGCTCACAGGGATGTACTTTTCTGACAATAAAAAATATAGTTTCCCAAAATCACCAGGTTTTTTTGTTTACCACGGATCCAGGTTCCTTCAATTTGTCAACAATAACAATAATTGATTTTTTAGGAACTGGAATCACACCTGGAAACTTAATTCAAACCTTTTTTGTTATAGAAAGAATCATTTACTTTTAACGTATCAGCAATGAAGTAAAGTAAACGAGGTACCAACATGTAAGCTTGTTAAGTACTTAAAAAGTCTCTCACACTATTAATTTGGGCTGCGTTTGCAAAAACACCATGTATGATCACAGAGAAGTACAATCAGGGTGTCTAGTTTATTTCCATTATAAAATTCAAGACTTATTCCAGACTTTTCAAGACTAATTCCAGATTTTTAAAGTCTAGTTTTTTCAACAATTAGTGGGTGTTGATACCAAAATGTATCGATTCTCAATTCTTGATACCGATACCAATTTTTATAGCTTAACCAAATTTTCTAAATAATACTACACCCTGTCTTTGTCATAAAGTAGTATTATGATAATGTGGTGTTTTCAAGTAAAGAAATAATGCAGCAATAAAAAATTCTAACTAGCAAATTTGGTTTTTTTATCATGAAATCTTCCACGTACCGTACGTTTAGACATCATCATTGACTGCAGCGGTTACAGAAACGTGATCGTCGTCGTCCGCGATCACGGCAAAATCATGGACATTTCCCGCGGCCGTGTAGACATCGTCGTCTCCCGCGGTCATGGAAACGTCATCGTCATCTCCCACAGTCACGGAAACGTCATCGTCATCTCCCGCGGTCACGGAAACGTCATCGTCGTCGTCCGCGATCGTGACAAAATCATGAACATATCCCGCGGCCGAGCAGATATCATCGTCGTCTCCCGCGGTCACGGAAACGTCATCGTCATCTCCCGCGGTCACGGAAACGTCATCGTCATCTCCCGCGGTCACGGAAACGTCATCGTCATTTCCCGCGGCCGAGCAGATATCATCGTCGTCTCCCGCGGTCAAGGAAACGTCATCGTCATCTCCCGCGGTCACGGAAACGTCATTGTCGTCGTCCGCGATCGCGGCAAAATCATGAACATTTCCCGCGGCTGTTTAGACATCACCGTCACCTCCCGCGGTCACGGAAACGTTATCGTCGTCTTCCGCGATCACGGCAAAATCATGGAACATTTCCCGCGGCCGTGTAGACCTCATCGTCGTCTCCCGCGGTCACGGAAACGTCATCGTCGTCTCCCGCGGTCACGGAAACGTCATCGTCGTTTCCCGCGGTCACGGAAACGTCATCGTCATCTCCCGCGGTCACGGAAACGTCATCGTCGTCGTCCGCGATCGTGGCAAAATCATGAACATTTCCCGCGGCCGTGTAGACCTCATCGTCGTCTCCCGCGGTCACGGAAACGTCATCGTCGTCTCCCGCGGTCACGGAAACGTCATCGTCATCTCCCGCGGTCACGGAAACGTCATCGTCGTCGTCCGCGATCGTGGCAAAATCATGAACATTTCCCGCGGCCGTGTAGACATCATTGTCGTCTCCTGAGGTCACGGAAACATCATCATCTCCCGCGGTCGCGGAAACGTCATCGTCGTCTCCCGCGGTCTCGGAAACGTCATCGTCGTCTCCCGCGGCCACGGTAACGTCATCGTCGTCGTCCACTATCACGGCAAAATCGTGAACGTTTCCCGAGGCCGTGTAGACATCATCATTATTGGCTTTCGCGGTTACGTAAACGCAAGACGACGATCGCGGCAAAATCATGAAAATTCCCGACTTCGAAATAAAATTTAAGACTAAATCCCGACTTTTCAAGACCATTTTGAAATTCAATACTAATTCCCGACTTTCCCGATTTTCCCGACTACTAGACACCCTGACAGAAGAAACACGCTTATGGGACAACCATGCGCTTTCAGCTCTGGTATGTTGGTGCAGAAATGTATATGTGACGAGCAAGGATGAGTTTGATGGCGGGCACTGTGTGAAAATTCCTATCGCACAGGGTCTTGTCCTTCACCGTGAGCGTTGTAGTACGTGAGGGCGGTGCGGGACTTTGCCCTAGACACTTCCACTAAAGCTAGACACCAGTTAAGTGTACCATGGAGTGCATCCTCTGTTCCTTACTTCTCTGTGATACCATAAACCTGAATTGACATTTCATTATTTTATAGTAATTATTCATACTAAATGTTAAGAACAAAAAGAAAAAGTCTGTCATAGGCTAATAGGAATGTAAACTCATTTTTATGCTAGACCATCATTGTAGTACTTTTTATGAGATAAGCAAAGTCCAACTATACAACCTGTTATAAATTCTATAAACAAATAAAATAACAATTACCTTATCATTTATTTCCGGAAAGATAGTGCTGAGGTTGAAGTTAGTCAGTGTTGTGGTTCCTTGGTGGCTGGGAGAGGATGTTGAAGGAGGGCAGTGAGGGGGTATTGGACCCTTCGGTCTCACAGCTGAAGAATAAACCTGTGGAGTCCACTGGGGAGTGAACTCCTCTCTTCTTGGTTTGTTCTGATTTCTCTTGACAGAGCTTCTGTTATCCTTTGTAGATGTTTGACAGGATGTTGAGTGTTTGTTTGAACTGGGTGTCAAATTGAAGAGATGGTCCACGCCCAAGTGGTAATCACCTTCAGGAGTGAACGGTGCTGAAGAATAGTGAGAGTTTGGCGGGAAGTTGAAACAGTTTTGTGTCTGATTGAATTCGAGAGGTTGAACATTTTGATGTAAGAAATCTGTAGAAGGATAGCTAGAAGAAGAAACAACAGGCGGGTGACTGTACTGATTGACAAACTGGGGTATGTCAGATACATGTCCTTGCACAGGTGTAGGCTGGTCTGCTATTAGAGACTCGGCACTGTAACTTCCCTTGTAATGAGTGGACGATCGCTGGGACGGAATGGGACCTTGATTTCCAAATGTTCCTGGGAAACCAACGCCTGAATTTTGAACATCCTGATAAACTCCTACATCGAATTTCCTATTACCCATCATTCCAGGATTAGAATGATGGTAACTACTATTGATGCTGTTTGATGTTTTAGGTTTATCTGTTATGTGAATGCTTGTGTTTCGCTTCTGAGCGTTATTACCTTTGGTTCCTGATGGTTTTGTTGGTCTCCTCAAAGATTGATTTTGATCCGTTTTCACATGATCCACCAACTGGCTAACAGATAGGAAATTGGTCGAAGTATTTGTGCTTTGGTGGGTGTGAGTTTTTTGGCAATAATCAGTTGTAGCTCTATTATTTCTTCTCTCGGAATTGGGATAACAGTCCTTCTCATTATTTTTGGTAATTTGCTTTTGTGTTTCTAGTTTTTTCTCAAACTTCTTTGTTGGTGTTTCAATGTTGAAGGAAGTATTGGGCATGCTCATGTTTCTAAAGGTATCAACTGGTCCCGATGGAGTTGTTGTTCCCAAAGCTAAATCTCCAACTAACGTAGGTAAAGTTGAAGGTATCATATGACTGTCAATATGCGGTAACATCGGAATAGATGACTTGCTTGGTGACCATAGATAGTGATGTGGGTTTTGCTGATTGTTTGGAATATTGGCTGAACTTCTTGTTGGTTTGCTCATCGATATGTCTGGAAAAGAGGCAAAATCTAACTGCAAGTCTACTCCAGAAAAATGAGAATTTGAATAAAATGTTTGGGTGTTATTGGAGGTTGAAGTAGAGATGCTGAAAGGAGTTATATTAGTGGAGCTGTTCAACATAACCATGTTGTTTGAGCCTGAGGCAAAGTCCAACTCTTTCTGATGCTGGAACATGGCATCTGGAAGAACTGGGGCTACACCAGCATCCGGCAACAAAGGTCTCACATCAGGCGTTGTCATCCAGTTAACTGGTGCTCTCTGAGAATTGGTTTTCAGTTTCTTAGGTTTTTGTTCAGGTTTATAACTTGTGTTATCATTTTGGTTTGAATGTGGATAGCCAACTAAGTCTTGATTTGTATGGCTATTATTGAATTGGAAGTTAGAAAATTTGGGCAAAGCATTTAAGTTCGAGACTGGTTTCTCTTTTACTCTCTGATCTTCAAAATTCTGAGGACTTTTTTGTATCTTTGCTGCATTACTATAGGGCTTTTGAGGATAGCTACAATAGGGAGTTGTGTAATCCATTTGACTGGTGTTTGAAGTAATGGATGCAGTCGTCCACGATATCACATTGAAGTTGGATGAAGCCAAAGATGTTGATTTTGAACTATCATTTCCTTGTTGATTGTTAGATGAGAGATAATTTGTTTGAGGCAGCATAAATTCATTTCCACTTGAAAAAGAACTATAAGGATATGGTTGTGATGAAGAATTAAATATATTTTGAGGTCTGCTATCTTGGGTTTGACTTTTCTTCTCGTTCAGATTCATTTGTCTGTTTTCCTCAGAATTATTTCTGACAATGTTTTCTGAGAACTCAAAAGTCTTCTCCTGTATATTTGGAACAACAATGGAGGGTAATGGATAATTATTTGTTTTGACATTGGATTTTTTCTTTGTACATGGGTAGAATAAATCTTGCTCACCAAGCCCAACAAACATTTTTTTCTCTTTACAATTATTTCTAGCAAAATTCTCATTTCTCATCAGCTCATTGATTTCCATCTGTTGAAACTTGTTAAAGTTTTCCACATCTTTTAGCTGTTTTGAAGTGTTATTCTTGTTAGTATCAGAATGTTTACTCTGCTTTATCATGTTTTGGTTATTTTCAATCATCAAAGCAGTTTGATGGAATAGATCATTATTGGTGGATTCAATGTTTCCGATTTGCAGTATCGTGGTAGGAGTTGCATGTTGACTATCACTGCCCTCATTTTCTGTTATTAAATCTGAATTCTTAGATGTGGATACCAAGGGAAAGGCCAACAAGAAAGCAGCTGTTGGAGATATGGACTCTGGGTGTTGGCCTGTATTTGGGACCTGTAAGGAGGAAAGCAAATCATTTGAAAAGTCTGCGTGAGGAAGACTAAGTCTCATTTCATCCATATAAGAGTGACTCACCGGCATAAAAAGATTTCGATCTCTCAGCTCTGGGCATGCGTCTCTAAACAGATTATCTGAGCAAGTCTGAAGTCTATCATTTGGAAATAAACTTGTTAGTTCTTGGCTGTCATCTTGGATTAAAGATTTGTCACAAATTGACTTTAAGTCATCTGAAGGCTTCTTAGGCCCACTACTTGAGGTGTTTTGTTTTGCCTGTTGTTTACTTTCTTCAATGTGTTTTTCATTATTAGCATAGTTGATCTGCATGGAAGTAACTTGAGTCGACTTACAACTTTGAGCAACTGAGGTTTTCATCGTATCTTGAACAGGCTTACTAGAAGGGTCACTACTCTTGGTACTGTGCTGTTGATTTGGATAATTTATACTTTTAGTAGCATCTGCAGATGCATTTATACCGTTCTGGTTAGCTTTGGGGTCAATTCCGGCGTTGATTCTATGGAGACTGCTGTTCGAGTTTAAACTGTTGATCATACGAGTGTCTTGGTTATTAGGAAGAAAAGGAGACTTGGTTACATTCATGGTAAGATTGTTAGTGAGATGATTTTGTGTATGAATTAAATGCATCTGTGTTGAGGACGAGCCTTTTATTTTAGAACTTGCATTCCGATCCACACTTGAACAAGCTTTGAAGCAGAAATTTTCATTTGTAGGGATTGTATTTTGTAAGGCTTTAGTTCCATGTAGTTGTAGGTTTGGTTGATGTTGGTAGATTTTATTTGCGTAGAAGTTTGGAGGGTTTTTGACTTGGGCATTAATATCAGGAACGAGTTTTACATTATTGGAAGAATTTATGTTTTGGAAATTGAATGAATTATTAGTTTGGTTTGTAGAAACAGAAACCATTTTATTTGCTGAAATTCGTTGAGAACACTCATTTAGGCATCTGTCACTGTTGATTACTGGAGTATTTTTCAATGGGTTGAACTCAAGAGTTGGATGCTGTAAATTCTGTTGAGTACTAAAGAAAGTATTTCCGATGTTGGTATTATTGTGACCACTATTTGTATAGGATACACTTCTATTATTAAAATTTGGGCCTTTCAGGGATTCATTTATGGTGTTTGAATAAATATTTACAACTGAATGTTGCTGATCGGATGAAGAAAACGTATTTCTTGAACTAGAACCGTTCTGACACTGATCATTTACTCGGTTGTGGATATTTAAAGTTTTACAAGCTTCATCTGAGAAAGTACCAGTAACAAGTTGTTTATCTTTTGTTGATTTGTTGTCTTTTCCATCTGTCTGTGTTGCCATATTTTCTTTTACCCCCAAATTTAAACTCTTGTTGGGGGGTGTTTTGTTTTCATCACACATATTTTTGTTCGTATTCATATCTTGAATTTGCTTATTTTGTGATGTACAATTATTCATGCTAGATTTCCCAACTGATGCAGCATCATTATTACAATTAGACCTGGTTTGAATTGAGGTTTCACTTTTATCAACACCTAAATCGGAAGGTAATTGAATCGAGCTCCCATTCACTTTGTTTGTAGAATTGCACGTTTGTAAAGATGCACAAGCATATTGTTGTTTATCAGTTCTGGTGTTACTATTGAACAAAACATTTCCAAATTGTTGTTGTGCACCACTGTGCATGCTACTTTTGGGTGTATTCTGAATGTCTTGACTGAAAACATTACTATTATAAGAACTTTGAGCAATGTTATTTGTGTCTGTATTCTTATCGTTTTGGTTATCTAGGGAGTTGTCCGGTGCGGTTCTATTTTTCTCCCTGTTAACTGAATCATCAACTGTACAGACAGGCAAAATCTGATTGCCACCTTCAAAGATTTGCCCCTCCTTGGGCAAGCTGTTACTGGTAACTGAGCAGCTTTCTTCTGTCATTGCTACCAGACTAATTGTATAGCTATCTCTTTTGGGTTTCTGGATATTATCATTCTTTTTATCATTATTAAAATTATTGTTTAAATTCGTAGCAGAATTTTGTTTGACATTAATGTTTTCTGCCTGTGCATTTTCAGAAATACAGCCAGCAAGCGAGTCCGCAGTCTTATTACTCACAGTTTTATTCCTCACATCATCCATTGTGCTACTCATACTTTCTTTTCTTTTATCTGTAATTTCTGCAAGTCTGTTTTCAGTGCTTACTTTTTCTGTAGTGTTCTTGCAACTTGTATTACTTTCAGAGTGGTTAGACTTCTTTCCATGAGTGTGTGGTTCTACTTCATCTTGTTTAGCTTTAGAAACTAAATCATCCACAATTTTTTCTCCAAGTTTCTGATTGTTTTCTAAACTATTGCATTCATTCTTAGATTTATCAATAACTTCCGAAGATATAATTTCATCCGAAACCCCACATACTTTTGCTATTTTAGAACATTTAATGTTCTCATTACTAGTTTCACATTTTCTCTTCCCTGCGACTCTTGATTGTTTGGGTTTACTAGTCACACAAGAACTGTCAGCCACCATATTACCACTTAAGTTTTTATTCAATTCAACATGACCTTCCTTCAAATGACTGACTGTAGGATTATCCATTGATTTGTTACTGGGTAATTTATTCACCACAATAGTTTGTGAACACTTTTCTTTGTTTACCTTATTTACAACAGGTTTCTTCTTGACATCATTTTTGATGGCGAGATTAACAGTAGGATTGTTTTGTGTGGGTTTTGTTTCGGATCGGTGTCTGTGTGTGCTTATGGCTGGTATGGGCACTTTATTGGCAAAAGTGGTTTTTGTGATGTCCCTGTGTCTCGGTTTGGGCACGATTGCCCTCAGACCCCCTGAGGTTGGTGGTGGTTTCTGAGGAGGTCTGGTAGTTGTGGTAGTCGTGGTGGGGAGAAGTATTAGTGTAGGAGCTAGCACAGTAGGAGGTGGTGGGACCGGGACTATTCGACCACCTGGCATTATCAGAGTACCAGGGCCCAACGAGCTCAGCGTCGGATTGCACTGCAATACTGGCTGGATTCCTAAAAATAAATTGTGATTGTAAAGAAACATGAAATGTATAAAAATAGGTTCAAGGTCACTGTGAATTTAATTGACATTTACTAATTGACTCAAGAAAATTTCAGGTTAGGTATGACGAACTTTGGATATTTTGCAATTCATCTGACATGTGAAGTGAGTTTAAAAACAAATCATTACAGATAAATGTCAATTCCTTCAAAATTTACATTACTATTAATTGAAAGTGAAAAATAATTATGGAATTGGCCACTTAGGCAATTCTTACATTTAAATTTTTTTTTTTTTTTTTTTAGAAATCTTTATTGTTTTTTCCATACACAACACAAAATACATTTACACATGAAAAAAGAAAAAAACAATAACCACCTTAGGTTAAAAACCTATGTTGGTGGATTTATACACTATCTTATGTTCTAAAAATCGAAGAGGCGGTTTTGTCCGGTCACTTATATCACTTGGTTATAATATATACAGTGAGAGTGAGTTCTACACAGTGATCTTCTTTCTTCAGTACAGAGTAAAAGTCAATATAAATAACTAATGTTCATATTGTTTCTAAACTCCAGAATAAAATATCTTTGAAGATATTTGAGATTGAATATCTTTCTGCTGTCTCAAAAAGTTTTAAACCTGTTACCTGCAATTTTCAGATTTTTAAGGAAGACATATAATTTATATTTGATTAAATGTAAGTGTAGGCCTAATTGAGTACAGTAAGTTATTTCCAGATTCAAAATCCACCTTAATAGGTTGTTTTTTTGTTTAACTCCTTCCAAATTTATTATGTTAATAGGCCTATAAACACAAATTTAACTAAAAGCTCAACCATTTTATCCTGGAATCACACAACATACCTGTAGCCATAATTGGAGTTGGAAGTACATTCGATTTAGCCACAGTAACAATGTTTGTCTTAGGGTTGGACAGTACGATAGAGATGGTAGTCCCTGGCAATGTGACCGTACGAGACAGAACTAACGTATTTTGTACACCAGATTCTGTGGAGTTCTGTTTACTAGTTGGTGTTGCTGTACTTTTAACACTAACTGATATTTTTCCAGCACTATGAGTCCCATTTTGAACTTTTGAATTGTTTATTATCTTCACAGGATTGCTTAAACTGTTTAATACTTCAGGTTCACACTGTGACGAGGCACTCTGAACACTTAAGGTTTTGTTCAACTCTCTCAGAGGATTATTTGAACTATTCACGGACGATTTTTCACTCACACTTTTTGTACGGTTAGAAGTTTTTATTTCTTTTGTTTTACTCTTGTTCGCTTTACTGCTCTTTTTCTTCAAAGATGGCTTAACCTGTTGAACTACTTTAACTGGGTTTTCTTTTGTTTCTGTTTCACTGACTTTTTTCGGATCTGTAAATAAAAATAAGATGATATGCTGATTATTATTGGTCTTTTACCGGTTCTCTAAAAAGGAACTATGCTTTCACAAGAAAACTCATTGAAATAAATAGCCTAAGGCATTTTCCAATTATTATTATACTTTCTCATGAACTATTTATGAATCCAAGTCCATTACACTGAAACTTTGTCTTGACACTTTATGTTCATATAAATATCTGAATTGTCTACAATTACAATAAGAATTTCTTAACCTACTGGTATGCATTATTAAAAACCCTAATGTCATCTCATAATGCAATTTTTACTGTCACTAAACCGTCATTCAAGGACTTTACAATATTTGAGAAATTATCAAAAGTTTTAAATTTTCTAATTTTGAAGCATTTTAAAATTAAATTCTGTATTTCCAAGATGACATTTTTTATCATGACCTCTGAAGCAATGTGCATTTTTAGAAATAGTTCGAAAATATAATGCAAAAGAAATCTTTCTCATCTTTTTAGCATGATTTAGAGAAAGAAGTTTCAAAATTCCTAAATGGTTTGATTCTGGCTGTTATTTTCTTCCTAACTTTAACAAGGTGTTATTTTGAAACAAGTTTGAGATAGGAAGTTGAAATTTAAGATTTTTCTCAGTCTGGAGTACTATTGAACAAACATTCATGGGAATCTAAAATGGTCCAAGGTAAAATGACTGTTTGTTTAACATGAGAATTAGGCTCACCTACCAACTAACTACTGCACTTGTTAAGAAAAGTGAAGATGTGTTAAAATTACCTGCATCTGCCGATAGTTTTCCTTCCCACTTTTGTTGGTATGTCAGTGGGGCGTCTTGGCGGAGGGGGCGAGGAGGAAGTGATATTTTGGCAGTCTGCAGCAGTTCTGTCAGCTGTTTATTTCTCCTCTGTAAATCTTTTACTTGCTCTCTCAACGCCATCATTTCTGCTCCTGTTTCGTCATATTAATAAAACAAAACAATTCAAAATTGTTGAAAGCAAACTTTTTGCAGTTTATGGGAAAGAGGCATTCCTTGAGACATTTAACTTTTTCACAAATAATGTAGGCCTATGTATTTATTAACTTATTTAGGTAAATAGTTCCATTTGATATGGAAAATGCTGCAAAATGATACCTCTCTTATCTTTCTATTTTGATTCTGAGATGTGATAGAGTAGAGTAGTTGAAAGATTCACACAATGGGTTAATTCTGACATTACCTTTAAGGAGGTTTATTTTTTATAGCCTACTATTTGAGATATTACGTTGGAATTTGGGATTTTTCTTAGTCACTATGGGAATCACCAGAATACTAAATTTCATCAAGATCTGAGATGATCAGATAAAATGACTGTAGGCCTTTGCCCTAAATTCAACTTGGGTACCGGTAAGCTATTTTCATTCCAAATAATGAAAATTGTATACGCTAATGAAACTTAACTAGATACCTAAATCTTCTTCACATTCACTTACCTAGAACTTCATTACAGTTGGTTCCTAAAAGACTGGCATTTCTCTCTCGCAACTCTTTGACGTAAGATATAGATTTATTCAAAATTTCCAACTTCGTAAGGGTAAGAGTAGGATCATGATCAGGCAACAAGCGGCCCAACTCGAAAAAAGTCAAGTTCAAGCGTTCCCGACGATTTTTCTCCCACTCGACATTTTTACTGAAAAAAAAAATAATGTTTATGATTAAAAGTTTACATTAAAACTTAATTAATTGGAGCTTAAAACTTAATGGGTCTAGTTTTTAACTAACCTAATTGATAAAGCATTTTAAATCTGAATAAAAAACTGTAAAGCATTTAAATGATATTTAAATATTTTTACGCCACACTACACTATTTTGACGAACTTCCCACGCAAGGATTTAGTCTAGAAAACAGCTGTTTGCCGCCAGCTTTATCAAATGGGGTTTCATTACGTACTACTGTACTGTAATGAGTTTTACCGGACACCAATCAGCTGATTTATACTGTATTTGGGTGGCAATGAGTGGTTATAAACAAAAACACAACCTCTCTTAGAGGTTATGACTACCGGTAGTGATTTTTAGTCCTTTAGTTGGTGGTAATATATAAGAATTTGTACAGATTTATTAGTATGGCGTAAAGTATCGTACGTTACTCGTCCAAAATGTGTGTACCGGACTCGTATGGTAATCCCGTACACTCGACTTCGTCTCACACGGGAACGACCATACTCATACGGTAAACACTTATTTTCAGGACTAGTAACATAATACACCAAACCTGTTGGAACCTGTTGTTGTACCTTTAACTCCTTATTGCAAGTTTGACAAAAACGGTTTTCATTGGAATTCAAACCCTCACTCTACTGTCTTCTCAATCTACAGGTGCTGTTTTTTGGTTGTAACACCGTTATCTTGGTCTAATTGATCAAACTAAATTATATAAGGCAATTGTAATATTGTAAACCCATGCCCACAGGTTGTTGTTATAAGCTTGTCTCTCTAATAATCTAATCTCTCTCGGGGCGATGTCTACTTGTACCTGCGTCTAGTTGTACCTGCTGCATTTTGGTGACAGGCGTCTAGTTGTACCCCGTCCAAAGCTGTAGGGATAACTTGACGATGGTGCGACGTCTAGTTGTACCTACGTCTAGTTGTCTCTACGTCTAGTTGTACCTCTTAAAAATCTACAGGTACAACTAGTCGGAAACGCCACCGTCTACTTGTACCTCATACGTCTGCGTCTACTTGTACCTACGACTACTAGTACCTACGACTACTTGTACCTACGACTACTTGTACCTACGACTACTTGTACCTACGCCTACTTGTACCTACGTCTAGTTGTACCTGCGGCTAGTTGTATCTCCCCTTCAACTTGTCACCAGTTTAAGGGATTTATTTTATTTCTTTAAAAATCAACAATCTTACAACAATTTATTATAAACAACTTGCTACAAAAGCCAGGAAAATTTGGCTTGTCTGCAGCTCATTGAGAAACCCCTGTTCTTGATAACAACGTACTTGTGTCCCTTGGTCAGTCCTTATCCATATTACACTTTGGTTTTTCTTATTTCTTGTCAAGATCTGCTATCATTGTTTTTCCACTTAAACTGTACCTTTCTATAGAAAACTAACATTAACTAGCTTAAACAACAACTTTAAACAATTATCTTAAATAAATAAATTCAGAGTTTACAAAAACAAGTAATTGAGTATAATAAAGTGTTTTTGTACGGTATTAGTCACGGAGAATATTACAACAAGTTCAAATTAAAAATGTATATGTTATTCTTATGGATATTACGTAAACTGGTGTAGATTGGTAGTTGATGCATATACTTTGACAAATTAGTTTATTTCACACCTAACTACTAACTTTTCTCAAAAACACATCTTAATTACCTTCTACGCAAACGTAATTAAAGCTCAGTATTAAAATACCATTGAAAAAATAACCCAGATATGACTTTTTAGTAGCTCAAAAGTAGCTCAAAATGATTGGTCACAACACCACCTTCATATTTAAATTAAATGATCACATTTCAAAATGGCGGATCCAAGATGGCGGCTGAAAAAACTACATCCGTCATAACCATGTGAAAATGTGTCGACAATGAATGGTGGTGTATACTTATTTTTATCTAGCACTATTTTGAGATTATGGTCTTAGTTTGTTAATGCACAATGTTAAAATGCGCTAAAAATAAAGTTATAAAAGTCCTCATAACTTTAGAACGGATCAAGATTTGTTTTAAAAACTAATTACGGCATTGTAATCAGCGTACAATTCTAGTTTGAAATAACGGGTCACAACCCTACCTTTACATTTGAAAAAAAAACTTTGTATCCAATATGGCGGATCCAAGATGGCGGCCAAAAATGTATACCCAAGCAAAATGAAGTACTTACTACTCAACAATGATCTGACGTGGTCCGGAGATGATATCTTAAGAAATGTAGAAAAAAGTAGGGGGGAACTCATTTAAAATTCACCCTGTATAAATAACATTGAACTGATTAATTTAACAAATGATCATTGTTAATTTATTGTAACAATTAGGCTATGTACTGTACATTTATGTTTTATATTTATGTTTTATATGTTTGTTTTGTGCTGTATTTATGTTTTAGTATATATATATATACTGTTTAAATATTTATTTATTCAATCAATGTCCTGACTAATCAATACACAACCTAAACGATAATAACTAGAGATTTGATCATATTGGTTGTCATAGCATCTCTTTATAAGAAATCTGTCCGGAGTATGTGCAATTTTGGTTTATTAAACTTATTGGTAAATTGGTGTAAGATTGTTTTATGTTTATTCGTAATCCGGACGCATAATATCTACACGAAGTTGAAGCTTTTGCTTTGGTATTAAAAGTCAAGTAAAATAAATAAATAATTAAAATAAATACATAATTAAATAATCTTATAAATTTAAGAAAATGGGTTATTCGTTTGGCTCTGCTACCATTTTTATTATTGAGGTCTCAAATTAAAGGTATGCACGCACAGATTTGCCATCAAGCATCGGCGTATATTTTTCTATTATCTCACTCGGCTTGTACGTAAACGAAATTGCTCCCCATGTTTTTCTTATGGGAGTTAAATTTGGTTTTCATGATTTTCTTCGTTAGGCTAAACAAATCATGTTAACATTTTAATTTTTGAGTTGTCCTAATTCTTATAACGTAGTTTTCTAAAGTTATCTGTTGTGGTTGCCTAGAAATAATCGGACGTTTGTTTCTCCTTAGAAAATGTATTGATAATTATAATAGTGGTAGTAAATTATGTTACAAGTTACAAGACTATGACAAATTGCCAATTATTGAGTCAACTTGGTCCCCACGTACAGGCTTCGCATATGTGGGCCCTGTCGATTTTCAGAAATTACGTTCATTCTGTATCTATTATTCTTTTGTCTATCTATTGTTCTTTCTTTCTTGTTATTCATAATTGTAAACTAATTATGAAAATAAAATCAAAACAAATGGAACATATTCCAATCACATTTATTATTTACAGTGTATGTTAAATGGAGAAGTATGTGTAGTACATTGCATAGTTTTTGTCGAGTTTTCAACCGCTGGACCTCAACTTCATTGGTCATTGATCACTGGGAAATCCATTGTAAACTCTGGGAAATCCATTGTAAACTATAAGAAATGCACACTAATCAATGCAAATACTTTAAGGTTATGTGAAAAAATATTTAAAGGAATCAGCAAAAATAGTAATACATAATTGCTGGGCAGCGGTCTATTGCAATTCATTAGGGATATACTGCTTGTATATTTAATTATATATATAAATGTTTTAATTAAATAAGCGATTTTCGGTACTAGGGCTGGAAAATTTTAATCACAACTATAGCTGCCATTTCGACCCTGGACAGCAATGCGTAGCTTTCAGCCTCCAATTAACGTCTGTAAAACTACTAAAACATCGTATTGCGGTGAAAAATATTTGCCAATCATACTCAATCGACTCGGAACACTGCAGTTCCTGATTTAATGAAGGGTATTATTAAAAAGTACTCGTGCAGTAATCAATTAAACAGGGTAACGAATTGAAGGATAGATACAACTAGACTATAAGGACGCAAAATACGCGTAGGTACAACTAGACGTAGGGACTACTAGTCGTAGGGACTACGCATCCGTACAAGCTAGGTGATACTACTTGTCGGTGGAATACACGTCTAGTTGTACCTACGTCTACTTGTAGGTACCTACGTCTAGTTGTACCTACTAAAAATCTGCAGGTACAACTAGTCGGGTGAGCCACCGTCTACTTGTACCTACGTCTAGTTGTACCTACGACTAGTTGTCCCTAGGCCTCGAGGTACAAGTAGACGTAGGTACAACTAGACGGAGGGACAACGAGACGCGGTCCCATCTCTCTCTAATCTAATGCACTTAGGTTGCACCACATGTTGTGTGAGTTTGAATAAGTAACTGTCAAAACGAGCTCCGGCTCGTTAAATCATTTTGTTTTATTTCTTTGTTTGAGTCTATTCAAGTTAAATCGGTTCCGGCCGCGCAATGAAGCTTTTCATTTAATTTGTTTGTTTTGTTTTTGCTCAGGTCCGTGAAATACGGTACCTAGAAATACTATGTGTGGTGTTTAGTTATTAAACAAGGTTTATCATAATCAGCAGTAATTTAGCTGTGAGATATTTGATTTATGAAAGTAAGAGTAAATATTTGATTTATTAGAGTGAATTTAATTGTTTCTTGGGCTTCTTACTAACAAACATTCTTACATTTGTTTCTATTTCAGAAACGTAGGCCTACTTAACATTGTAGCTATTCATCGTATTTTAGACTAGAACCAGTGCACAGTAGTCATGTTCTATGTAGTTGCTTTAGCCTTATATTAATTATCGATGTGTTGATTATGTAAATTAATTTATGAATTGATCCTGCTACGAACACATTAACCAACGAAACTGCTACAAAGCTTAGAACCACACCTAGATAAGGATTTGGGCAAACAGACTGGCTTTGGGAATTTACGGTATCTGGCAGCGGCATTAGACAGTTGGGCCCCAACTTTTATCTCCGTTCCTCACCATTTCCTTAGTTCCTGGACTGTAGCTGTTATAGTGATCTGTGTGTTGTATGAGTTTTGTCTGCAGCTAACTGCTCTGGCTAGCTGTGCTGTAGTTTGCAAAGTATCTTTCTTCTTTCTCTATTAATTCGGGCACTCCGTAAATAAGATACTGTAGATATAAGTTAGTGTAAAATAATTCGGACACACCGGAAATAAGTTAGTTTATTAGTGAGAATTAAACCTACTCTTCCGCTAAACCCGGTAATTAGTCTTCAAGTGCTCAACCTGTGTGAGTGTTTCTCTTTATGTTAACGATCCCTGTCCACCCTACTCTGTATATTTGTCTGCACCTTTCCCTATTCCTACTCTCTCATGGGGACTAATCCACTGACCCCAAAAGAACTGTAAGATTTTAAACAGCTAAGATGCCCTCAAACTCTTTCTGCTCGGAACTATCTTCGAATCAAAATTTCCTTGTCTTCAATTGTTTCATGGCGATGATGAGGCACGGATAAAGCCAAGAGGCAAAAAACATTCCCGCCTGAGCCAGGAAAACGATTCTAGGACACAAAAGCAGGAAACACGATCCAAATAGGTACAGCAAATTCACAATCTTCAATGAATCAAGTAAACAATCCTAAGCCGTCCTTGAAAAGTTGAATGCAATAACTTAGTAAGACAAAGCTAGGTAGATAGAAGCCAGTCAGTGGTCGACTGTCGAGTTATGAAGTTTTACTTATTTATAAGTTAGGCCTAGGCTAAGTATTTTGAAATTGGATAAGGCTTACATCGACTTCATTGAGTCAATAAAATAACCTGAATGGTAAGGTGTAGAGTTAAGTTAGGAGACTGGACTAGGTTGCTGTTGCAAATTTGTCAGTTTTGGTGGTCTATGATGAGTTTGAGGGTAGACTTCCATATCTGTTGGCACAAACAACGGAATGAAAATATCAATCAATACCTATATTGTTTGGTTAGTTAGGTAAGGTTAACCTAACCAAACGATATATCAAATGAAACAATCAAATAACCAATATTTTCATTCGCTTGTTTGTGCCAACAGGGTACCATCAACTCTTAACCCCCCCACCGCCATCTAAAGTTTAAGTTGTAGGCTAAATATATGTTTAATTGAAGCAAGTTTTATTTTAGTTGTTTGACGCTGTCTATCCGGCCCTGGCTGGTCAAAGACTAAGAGGAGGTAATAAGGTAATAATAATAAGGTTAATAAGGAGTAAATAGGCTACCTAACCTGGGCTAGTTTAGGCCTAAATTTGGTAATTTCAAATAGGCCTAACTTATAACTTAATGCTTTGGAAAAAGAGAGAAACGTTATTCTATTTTACCACCATAACAACAGATAACTTTATCTTCAATCAAGTTCATCTAAATGTGGCCTAGTGTTGACCTATGTTCAAATTGAAATAGGCTAGGAAACAGAACTCTACCTATTTCTATCAACAAATTTCTAAGTTTAGAATACTTACACTCGTTTTAATCTTTTTACAGCACCCATATCGTTCAACTGTAATTACTCGTAAATCCTTTAATAAAACACTAATACTAAATAAAGCAAGTTTCACTTTCCATTTTTATAAGGTAAAGGTCTTGTATATTGGGCCTATAATTAAGAAACGTCAAAAAGTATGCTGTTTATTTATTTGTTATTTGTTTCTCTAATAATTCTTCTCTTCTAATAACTTTTTCTGAACTCAAAATTATAGTTTGGAACTTCTACCATGAAGCTTTGAACACTGAATTTTATGTACTAGAAACATTTTCTACTAGAATCAATGGTTATATAGTATTCTTTAGTCAATGTTTTGAGGCTTGCAATCGAAATTTCCCGTGCAATAATGTTAACAGAATATTAATTCACAAAAAAGTTATATAAACCATTTTAGCTGATCAATTGTACTTGCCTTTAAAGTATACAGTGCGTGAGATATTAGTTCGATGTAAATAATGTTTTGTGAGATGTTCCGAAACACAGTCTATATAGTGGCCTTCTAACGATCCAAACAAAATGAAGATACTCTCTTTCAAAGTCAATGGCTGTACCATAGACTAACCAACTAACAGACTAACGAGTATGTTTTATCTATGGCTGTACCCATAGTGGGTCGTCTTCAGCCATGGATAAAACCATTGACTATATATACCTATAGACTAATATATAGACTAGTATACATAGCCCACAGACAATAGTGTATGGAGAAAGTATTGTTTTCGTCAAAATTATCGAGTTTGAGTGGATATATTCGTTTTGGCCCCCTGGACCCAAAAAAAGTGGTTTTCTAAAAGATGTCTGTGTGTGTATGTGTGTCAGGATGTGTACAGAGCTTGGACTATATCTATGGATTGATTTACAGTATATGAAATTTGGTATGTAGGTTCTAATCCATGGTATCTCCAGGTGTTTTTTTCATTTTTTTAAAAATTTTGATTTTTAATTGGGATTTTCCCTTAAAAAACGGAAAATTGGATTTTCTCAAAAATGGCCCGAACGGTTTTGATAAATATTTAGTACGTTGTAGCCCTTTAAATTCTGAACAAAATTGTACAAATCCCATTTCTGTAAAAATTACGGTTCAAAAGTTATTGTAAATTATGTTATTTTCCCATAAAAACCCCATAAAACAACAAATACCCCCGCCGCACCAAACCTGTAGACTAAGCGAATTTCAACTTGTCTGATTACATTTTTACTAAAATATTTATATTTCCATAAATAAGACATATTTACTCCCAATTTAAATAACATTAGATTTAACAAGTGCTTAGGTTTGCTGCTATGGGGAAGGTAAAAAGTGTTTTTGACCATAGTATAGGATGAAATAAATAAATTTGCCAAATTTTATCAATATATATCCATAAACAAGTAAACTACAACAGTTTTCATTTTCTCCATAAGAATAACATAGGAATTTTAAATTACACTTTTTTTAAATTTTCTTCGTGACCGTTAGGCATACAACAGCGCTTCAATATACTAAATTATTTCTTTTTTTTTAAGCTCTACAAAATGGTTGAGAAAGAAATTGCAATTTTTTTTTGTTTTTAGGGTAAAAATGGGGAAAATCCATTTTTACCCCATAAAATCCCCTATAAACCCCTGTTCCCATGGTTCGATTATGCTGGTTCGCGAACTCGTTCGAATAAACGCAGGTTTACACGTTTGTACCAAATTTCATCAAAATCGGATAATTTTTGTTTGAGTTATCGCGCTAACGGACACATATATAAATAAATATATATACAGGGTGACAAAAAAGTCTGGAAACGGCTTGATATCTTTTTAACTAAATTCGTTAGAAAATTCAAACCTTTCACATCAACTTATATGTATGAAAACTACTTTTTGCAAGTATTACCATTTTTTTACCTTCACCAGGGGACGGCTCACGAGGAGTAGGTACATAATCTTTAATGTAAGCATAGGTTGATATGCACATCATTTTAAAGGTCTGGTCAAGTAGAGTTTATTGCCGGAAACCGCGTCAAAAAAGGTTCATTCGTTACAAAATGGCGGCATTTCAAAGTTCTTGCGGAATATACCTGCACAGGCCTTAGTAATGGTAAATACTCATAGTCAAAATTAGCCGGGAAATCTGAAACCCGTTTAAATTTGTTTTGAAGATTGAATAAACTTAGTCTATGGGCTAGTTGACTTTAAAATACAATTTTAGCTCTCAAGATAATGTTTAATACGAGTATTTACCAATATTAAGGCCTGTAAAGGTATATTCCACAAGAACTTTGAAATGCCGCCCAGTGGCGTTGCTTGGTTAAATTCTAGGGGGGGGGGGAGAAACCTCAAATTTCCCAACTGCTTAACACAGATTTCCCAACTATTACCCTGCTCCAAATACCACAAAAAAGGTATAAAATATATTTCATGTGACTGACGTGAAAAATATTTTTGAATTTCTTGTAAACACTAACAAACAACATAATTGAACAGAAGAGCTACATTGCTTGCACTTTCAAAATTCAAACTCGCAGTCTCGCAGACGAATCATTCAGAATCATCAACACAGGACAGGATCAAGGTAGCCAACATACGTCCAATAAGGAACAAAATTTCTTGTAAACGAAATTCCAACAAGCTATACCGCTAATTGATTATTGATTTCTTAAAATAAGGTGTGTTTAGCCATGGTTTAGTTTTGTTTAATCAAATTTAAATTAAATCAAAGAAGCGTCAAGTTTATTTGTCCAAGTCAAAGAAATTTTAACTTTGATGGATTTTCGCAAATAGGTATTTAAATTTTGTTTAGTTTAAAAATATATTTTTCTTGTATCTGACTTCCCAACTGCCCCAACTCGTGGCAAGGAAATTCCCAACTTTTCTCTTTCCCAGATTCTAGGGGGGGGGAGGCTCCCCCCCTACCCCCCCAAGGCGACGCCCCTGATGCCGCCATTTTGTAACGAATGAACCTTTTGAGATGCGGTTTCCGGCAATAAACTCCACTTGACCAGACCTTTAAAATGGTGTGCATATCAACCTATGCTTACATTAAAGATTTTGTACCTACTCCTTACGGGTCGTCCCCTGGTGGAGGTAAAAACATGAAAATGCTTGGAAAAAGTAGTTTTTATACATGTAAGTTGATGTTAAAAGTTTGACTTTTCTAACGGATTTAGTTAAAAAGATATTAAGCCGTTTCCAGACTTTTTTGTCACCCTGTATATGAATTTGAACGGATGGTGTTTTTTGTTCCTGGGGACCTCAAAACGAAAAAGTAAATCGGTCCCGGGTGTAGGTCTTACCATGAGACCTACGGTAATAGCTTATTCCCTATATGGGAAATTCGGTAAAAATAGGATTTTAGAAAAAATCCGGTTTTGATTTAACATAGTATGTTATGGTCCTTACAATTTGATAGCTTTTTTTCATTTTTTACAAATTTTGATTTTTAATGGGGATTTTCCCTTAAAACCCGATAAAATAACGGAAAATAGGATTTTCCCAAAAATGGCCCAAACGATTTTGATACAAATTTAGTATGTTATAGACCTTTATGTTCCGTACAAAATGGTACAAATCCCATTCCCATTTCTGTATAAATTACGGTTCAAAAGTTATAGTAAATTATGTTATTTTCTCATAATAACCCCATAAAAGAACGGAAAAATCGGATTTTCCCAAAAATGGCCCGAACGATTTTGATATTTAGTATGTTATAGTCCTTTAAATTCTGAAAAAATTGTACAAATCCCATTTCCGTATATTTACTTCACCGCTTACACATGATAAAGGTTGTCGACAAACTTATGGAAGAAAGTATGTGTCAGAGTGCTGATACCGTTTATTTAAATTTAAAATTGTTAATATTTAGAACATATTCAACCTATTACCATATATAACACATACCGCACTACAAATAGTTATTTGTGCAACTAGTGAGCAATTGTACCTTTCACTCGAGTTGCACATTATATTTTTCCTACAGTTACCATAAAACAAATAAATTGGTGAAGAAACGTAACATATTTTTACACAGAAGTGAACTTTTAATATAACATTTAATGTGAAGTTACAAATACAACAGTACAACAGCTGACCAGCTAATTTACAGCCAGTGCTGCCAACGTATTTCGCGCGCATGCGACATTGTCTGCATGTTACGCGCTCACTATTTCGTGCCGTAACGTTGCAAATCTGGAGTGAGACAAAGTAATTAGAGTGAGACAATGTTAACATTGTCTCACTGATGAGCGAATTGGCCACTTTGCTTTCTCAAATCAGTGAGAGAACATGTAGATTGTTAGGTAACTGTAGGAAAACATAATTTCTCAGTGTCTTAAGTCAATTATTGATCAAATCAATTTATTTTATTTGAATGTATTTCCAGAATTCCTTGAATAAGGCTGCGGCCACACGGACGTTTTTTCACGCACAAACGCAGCGTCAAAACACACGAAAAATAATATAAGCAGCATTAAATATAATGGGGAATGCCACACGCATTGTGTTTTCCCGCAGTAGCGGCATGTAGCTGGCGCCTATTTGTTTCAATGCTAGTCTACTTTTTCGCATATTTTCACCATAGACTAACCAACACAAGTAGACTTCTCATCCCATTGTAAATTTTGAAGCACGTTTTTCGTGTCTAGTTCATGTACGTGACACAAAGGCGCTAGTGTCGACGAAACTTAGTTTCTATTATTTTAGGGTTAATTTCTTGATTTGTGCTTTACTGTTTGGTTATATAACTAGGGGACAAGTTATTGTTTATGATTAGATCGTATTATTTGGTTAAACGAGGTTTTAAATGGCTGTAATAACGGGAAACAAATTGTAAACAAAACACGACCTCTACAGAAAACCGTACAGAACTAACAATAAAATTGGCTTCAGCTGTTCCATAAGGATGGGAAATCTACTAAGGGAGTATGTTGGGAGTATGTTTTATCTATGTTTTCACGCTGCGTTTGTGTGTGAAAAAAACACCCGGTGTGGCCGCAGCCTAACAAAACGGTCCAGAAGGATAGTATCAGTGATACCAACTACAAAATCACTTACTTGTAATTAAATCCGCTGGCGAATTTACGCTGCATCCGTATCGAAGGTTAAGCTATCCCCACCCGATCCAATACAATTGAATTAGACTAGATTAGAGATTCTTCTTTCTATTAATGGCATTGGCAAATGGCAATGGCAATGGCAAGTGGCAAGTGGCAAGGCAATATGGTGGACTGGACATTTACTATCAAGTTATTTTGTGCTGATTATGATTTACACTCTTATAATAAATTTTAAAATTTAATAGTTTGATAATTTACTTATCGAGATCTGTTTAAATAATTTTGCATAATTAAAATGGATCTGTTTACGACCCTTCACAACTCAAAATTAAGTGGACAACTTGGTTCTTGAAGTTCTATTTTTGTTTTTGTGCTGGACATAACCTAACCTTTCATTTGTTAAAAAAACAAAGGTGCTTTTTAAGCCTTAGGGAATTCTGTGTTTGTGTTGTTTGGTAAATACTAAAAATATTTTACTATGGATGATAAACGTGTTGCTGATTATTTTGTGGTTGCTGGGCTACCTGAAGAATTGGAACCTGTTGATGACATATCTAAAGATGGATATCACTTGAAATGGTACCATACAAAACCTCCAATTACGGACATTGCAATAGTATTCTCATCATTAGGTGAGACATGTCCAAAAGATTTCGAGATGATTGAAGAAACACCTACTGGTAAGTTGACATTATTTAGGCCTAGTAAACTTAACTTATAACTTAGTCATATTTTAGGCCTAGGTGGGCCAAGGTTATCCATGTTGACTTCTTTTAGAGTTATGCTGGCTCCAATTGCAAGGCCTACTGGTTTTTGTTAGTAGTCTACTTAGTTACTTGAATAGGTTTTGGTGGTGCTCGTAGCGGCCAGACAGCGTAACTCTTGTGGCGCGCCCTACTTGATTCCTTCATCTTTGACCAACAAAAGTTGGATAGGCCTAGATTGCGTCAAAAAAAAGATTAAACTTCTAAAACACTATAAACATAGCCTATCTTACAATTTTATCTGATCTGACTGATGTGACTCGAATTTTTGGAAAGGCGATTGGTTCGTCAATCAGTTCCTTGATCGAGTAGGCCTACAGGGGCCTACTGACTAGGCTCTGGCGAAGTGCAGACTTAAACTGTTTTGTTTCTAGGGTCAGGATGGTTGTCGGTAGCGTATTGAATAATTTTATCGCGAGAGATGGGTATGAATTAAGCGTGTGGCTAAGTCGACAACGGGGTCAGTAGGCTTCTAGACCAATCCTTAGAGGTATTTTTCAGTCAGGACAGTCTTTAAATTAGTGTACCGTACCCCTAACTTGGGTTAGGACTCCTCTTTTATTCATTTTGTAACAAAAGTATGGCGTTAGATGGTATTTAGGCTAACTATCTACCAATGGTTTGGACAGTTCCCGTACAAAAACATATAAGTGTATCACAATGTAAAACGATTGTACAAATGGTGTTTACCGTAAAAATAAATAAGTTAACTTAGGCTATCAATTCTAGTAATGTAGAAATGCACAAAATAAAATATAGGTAACTAAAGTTTAGGCTATATATAGGCTATTAGAAACAGAGGACTGCGGGTGTTTGTGTTGATGGAACGTGACTCATTCGAGGTAAGTTTCGCCTATGGCATAAATGGAAAAACTAGGTAGGTACCTATAACTTTATGCAAACAACTAAGTTTATATAGGGCTAACCTAACATGCCACAAACAAAACAAACTTAAATGTTTCTTGGATAAATTAAGTTAGCTACAGCCTAGTAAACATGTGTTCAACAATATCTTTAATAATGTTTTCCCCAAAGCAGAATCCGGGCTATTTGGCTAGCAGGTCAGAGCTGCTTAGCATCATTGTTGGTTTGAGTCTACAGGTACTGTAACTTAACTTAGCCTACTTAGGCTATTTAAATTTTTCCCAGACTTTTTACTTCAGGTTAGGTTGGATTCAAAATGTTGACTTTTGGGTCACAAACCATAATCCCCCACCAATAGGCCTAGGCCCCAAACTTGCCTCTATTTGATAAGTTAGCCAACATTTTATTTTATTGGAAGCATCCAGTAGTCAGTTCGAAACCAGGTTGCTAATGGAAAGAATTAGTTTTACTTCTTTTAGGCCTAATATTTAATTTGTTTAAAATACAATAGGCCTATTTTGGACATTTTTTCCAGCAATCACGTTAAAATCACAAACATTTTCTGTTTTAATGAAATCGCGAACATACTTAGATTTCAAATTGATTTGATTAATTAATTAATTTGATTAATTACTTTGATTATTAATTAAGATTTGAAATACTATTGGATTGAAATTATGGATAGGTAAGCGTATCTTTTGGGGTCAATGAGTTATCATCATCGTCTCTCAAGGTTACGACAAAATTGTAAACATCTCCCGTGGTTGTGGTAGAATTGTTTAAATCCTCGAAATGCTATCTTCATAGACGATTTCTGCGATTGTGATTGTCTGCTGCAGCTTATTTTACACCGATCCGTTCTTTCTGCAGACCTTCTTCTCAGGCTGTGTCAATGTCGCACTGTCCCCAATTTACTGCTTTAGTTGATTTTTCTTATGTTGTAATACAGCTTAATGGTTCTCTCCAGCTCCAGGAACTGTTGGATCGATTTAAGTAGATTCCAAAATTCTAATGTCGTTCTGTTATTCCAACACATTCGTAATTTTATTTCATGTTAGAAATCATGTTAGATTGAACAGTGTCAACTATCCGACCTAGACTGACTCTGGCTAAGTCGGACGAGCGGAAATGTAAGATTTCTTACACAAAACAAACAATTTTTAATATGTTTTAAACATTTTATACTTGACAATCTAGTTTCTCTGTTGTCAAACCTATCCAAGGTTATAGGCCTACTTAAGTTGTTCTTCAATCAAAACAACAACCTTAACATTAGGTCTATATTTATTCACATAATCACAAATTTTACTCAAACTTAGAAAGTAAAAGACCACTCACCTGTATAGGTCTATGATATGGCTTACCTCCTGAAAATAGGGTACAATTTTATAGACGCTTCTCTATTATCCGAAGGGAGTTTCAAATAGCACTGAAGGTCGGATTATAACCAAAGATCAATAAATCAAGAGTCCACTTTACTAGAGAACAATTCTCAATTTTACTCACAACTTATAGGAGGCTACATTTCTACAGTACCTAATAGATTTGTACAATTTGAACTGACCAAGCTGTAAAAAACCGAAGCTGTTATTAATAGTAGGTATATATAGCGTGTGTAGTAAAAATCACACAACCATTTTGATGTTGGTTGTTACCGGTACATTTAGATTGGAAAAAGCTGTGTCCAATGTAAATCCATTTAAATTAATTCTTGTTGTAATTTAATTTTGGCTAAACAACTTTACCTATTGTAGGCTATCTTAACACATTTTTATAGTTAGGTAGCCCTAATTTTTGGATGCCTGGATTCCCCCCAAGACTTTTTGAGGCTGTTTAGAATTGTAACTAACAAACTAACCACACTTATAAAAACCAAACATTATTATGTAAATTCAATATCACTTTACGGTAAAATTAATTTTTAAATATTAATATTATCCTTAATTTATATCAGCTTTTAATATGCAGATGTGTGAGTTGCTTTCTAATAAGTGTTTAAATGATTAGTACAGAAAGGAATAGATGAAATAGATGATAGTTTGATTAATATGAAAAAGCAAATGAAGCTGTAGTAGCAATGAGATATCAAAGTCAGCCAATACATAGGCAAGTAACATTATTCATAGTGAAGCCCAAAGACAGTGAACAATTTTTTTTCACAAAAAAATTGCTAGCCTATCAAAGTTGGAAAAGAGTTCAGTTTATGAGGTTTGCAAAACTTAGTAAAGTCAGGTCAACTACTGTTCTTCAAAATGTGTACGCAAGAGTAAATTTGCAGTCAATTAAAGTCGTGCTGACTTCATTAGAATCTCATTTTGTGACAGTCTGTGGTTATTCTCGATGAAGTGATAAACGTAACAAAAGCTAGTTCAACACGAGACCAAGTGGGATGACAGGAAGCTGTAGAGATTGTGTATCAAGCTGTCTGTCCATCTGTCTGTCCCTTAGTCACTTGTGGAATCCAGTTTCAAGGTTGACAAAACACTGTACACAACTTGCGCAACTAGTGACTCCAGCCAGCATAACTAAACAGATCATTGACAATTATAGTCACCACACCAATGAGCTCATTGATTTCATTTGCACTCATTTCACTTTCAAACCACTATTTTTACCTCCGGTGTCTGTCTCATGTTCTTATTTAATACGTTCACTTTGGTGCTGCTCTCGTTGTAGTTTTATTATGATAAAATATAGTATTTTCCTTATAATCATGAGTGTTGAATTATTTTGAATTGAAATGACAATAATAAACATTTATAATATGGCACTTGGATTGTTTTGTCTCTCACATTAATTTAAAAAAAAATACCCCCGCCGCAGCAAACCTGCAGACTTGGCGAATTTCCATCTGCCTGATTGGATTTTAACTAAAATGTCTCCTTAAAAATATCACATTTATTCCCTATTTAAACAGAATTAATTTAATGAGTACTCAGGTTTGCTGCAACAGGGAGGGTAAAACTTTTTTAATGTAAAATATTAAAAGGTACTGTGGTTTAGTAAGAAATTAATGTATTTTCAAAATTTGATCAAAATATGTTCATAAACAAGCAAACTACAACAGTTGACTTGTTCTCCATAAGAATAACATGGGAATTTTAAAATTACAATTTTTTTGAATTTTCTCCGTAACAATTAGGCACATAGTAACGCTTCAATATACTAAATTATTTGTTTTTTTAAGCTCTACAAAATGGTTTAAAAAGAAATTGTGAAATTTTGTGTTTTTAGGGTCAAAAATGGGAAAAACCTTTTTACCCCATAAAACCCCCCATAAACCCCCGTTCCCATAGTCCGATCATGCTGGTTCGCGAACTCATTCAAGTTTATCCTGCCTTACACCTTCAAACCAAATTTTATCAAAATCGGACAAAAATTACTCAAGTTATCGTGCGGATGGACACATATATATATATATATCTATATATAGATATATAAAAATTTGAACGAATGGTGTTTTTGGCCTCTGGGGACATCAAAATGAAAAAGTAAATCGGTCCCGGGCTTAGGTCTTACCATGAGACCTACGGTAATAGCTACTTCCCTATAGGGAAATTCGCTAAAAGTAAAGAAATATTTTTGAATTATATCTTGGAGTTCTCTACTAGGTCTCATAATAATTACTGTAGCCTTGAATCTCTAAATGCTTGAATAAATTACTTTGTACAATGTCATTTTTCAACGTTTTTGTTCACTAACTACTTTTACATTTTTGATCTCATTACTCTTTTAACACGACACATTGCATTAAAACCATAATTAGTATAGGTTTTAGGGTTCTATATGAGTTTAAAACAGAATAAATAACCAGGGAATGAGTCATTCATTCAGCATCAGTGCTGTATCAGCAGAATGGCAGAGATAACTCTATGGGGAAGTGTTTAGTCAACAAATAGTGTCAATGAAATGTACTTCTGAGTGAATCATATCGTTGGATTTTTGATTGGAAAGCTAAAATTAAATTTATCTCAGTTACTCAGTTGTGTTTATTAAGTTGTAAACAAAATTATAAATATAGCATTTTAAGAAGGCAGATGATGTTGAATGTGCCCATTGTTTGGTGGGTTTCAACAGTTACTGAAAAAGGGCTGGTTTTAATTTTAAAATTTCAAAAGTGCCTTAGAAAAACTAGTATAAATCCGTTCATATTCATAGGTACTCTGAAACTATAAATGACCATGAAAAAAGAGAAAGTATGTTTATTTTCTCAATAATTATGTTTAGTCATATCAAAAATGTAAAGTAGGCCCTACATTATTCAGTCCTATAATTAACTTATTGATCAACCCATGATTTCTGAAATCAAGTATCTTTCTCCAATTATATCCGATAAACTATGCAAAGAATCCTTTAGAGTCACTGAGAAATCACAGATTGAGGGAACTGGTGCTCATGCTTATTTTAAAATAATAAATTCGCTCAGGTTTGGAGTTTATGTGGAGGATTGTGCAAGTCGTGAGTAATAACCCTTGAAAAATCAGATTATCTCTGAAAACGTAACAGATAAAACAAAATGTAATCAACAGTGAAGTACTGATATCAAAGTGCGGGAGAGAACGAGAGAGAACGAGAGAGAAAGATAAAGGAGGCGAGGTGTTTACTCATTTAATGGCTATAAAGAAGCCATAACGTCCAGAGAAGCAACTTTGACCTCTATTGACTTATTAAATCACTGCTTGACCTGTGATCTGTACTCCAGTGTTCTCTTATTTGCTTCAATTGGGTTGGAGATTTTTAATTGGGGGTTTCTGCGATGAGTTTTATTTGTTTAACTGTGAACCACCCCTTTTATGATTTACTCCATTATACAAAACTGTAAAGTCATTTTTCATGCTTAATCTAGGCAGAAACTCAAAAAGTAGTTTTCATATTGAGAAACTTTGATGTATCAATGATCCTTTTAATGCCAAATTTCCTTAAAAGAAAATGAAATTAAAAATTATGTTTTTTAACCGGCTAAGCTAAGGCCACTTGGCACTTTCTTACAGATACAAAATTGCAACTTAAACATATTTACAATGTAGGCTCTAATAAATCTACAATATGTGAACATTTTACAAAAATGGAGAAAAATATAAACATATTAGGGTACTAAAGGTTAAAGAAACCTTTATGACAAAAGAAAATCAAACACACTTAAAATGTTACACAATCACACTCACTCTCGTCAGTAATCCCCAATGCGTACAAATTCCTTAAGACTTTCCTGCTGTTAATAAATATTTGACTTTGACTTCAGGACAAACCAAACATGGCAATCATGGATTTCAATAGTAAAATAGAAATCATTCCAAAGACAACAAGCAGTAACAACAAACACTTTGAAAATGAATAGGTAGTTCAGTAGGCCTACATGTATCATTTAAGTTAAGAATCTAACACAGATTTACTGCCTTGGACGATTGGCAGGAATTGAGAAGCTTTAAAATTGGCTCTCTTTCAGAAATGAAATATTTATAATAAAAAAAGTTAAATCACTAAACTGTGTAATGTGCTAAATTGGGATCGACAAAAATTAGTAAACTTTGAACTTGTGGTAGTTCTAAACTTGACCGAGGTATTGCAACCTTTGTCAGGTATAGCGTCAGCTGTTTTTGATTAGTTACCCTCTCTCATTAGTGGAAGTTTAATTGTGTCTGATTTATGTGCCTTTCAAGCTCAAAGGGTTCACATATAATTTTCTAGTTTTAACACATTTTGACCAAAAAAAAAACAATAGACTATGTTGTTTAGGTAAAACAAAATAAAAACTAACTTAAAACAGAGATGATATGCATTTATGGATTTTTCAGGTCTATCAGCTGATCTGAATCACGGCAGTCTCCGTAGTCCAAAGGTGTTTCTGTGTTATCGGCGGGGCCGAGACCGACCTCCACTTGTAGATGTTGGGTAAGTTAAGGACATCTGAGACATCTGAGTGACTTAGTCGCTGAGGATGTTCCTGTAAAGTACAGTAGACCCCTCTTAACCGACTTCTCATTTAGCGATAGCGGGATTATCTGCCCTCGTTTGTAAAATATTATAGTTTGTTTTAACTGTCCTTTTTTTACAGCAGTTCGGTTTAACCGCTGCATTATAGGAATCTCAGCACTTCCCCACGCTCGGCAAAGGGAACAATACACTAAAATCTATTGGATGTTACAGGCTATAAATAAACATCCTGTCTCATAATGAAATGGTTGCTTGGTATCTTTAATTTTGACAATAAGTCTTGTACTGTATTACGATAGATTTGGAAATTATCAATTAATATTACTAAAGGTATTAAAATAAGAACTTGTATTGACTCTAGCATACGATTATAATTATTTATTCAACTAAAAGTATTTGACTTTACTGTGTTTTGGGGTTATTTGTGGCTTTTCTATTGTAAATACTTAAGATAAACAGAGATAAGTGTAGTTTATTTTGTAAATAATGCACACATGACTTCAGAATAGTGATTGTAGAATTCCAAATTAATAATAGTATGGCCTACTTAATTTTTTGAAGTTTTAGGGATTGCCCGCTTTAACCAACCTTTTGCCTTATCTGACCTAGGTCCGGTCCCGTTAGGGTTGGTTAAGTGGTCTACTGTAAGTGTAAAAGCTCTGGTAGCAAACTGTCAATGTTGTTGACTTAAAACATCCCTATGTAAAGTATAATTTTTAAACATTTTAGAAAGGGTTTATTTGCTAACTTTTGTATCCTTAATTTCGCAGAGTGATGTACGAAGGTAAGGAGCGTATCCTGCCGGACTCTGAGATTCTGGAGAAGAGCACGGGAGGCCGGGTGGCCAATGTCAACAACTCAGTGGCCAAGACGTTCCTGACGTACCGACGGGCGCCTCCCAGCATGCCGTGCAATGCTCTGGTCGTCACGGAGATCGTGGTGATCTGTACCAGCAAGGGGGAGATGCCGCCCCACGCCTTCTGTATGATCAGCAAGAACCTCAACAAGGGACTGGTATGTCAAACATACCTTCAGTTTCTAGAAATGAAGAACAATATTGACTATGAACAAAAGTAGACATACCATTTCAATGTTAAAGTTGTTTTGCGATTTTCAGTACAAAAGTGAACATTGTTGACAGAGAGTTCTGATGTCAATTAGTGATTTCTGTCGTATAATCTACTTTTTATAGTTTCTGAAAGAAAAACTTACTGTAAACTATAGCAACTTTTATACAATGTCAATCATAAAAAAATTAAAAAATTGAGAGAAAGTAAAATTTATATAGCATCACTTTCTGTTAGCATCCTATTATAAGTTAGATTAAGATGAAATATTGGTTGTAACCAAATTCTTTACAGTAAGTATGAAATGTTTTCTTATTTTGGGTAGGCCAATACAAATTCAATGGCTATACTTAGGTTGAATTTAGTTCAGTCATAATTTTTTATTTTTTTGTGAGTTACCATCATTAAAATAAAACATCACTTTAGGCCTGCAATGCATCAAGTCTTGCTTACTTTAACATGACTGTCGCTGGGCAAGTAAATCAGTTTGTTCTGTGAGGTACTGTGTCGGAGAGATCTATAAATTTCAGATTTCATGCATTCAGCAAAGTCACAGGCTAACTGGCGGTTTGTGGAAGGGTGAGGGGGTGTCTGTGTCTTTAAATTAAAATTGTTTGATTTTGTCAACGGTTTGTGCCACACTAAACAAAATTGAAGCTTATGGTGATGATGAAATAATAGTAAAATTTATAAATGATACAAGGTGATTTCAAAATATATGTCCTTTCTTAACAAGAATAAAATACAGGGATGGACGGGTCCCGAAATTTCGGGAATTTTTCGGGAAAAAAATATTCCCGATTATCGGGACGGGATAACATTTGATTCGGGAATTTTTCGGGACGGGATTTGGTCCGATCGTCGGCGATTTTGCCGCTTCGCGAGTGCCGTTGACGCCGGTATTGCGAGCGATAGGTCCGCGAACGCAGGAGACGAAGTCATTTCGACGATCGCGCCGTGACCGCGGAGTCCTACCGACGATCGCGCCGTGACCGCGGAGTCATACCGTCGATCGCGCCGTGACCGCGAGTCATACCGACGATCGCGCCGTGACTGCGGAGTCATACCGACGATCACGCCGTGACCGCGGAGTCATGCCGACGATCATGCCGTGACCGCGGAGTCATACCGACGATCATGACGTGACCGTGGAGTCCTACCGACGATCGCGCCGTGACCGCGGAGTCATACCGTCGATCGCGCCGTGACCGCGAGTCATACCGACGATCGCGCCGTGACTGCGGAGTCATACCGACGATCACGCCGTGACCGCGGAGGTCATGCCGACGATCATGCCGTGACCGCGGAGTCATACCGACGATCATGACGTGACCGTGGAGTCCTACCGACGATCGCGCCGTGACCGCGGAGTCATACCGACGATCACGACGTGACCGTGGAGTCCTACCGACGATCGCGCCGTGACCGCGGAGTCCTACCGACGATCGCACCGTGACATCGAGTCATACCGACGATCGCGCCATGACCGCGGAGTCATGCCGACGATCGCGCCGTGACCAAGGAGTTATGCCGACGATCGCGCCGTGACCACGGAGTCATGCCGACGATCGCAACGTGACCACGGAGTCATGCCGACGATCACCCCGTGACCGCGGAGTCATACCGACGATCACGACGAGACCGTGAAGTCCTACCGACGATCTCACCGTGACCGCGAGTCATACCGACGATCGCAACGTGACCACGGAGTCATGCCGACGATCGCAACGTGACCGCGAGTCATAACAAAGATCGCGCTGTGACCGCGATTATTGGACCGACGATCATGCCGTGACCGCAAGGTATACCGGCGATCACCCCGTGACCGCGGAGTCATACCGACGATCACGACGTGACTGTGGAGTCCTACAGACGATCGCGCCGTGACCGCGGAGTCATACCGACGATCGCGCCATAACCGCGGAGTCATACCGACGATCACGACGAGACCGTGAAGTCCTACCGACGATCTCACCGTGACCGCGAGTCATACCGACGATCGCAACGTGACCACGGAGTCATGCCGACGATCGCAACGTGACCGCGAGTAAATTGTTTGATTTTGTCAACGGTTTGTGCCACACTAAACAAAATTGAAGCTTATGGTGATGATGAAATAATAGTAAAATTTATAAATGATACAAGGTGATTTCAAAATATATGTCCTTTCTTAACAAGAATAAAATACAGGGATGGACGGGTCCCGAAATTTCGGGAATTTTTCGGGAAAAAAATATTCCCGATTATCGGGACGGGATAACATTTGATTCGGGAATTTTTCGGGACGGGATTTGGTCCGATCGTCGGCGATTTTGCCGCTTCGCGAGTGCCGTTGACGCCGGTATTGCGAGCGATAGGTCCGCGAACGCAGGAGACGAAGTCATTTCGACGATCGCGCCGTGACCGCGGAGTCCTACCGACGATCGCGCCGTGACCGCGGAGTCATACCGTCGATCGCGCCGTGACCGCGAGTCATACCGACGATCGCGCCGTGACTGCGGAGTCATACCGACGATCACGCCGTGACCGCGGAGTCATGCCGACGATCATGCCGTGACCGCGGAGTCATACCGACGATCATGACGTGACCGTGGAGTCCTACCGACGATCGCGCCGTGACCGCGGAGTCATACCGACGATCACGACGTGACCGTGGAGTCCTACCGACGATCGCGCCGTGACCGCGGAGTCCTACCGACGATCGCACCGTGACATCGAGTCATACCGACGATCGCGCCATGACCGCGGAGTCATGCCGACGATCGCGCCGTGACCAAGGAGTTATGCCGACGATCGCGCCGTGACCACGGAGTCATGCCGACGATCGCAACGTGACCACGGAGTCATGCCGACGATCACCCCGTGACCGCGGAGTCATACCGACGATCACGACGAGACCGTGAAGTCCTACCGACGATCTCACCGTGACCGCGAGTCATACCGACGATCGCAACGTGACCACGGAGTCATGCCGACGATCGCAACGTGACCGCGAGTCATAACAAAGATCGCGCTGTGACCGCGATTATTGGACCGACGATCATGCCGTGACCGCAAGGTATACCGGCGATCACCCCGTGACCGCGGAGTCATACCGACGATCACGACGTGACTGTGGAGTCCTACAGACGATCGCGCCGTGACCGCGGAGTCATACCGACGATCGCGCCATAACCGCGGAGTCATACCGACGATCGCGCCGTGACCGTGAGTCATACTGACGATCATGCTGTGACTGCGAGTCATACCGACGATCATCCCGTGACCGCGGAGTCATACCGACGATCACGACGTGACCGTGGAGTCCTACAGACGATCGCGCCGTGACCGCGGAGTCATACCGACGATCGCGCCATGACCGAGGAGTCATACCGACGATCGCGCCGTGACCGTGAGTCATACTGACGATCATGCTGTGACTGCGAGTCATACCGACGATCATCCCGTGACCGCGAGTCATACCGATGATCACCCTGTGACCGCGGTCATTTTGACGATCGCACTGTGGCCGCGAGTCACAAGTTTCTATAGGTACCTGTATATTGTTACCCATTTTTTGGTTTTTATAGATCAGTACCACAAACAGTAAAAATTGATTTTGTATGTCTTTTTTTGGTAACTGCAATACTCAAGACTTTCTTTTTATGCACAAATAAAATCCCGTCCCGTCCCGTCCCGAAAATCGGGAAGGAAATAAAAATCCCGTCTCGTCCCGTCCCGAACTAAAAATTCAATCCCGTCCATCCCTAATAAAATATCAATGTTAATATTGTGATTCTGATCCAGGTGGGAGCCGACATTTTTATTTGTTACAAGAAGTCTATGAATCGACCAAATCTCATTACTTATAAACCAGGTTAGTTTAAATACACTTCTACATATACCTTTTTTTACCAATTTGCAATTTGTTCTGTTTAAATGTATTTTGTCAACATTTTATTGCAAGAGGCTTAGCCTACCTTTTATATTCAATCTGTAGATATTTTTACAGTTAAATCATAAAAAATTCTGAAATTTATTTAATTTTGAGTTAAGTATTACCTAAGTCATACCATACATGGTTTTTTACAACCTATTAAAGTATGCCTTAAGATCCAATGATAAAAAACATCCTGTTGCCAATCCCTACTAGGTTCCCTGAACTCTTTTAATTCACATGTTCTGGGGTAAAAAAAATGTATCAAGCCTTATTTATCCTTCGCAACTCTGACCTTTTCAAGCAACCACATTCGTGGTTTTTACATTTCGTGGGTTAAATATTCTTACTGTAGACACTTTCTTGCTAATCTGACATGTTCATTGTTAAAGACTTTATAAGTGCTAGATTATACAATTATGTCACAAACTGAACACCTTCTAAAAATTACAATTCTTTCATGGATGAAAAAATGCCTTTAAAATTTATAGTCCAAAGGGCTAATATGCCTGTTGAGACCAGACTTAATTTCCAGTTTCCACTAAATGTTCCATAATATTACACTGATTTCAATTAGTCCATTTGGTTATATTCCCCCACTACTTCCTTGAATTAATCATTTATCTAATTACAAAACATGTTTTAAATGCTCTGTAATTTCCTTTTACCTTCCCACTTTGAAGAAAGAAAGTTTTCTGCCTTTTCTGTTGGATTCAAGATGGTCTCCTACCAACCTTAACCCAGCAGTTCTTGATCATTGGGTTTTCAAAAATGATCCTGACAAAAAAAACTGTTCCTAGTCAGTAACGTTAAGCTATACAATACACCTCATGTTATTCTACACTTATCCTTCACTCATGTTTGGGTTTAAGTGAGCCAAGCTGCATCCTAATCTCAAGTAACAATAATAATAATATTCAACATGCGAGGCATTTTCGAGCATCTTATTCATATTTTTTTTAAATCAGGACATTCGTTATTTGACAATTAGATTCTACACTTCTGTTAGCACACTTATCTGAATAAGAAAGTCTACTTTACTCAAGTTCTTCGTGTTTCTTGTGTCAGAGAGAACTATTTTTCTATTCAAGTAAGCCTTCTATCCAACCAAAACTTCTTAACCTAGGCCCTCGTGCTCTACTTTACATCTTTGACATTACTGCACATTTTGTTATCTGTAGGTACCCTGTCGCGCTACCCCCACCACGACCAGGACAGTTTCCCCCTCCCACCCTCTGTGCCGTTGTTCTGTCTACCAATGGGAGCCACTCTGGAAGCTTGGCCTTCGACAGCTCGTCAGCCGGACCCTGTCTTCTCAACATTTGTACTTACTGTATCCGATGCAGCGCAGAAGGTAATGTAGCTCATGAGAGTAAGCAGTTTGAAAATTATGTACAACTACCCATTTCTTGAATTTGTTAACAATATGTTTGCCGCAATGTTACCAGTTTCAAAATCTCTAGTTTCTTGATCATTTCGGAATACAGTAGAAGCCCTCATATCGGATCTCAGCATAGGATATCCGACCTAGTGTCTGACTGTCTACTTGTTTCCTGTATGGGGTGATAATGGCAGGCACGTTCTGTGAACTAAATGGCCAATCAAGGCTGTCGCCATAATCACGGCCGACGATGACTGCTCTTGCCAAGACCACAAGATGTGCTCACGAGTGTTGCCGCAATCACGAGTGATGAATATCAGTGCCACTAAGACTGCAAGACGTGCTCACGGATGTTGCCACAGGTGCGGTAGGAGAACGGGTGTCGCTGAGACTGCAGGATATGCTCACAGGTGTTGCTGTGGTCACAGTAGACGATTACCGGTGTTCCAGATACCGCAAGATATCCTCCCGGGTGTTGCCGCAATCGTGGAAAACGATTGCCGTTGTCACCAAGACAAGTAATGCTCCTACCGAGATCCGACCTTTTGGCCGTTCCAACCTTGGCCCGGTCCCGTTATGGTCGGATACATGGATATGGGCTCTACTATACAAAGATTTTTTTAAACATTTAGGAGTATTAATGTATCCTGTATGAACAGTATGTATTGCATAAATTCTATATTTAATGTCACATATTCATTGCTAAACCTCAGGCATCTTGTTAGGAATTTCTGTGATGAAAAAATTGAATTGATCAAATTTTCGTAAAGAGGAATAATTAGATGTACGTTATTAGATTTTTTTTAGTTTTACTAGTTAAAATAAACTTAGTTAAAATTTACAGGCAATATTAAGAAAACTCTTCCATATTTTAAGACTAAAAGAAGATCTTCTGATTTATTCTCATTGATTCCTAGTATAATAGTGTCGGTAACCTTGTCTGTGAAGGTGTATGGATCAGCTGTGACGTTCTATGAGAGAGTTCCGCCAGACAAACTGACAGAGGAGCAGCTTCATAAATTAAACCCAGAGGGCGACACTGTCACATACAACATGAACAAATGTATCTGCCTGCTCTCCTGTTGGCCTTTCTTTGACACCTTTGAGAAGTTCCTGCTGTTTCTGTACCGCATGTCCTGCGAAGGAAGCCATGCTGTCCCTATCGAGAGGTAAGAAGTTTAACCTACAAAATAATGCTTCTACAGACACTAAGTCTTCTAGGTGCAACTGTGCCACAGACAGAAACTTGCCAACGACACGGTCGTTCCCAGATAACTGAGTTTGAAAGTTGTAGGGGTCTGCAGTTTTTTTGGGGGTTGAAATACACAACACATATAGGAACACTGAATGTAAATACAAAAAAATATGTTTGCTACGATAAGTGTTCTTTGAAAAATTACATTGGCAGTCAGAGTAGTAGGAACAAGTTGGGGGAATAAAGTCAGCGCTATCTCTGATCAAATTGCCTTTGTCAGTTGGGGTAATTTGATCCAGATGTGTTCTCTTGTAGTAGTGTGTTAAAAAAATAACATTTGCCTTGGGCTGAAGTTTGTCATCGAGGTTGTAGGTGTTCAAATCTCAATTTTTGAAAATTCTTAAGTTTATGACGCACTAAGTAACATAATTAGATTTACTCCCTTTATAGCTTAGATTTAAATAAATGATTTTTATCAACAATTTACCTCTATAATCACCCTAAATTGCAGAATCGACAAAGAACTAAGGATTGCTGTTTTTCAATTCAATTCATTGATTATAATATAATGAATTGAATTGAATTGTTATCGTTGAAGTATTAAATTATCATTACACAGATATAAGAAAGTGTGATAACAACTAACAACAACAATTTCTACTACAAGACAAAGAAGGACTTGTTGCAATTTATATATAATCATCCTTGGTGTTATTATGAATCACTTACTCTACATTTATTAACAACTTGTATGTCAAGCTCATCTACTTGTCATGAATTTGGAAGTTTTTCCAAAGTTAAATTATATCTTTAGAGTTAGAGCCATACACAACTAGTACTTTCTGCAATAATTGTTTGTGGTTGTGTTTTTCTATGTTGCAAAAAATCACTATAGTCGTCATTTATCAAAAGCTTCTCCATTTTTTAGGTATATCAGTCATCTACTGCAGGAGGTGCCGTTCCCCTCTGTGCAGCGTCCTCGAATCCTGCTGCAGCTCTCTCCTGAAGATTTGCTCATGTTTACACAACCAGAAGATCTGCCTCTTCCACGCAGGTGTGCTTAAATATTGACTAGAGCAAGTATTTTTGTAAATTGTGATGGAAGAATTAATTATTATTTGCTGCCATTAAGTTATTTTTTGTGTTGTTTACCTGTGAATATTTGTATTTCCTCACATGAGATGAGACTTATAAAATCTGTAGTTGAGTGTCATGTAATTTAATTCCAAAGATGACCTAGAATTTAATTGATTTAAGGTTCTTTAGCATGCTATGTCTTGATTAGTAATAACGTTTGGTAATAACTGAATGCTTTACAGCTATTGCTCACTTTCTAAATATTTTTCCATATGTAAGCCTAGTCCACACATGGCGATTTGTCTCCGGAAACATTGTCGGCCAACTGTCTCCTTAGTGTTACCTTTTGTATCCAGCGATATCTCCAGATAGTCGGCCAACTGTCTGCCAACTGTTGGCCGAGTGTCGGCAGACAAATTTCCGCGTTTCTGGAGACAAAATACAGTGTTTTCTGTTTCCCATTTGAAGGGAAACCCTGCACCCCCGATATAATAATCATGTTCTCCTTGGTCGCCATACCAACAAACACAGTAACATTGGCTGGGTAGTGTGAGCCCAAAGCAGATAAGAATCTTGTATCCGAAACTGTGATGACAGACTGTCGGCAGACAATCGGCCGACTGTCTGTCAACTGTCTGCCGATTGCCCGCCCACACAGTAGGATAGTCGGCCGACTCAGTCTCCAAGTGTGTAGACACTTGATGAGTAGCTGTAACTATTTCCTTGTTACAGTGGAGCAGGGTTCAGACAGTTGCTGATGAACCTTGGTCCTGACAACTGTCTGATGCTGCTGTTGTGTGTGCTGACTGGGCAGAAACTGCTGATACACTCACTGAGGTTAGACGTGCTGACTGCTGTTGCTGAGGTTACTTTAGACACTTGATGAGTAGCTGTAACTATTTCCTTGTTACAGTGGTGCAGGGTTCAGACAGTTGCTGATGAACCTTGGTCCTGACAACTGTCTGATGCTGCTGTTGTGTGTGCTGACTGAGCAGAAACTGCTGATACACTCACTGAGGTTAGACGTGCTGACTGCCGTTGCTGAGGTTACTTTAGACACTTGATGAGTAGCTGTAACTATTTCCTTGTTACAGTGGTGCAGGGTTCAGACAGTTGCTGATGAACCTTGGTCCTGACAACTGTCTGATGCTGCTGTTGTGTGTGCTGACTGAGCAGAAACTGCTGATACACTCACTGAGGCCTGACGTGCTGACTCTCGTTGCTGAGGTTACTTTAGACACTTGATGAGTAGCTGTAACTATTTCCTTGTTACAGTGGTGCAGGGTTCAGGCAGTTGCTGATGAACCTTGGTCCTGACAACTGTCTGATGCTGCTGTTGTGTGTGCTGACTGAGCAGAAACTGCTGATACACTCACTGAGGCCTGATGTGCTGACTGCTGTTGCCGAGGCTGCATCAATGGTGAGTCATTAGCACCTTTTGATAAGACTGAAGGTCATCTTACTTATCCATGAATTCTATCATGACACTTATCTATGTAAAATATCATCCTAATAAGTATTTGAAAACAGATGAGGTTGCAGATGTCTTAAGGGTTCAAACTTAAAATATATCTGAATTGTAAAGATTGTTGAGTTTTCTAACTGAAAGATCAGGTAAAATTCCTCCTTTTGTATGCTTTAGTTTTAATTTATTTTGCATATCAATGATTGATGTTAATGTGTGAAAACAAAAGAGGTTTTACAAAAATAAGAATGATTCTTTTAAATTTGTATGTTGGTTCTTAAATATGCTATTTTTATAAAAAAAACCCTGAGAAAATATGATTTCTCATTAAAAAATATTACAAAGCCTCTAAAAACTCTGGAGATGTCTACAATACCTTTTGAGGCGAAATCATCTTCACAATCGAGGATGATGATCATGATTTTGCTGGTGTTGCAGGTGACAATAGTGATGTCCTTGGGATTGTGGGGGATTAATGATGGGGCCACGATCACAGATTAAAGTTAAGATGACATAGAACAGCGTGATTAATTATACAAATTGTTATTGTTGTTACTGAATTGCCATTTGCAAGAATTTTTGCTCAAGATATTGAATGCATAACTAAAGATTTCACTGGAAGATGGTCCCTGAACTGATAACTAGGAAGGAACTAAAAATCCGTCACATCTAAGGTCTGAACTAAAGGTATAATTCTGTCTATCCCTAGTTTATATATGAATCGACCAGATTGTGTGATACAATGTACAACTGTTCCAGATCATCTTCCCTTTCAAGTGGCAGTGCCCCTACATCCCTCTGTGTCCAATCTCCTTAGTAGAACTTCTGCATGCCCCGCTGCCGTTCTTGATCGGAGTTGACTCTCGGTTCTTCGACCTCTCTGAGCCTCCACGAGACGTCGTCTGTGTTGATCTGGACACAAACATAATAACATTGTGAGTGATTTTGCTAAAATAATTGCTATAATATTAAGTTTTTCAATTATCTTCTGTATTAAAATCTGCATGGTCTTTTATATGAAGATTCTGAGGTGACCACTTGTCACATTTTCATGATTCGTCAGTTGAAAGTAAGATAATTTTGAGAGGAAGAGAATGTTCAAGTCAGTAATTTTTATTTTGGGTCTCAGGTTTTAGAAACATAGTTTTTATTGATTTAAAGTCTAGCAGCCAACACTATCAATTTAAGTAAGTTTCAGTTCAATATATTTTAGTTTAACCATCGACTATTGGATACTGAAGTAGTCATCCCAACTGTCACAATTTTTTACTAAAAAAGAACATAATTGTGTCAGCCAGTGCCTAAAACTATGCCCTACCTTTTTTTTGTTGCCGACATAGTTGATGGGTCATAACAGTCGCTATAGCTCTCAATAAGCATAGATTCATAGCATTCCACATCAGATGTCATAATACCAGAAAATAATATTTTCTCATTTTGGCAATAGTGCTCTTTGTGAGTAGCTCATTCAACTAAGTTCTTTTTTAAATAAAGAATTGGCGACAGCTGGTCTCTATAGATTGGTCCACTTTGGTAGTTTACGATAAAGATTTTTCTAGGGGAGAAGCCAAGTACAATCTGCACATGTCGTTTCTACCCAAGAAGCCAGCTCGGATGTTGCGCAACTCTCTGGCCAAGTTGCACGACAAGTTGCATCTATTGTTGCAGAGTGGTATCTCCTCCGCCAACACCATAGATCTGGACTTCCAGATGAAGCGCAAAGAGGTACACTTCTGTTTGAACTCCTTATCCCTGACATGATTGTAGGATGGCCTAGGTTATATTTAACATAATTACACAAATTACACAGATACGAGTTCAGGGAGAGCAAACATTGCCATAGGCTTACTCTATTATTTCTATATTTATACATTTGTGGTCATTTTTGAGTTCCCGGTCTTATCTCCAAAGAATGATTGTCTTGGGGTTAAGGGAAGGTTATTATCGTACTTTGGGGAAGTGGTTTCATGCTCTAACAGGTGTAAGCAGTGCTCGATTTGCAAAAAAAATGAGGTGCCGAAACTGTAACCTATATAATGAAATTTGTGCCTCTTTATGTACCTACTTATGCCTACAATTTTATCTTTCCGAAAGAGAGGTACCGGAATTCCGTTCCGCCGCGATCCCCTTCAAATGGAGCACTGGATGCAAGTAGAATTTTTGAATATTTAATGTAACTTTTTTTAAGGCAAACAGCATAACCTCTAATCCTGTTCCCATTCAATATAAATAATTTGTTAATTAGCTTCATTAATTGATAAGCTTGAAGACATATGGGCTCTGGCATATGGGTCTAGAATTTATTCCACTGAGATGAAACCAGCAACCTTCAGATCGAATGTTAGTACTATAACCACTTTGCTGCCAAGACAATTGGTATGGAATGACTAGGAGCTCATTGTAAAATCTTTGTAAAAATGAAACTAATTATTTATTTATTTCGATGCAAAGCTAAGTAGCTGACTGAAAAGCATTTTATGAAGAGATAGAGTTCGGCTAGATAACCCAAGAAATTCCAATGGCTAATAGATATTGTAAACAGGTCTCATAAGCATAACACACACACACACAGATATTTTCTCCTAATTAATATAAGACTTGTAAGAATATTTTCTGTAGATTTTTACCCGCGATCAAGACAAAATATCCTTTGGAGAAATAGCCTCTGGATCGTTATTAATCATTATTAATCTAAGGCTTACCTTACGATCAAATTGATTTAAATTGTGGAGACCTAGGTTAGGTAGGAAACCTAGGACTCCACAATAAATCAATTGGATCGTAAGGTAAGCCTTAGATTATAATAATACAAAATATCCGTATTATTCTATGTGACATGGTATTGCGTATTTATTTATCAATCCTGGGATCTAACTTTTTCTGGTTAGCTAGCAAAACTCTATCCTTAGACAAATTTATAATTTAGTGTCAATCACTGCTAAAATTAAACTTTACTTCTGGAAATTGAGTTGTGAACTTGTTAGAAAAAAGGGTAATTTGAAATTGAGTTTTAACTTTTTTTAGAGATAGGAGCCTATGTAAAATTGATTGTGATGTTGTTTTAGGGATCAAAGTATTCACTATAATATTGTTTAACAGTTAAATTTTGAGGTGGAAATCCAAGAGGCCTTTCTGAGGTTCATGGCCACCATTTTGAAGGGTTATCGTTCCTATTTGCTGCCCATCATCAAAGCACCTACTGTTGGCACTACCGATACCAACTCCCTCTTCAATCTTAAAGGTACTGTGGATTTTTTAATGTCTATAACTCAAGTATATAACTGTTTTTTAAATATGTTTTTCTACACTGTTGGCAATTTCTAAGGGTTTTTGTTAAAAAAAAAGTTAAAAACTCGATCTTGTTAGTTGTTACTATCTAACATTGACCTTTGATATCTTTATCCACAATCGATACCACTAGGGGTCGAACGAGCAACCTCCTGATTTTACGGCCAGCCCTATAACCACTGGCCCAACATTACATTGTTTTACCTTTCCAACATTGTATTTTTGTTAATGAATTGAATTCCTACAAAAATTAAAGCATACATCCATTTATAAGGTTTTATCAGTATCTTTGTTCGTCCTAGCAAAAGAAACACTCTTTTATTACAATCATTTAAAATATTTTTTGTTACACTACAGCTTAAATGGTCGTTTCAATACATGCGTTGTGGGGCTAAAGAGTCTCCTATCCCTAACCACAACCGAAACACAGCCAAAAAATAACCTAGGAACCTAAATAATCGGAACCTAGGATAGATTAATCCGGTGTAGTCGTCAGCTGTATATTGCGGCTCATTGTGTTGGCAAAGTGATACCTAGTTCAAATAACAGTAACAATTGTGCACATTTATTAACAAAACTAGTCTAGATACAATTTTGAAGCTGATTCTCAAAGCCAAACAATGTTTTTATCCAGTTAAAAGAAAAGTGGAGTATAAAAAATATATTTATCAATTGCGCTGACCGTGTCTTTTCAACCTTCGCTCAATTCCAACCTCCGCTTTACCTAGATAGTCAATCAAGAATAGAACTTGAATAGGGGCTAAAAGTTTTAGCCCCTAGTGATGAAATAATAAACAACTTTAAACTATTGGTCCCAAAATATTTGCATTTACCGCATGAGATGTTTAATTTTTTACAGCCTTTACCCTGTCACGGGATAAGTCAGACAACAAGTTTTTCGCACTTATTGTCAAAACACAAATGTTCATACGGTTTATTGAAGAAAGAAGTTTTGTTTCCGATATGGATGCTGGGTTGGCGTTTTTTGATGACTGCACTGAAAAGGTATGTTCAACTTCATGATCTGGATCAACTCATTAAAAATATTATTGATAAAAAAAGAAAGTTTTTATAGTTGCATGGTATTGCTCTAAACCCAACGAGAGTGATGTTTTAAAAGAGAAATGTTTAAAAACACATTGAATCGCAAAGATTGTCAGTGCAAAAGAACGATACTTTTGTAAAAAAAATTTTTTAAATTCAGTTTGTTAAGTAAAATTTCTTGGTTAAACAGAGCAGGCCTGCATTCAGTAAAGAGGAGTTGAAATAAAAACAACTCAAGCAGGGAATTATGTATTGTAATTTATAATTCATTATTCTGTTGAAAAATTGTTGTTGTAAGGCATGATCAATTTACTAACTCAACTAACTGTTTTAACATGCACAAAATTGATTGCAGTTATTTGTATTCAACTTGACACAATATTGCTAGAAATAATGATTTGACAAATATATAACAGTATAACACTAATACTCAGGTATGGTTGTTTTGTCAAATCATAAGTAGATAACACAAGATGTAAATCTTAGGTGATCTTTTCAGATTGTAACTTTAACTGACTATAAGTTAAAATGTTTTGTTTTTGCGTAAACTCTCATTGGTCGTAGAGGTTGCTTGGGTCTTTAACTTAGCTAATGCTCATCAAAGAGCATCCTATCATGTATATAGGTTGTTTGTTATTTATATAACATGTTAGGACTTTTTCAGTCTTTTAAAATGTAATATTATCGAGTGAGTTATTAAACTGTTATCAATTTTTAGAGTTAGACAATTAATTAATACAACACATTGAGAAATTTGAGAGGCTACTCAAAAATCTCCGGAATAGCATTGGCAGAAGTTTTTGTAGTGTAGTGTTTTTGCTACTAGACCTGCTTAGCGGAACTCATTGCCAATTTATGCTGCTGCATCCACCTAGCATGTTATGTTGTATGTTTTTGCAATGCTGTTTAATTTGCTCTGGTGGCATTTTTTCAAGTGAACAAGCTGCTTTGAAATTTTATTTGCCCAAACGGAATGATAAAAATCACTGAATATAGGTTAATGATAGTGCACAAATAGCTCACCAAAGTTAATTTAATATTTTGCCCCTACTAGGGAACTTTTTCAGAAGTCAATGATTCTAATTTTAATTAAATGGTTTAAGTTACCTGTCTTTCGGGGATCCTACTGTTGTCTATGGCGACCAGTTTTTAGATTACAATCTCATCATCAGGCATCTTTAAATGTCATATCACTCAAGTTGAGGTCATCAGTGAACACCAAACAAACAGAAAATACAAACTGTACGAATATATACAACTGAGTACAGGCCGACACAGGTAGACAAGGTCTGTTGTATATTCTTACAGTAATGTCCTTCCGTATTTTATCATTTCTGTTCATGTTTTTGTGTTAACCGACGACCCCAACTTGAGTGATGACATTTAAAGATGCCTGATGGTGGGACTTAAATCTTGAAACTAGTTGCCATAGATGATAGTAGGATCACCGACAACAGGTAGGCTAACTTCAACCATTTAATTTTACAAGTGATCCTAAAGCACCATGTGAATTTTAATATACTAATTTTGATTATATTACTTTTCTTCTGAAAAGCTCCTGGTGAAATACTAAATGAATGGTCTTGTGAACTTTTTGTAAGCTACCCTGGAAGTGTTTCCTTTGGTAACTTAGTTGTTTGTTCATTCTTTTTCCCCTTATATATTCCTTAGCAAAGCCGGAACTTAGTGTGGGATCTACGAGGTTCGCCTGTATTTACAGTTTATTAATTATTGCATGAGGCATGATGCATGTGCATGTTTGTTGAGTCAGCTGGCCGTGGCCCGAGCCAAGACTAAGCACCTGTTCCAGGACGGGGAGGTCAGACTGTTAGACATGGACGAGTCTCATCACAGTGAGCGAACGGTTTTCATCATGCCTCCAGAACCTGCTGGTCTCCCTGTCGACAACACCTACACCTACGAGGTAAACTTGACTGTCTGTCACCATACACTACTAGTCTGTACAGTAAAGTACCGTTACGGTCATAAGCCGGGTTTACACGATGCCAGTTAGGCAAGCCAATTGTCTTAGCCAATTGTCCTCACGTGGTTGCGGAATTGTCGTAGGCCAGGCAAGTTGAACGAGAACCTGTTCACACGTGGCCAACACTTTCCCAGGCATTTTACAGTGAACCAGGGTACTACTGCCAAAAGACAAGACAGTGCTATTGGCCTCTACACCGTTTACACTGCACCAATTGTCACGAAAACTGGGTTTTCGAGGGGTGGGGGCCTCACTGGGCCCAGCTCATTGTCCTCAGTCTACTCCCGGAGACAACTGAATTTCGGGGCAATTGGCGGGCCAATACACGAAGCCAGTAATTTCAAGCCAGTCAGTTGTCTCCTGCCAATTGTCTCGCCAACTGGCATCGTGTAAACCCGGCTATAGTGTGAGCTTTCAGTCTTGAACCAGCATCCCTGGGGGCTTATCAGTTAAAGACGCTACCACTGAGCCACCGTGAACAGAAAAATTAATCAGATAAGTAATATTTCCAATATTCAAAGTTACAAATGGATATGCCGGAATACAGTGAGTCAAAAATATTAAGACAACTGTTGGAGCGCTTTTGTATTAATTGCTCTTCAAATGCTACCAATCCTTGATAAGTTTAACCTTAAAACTATATCTTTTGCTAAGACCCAGTGGTTCAAAATACTTTTTAGCTTTAGGCCTCTCCACAAGATATGTTTGCTTTTATAATACTAACGATACCTGCAGTCTGAAATTGTTTAAAACAAAATTGCTGTTCTAATGCTTTGCAAAACAATATTCAAGTTCTAACAGTACCTGTAGGGGAGAAAAAGTACTCGAGTATTGAGTAATTACTCATCATTGGCAAACGCTTGAGAATGGGTAAAGTAATTCCATTTCAAAAAATGAGTAAAGCAGTAAATCTTGTGTAGGATGATATATTTATTTAATTACATTTGTGTTTCTGGATACCTCATTCAACGAATAATTCCAAAAATGTAATCAATTTTAAATGAGTAGTTAAGTCTAGTTTTGGGGTAAAACTTTCAGTAATCATCATAATTTGATTTTATAATCACTCAGTACTGGCTAGCTACAGGAATAAATAGTTATTTGTGTAACTAGTGAAGGCTTTTTGCACTCGTGTTACACATTATATTTTTCCTACAGTCACTATAAAGCATATAAATAATTAGTCTTTCAAACACTATACAACACGTTTTTAGGTTCAGCTGGCAACACAAATAGGTGCCCTAAGTTAGAGAAAGTAGGACCTGGTCCGTATCACTCCGCTATTTTTCCTCGGCAAGAAATGTGCTCCCCGTTTTGAGAATATAGTTCCGTATGTTTTTGTACTTTGAACTGGTTTCCGCGCCTAAAAAAAATGCTTTAAAGGTATTTTCTTTTTTATTAAGATTATAGGAATGTTTTAAAAACGTTTAAAAGAAAAGTCCAGAAAGTTCAGAAATATCGAAACTATAAACACGAAATGACAGGTTAAATCGTAGTTATAATAGTCAATCAGCTGCTCATAGTATTATTATCTTTAAGTGTTGCCAACCTATTTCCAAGCGCACACGGATTACAGGCATAATAGAACCACGCTGTTTTGTGTTGTTTCGTTGGAATCCTGATGTGCGGCAAAGTATAAACCGTACGACAAAGTATAAACTGTACGGCAAAGTATAAATATGCAGCAATTAGCAGCTTTCTGTACTATAAACAGTACAAGGAAGCCAACTTTGTCGGGTGACTGTAGGAAAACTATAAAACGACCATTTGTCAAAAAGGAAGGTTTATAATTTCCAGAACAGTTTGAAATGTTAAAACATATAATCTATTTATGAAGCATCAAAATCACAACTACCAAATATGTTGAAATTCAATGTAATAATAAATAGTAGAGAAGTTAAATGTGAAAAATAGGAGAAATATGTCTTTTTCGTTCTAAAAGAATTAAAAAATTTCTTTGATTGACAGAAGTATTTTGATGTTATTGTGATAGTGGACATCTTGCAAAGTATGCACGGACAAAAACTCACTATTATGGCGTGATAGCAGGAGATGAACTTGTTGATTTCTTTCAGAATGTTTATAATCAATTTTAGATCTAGCTAATTGCTATTTTATTTGAATACATAAATGGTTAAACTATAAATCCACCATGTATCTCACAGGGCTTCAGCCTGAACCCGTTGCTGTTTTCGCACAAAGAGCCCAAGTCTCTGCTGAAGGCAGCTAGCGCCAGGGGTGGGGAGGGGGGGTTGGCGCCAGGCAGTCCAATGGCTCGGCGCACCAAACATGAGATCAAGTCTGCTCAGAAACTAGCCAGGAAGTACGCTAGCTCTCCGGAACTGTGGGCCAAACTGCTACTGGGAACTTGCTATAGGTAGGTATGCATTAGTGGGACATTCAAACCTTGATGTAATTTGTGAAAATTCTAAAATAAAAAAAATGGACTTTTAGGGATTTTTTTTACTATCACTTCTTTCTTCATCCTAAGTCTAATGGGTGTTTTGCTATTCTAATGGTTAGTGTATTGGGCATTGGTGTGAGAGGGATGAATATGATCTATGATCCCTATTTATTAAATTTCCGCTAATTCTCTGTGTGTTGCAGCATATGGTTCATCCATCTCCCCAGTCAGGTGTTGGCATCTCAAGGTCGTGCTGCTGCCACACTGAGATCAGCACAAGAGTTGTTGGTCAGATTACACAAGGCTGGCTTCACTATCAGGGATGAGGTATGTCAAGGGACGAGACAAGTTTGTGTTTCACGCTTACTTTCTGACATTACACCTATTCAAACCATTTTGGTAAACAAAGTCATATTGGTATCAGTCTGCCACAGAGCTGATTGAATTAAACAATTAAACTTAAGAGAATTTTATTAAATTAGCCTAGACCGTATAGCTGAGTTTGTTTCTATTATCATTGATGGGTGTGTAACTGTTTATCATGGCAGATTTGGTCTGTTGGTGCCAACATTCAATACATTGGATGTAAGACCAACATAACTGAAACTTAACTTACAGCTATGTGTGCGACATTAACTAAAACGGCTTAAAGCTATATTAACATGCTGCAGCCTGAGAGTCAGATTTTGGGTCATGCATTTGGTCGACCAGTGGATGGGAAAGACAGCTAGGTCTGATTAATTTCCATACTGTTTTCAGCGTGTAATTTGTTCATCTAGGAGACAAAGGGTTAACATTTTGTCTTGGCCAGCTACAGTGTTCAACACATCAGAAATTTACCTGTCTGTAGTAGAGCTGGTGAGAGAGGACCATTTAAAAAGAATAATGAACGGTTTGGGTGAAATTCAAGGTGATAAGCAAAATGCTCTGTCAGCCAGTGTTGGCAGTCAAGCTGTTGTTCCTGATGAAGAGGTCAGGTCTGCAGCCCAACACCATCACATATAGCTTCTACAACATGTATCTGCAAGATATCTATCAATGTTTGTGTGGCAGGTGTGTTACAGAGTGATGATGCAGCTGTGTGGAGTGTACAGTCAGCCAGTGTTGGCAGTCAAGCTGTTGTTCCTGATGAAGAGGTCAGGTCTGCAGCCCAACGTCATCACTACAACATGTATCTGCATGATACGTATCAATGTTTGTGTGACAGGTGTGTTACAGAGTGATGATGCAGCTGTGTGGAGTGTACAGTCAGCCAGTGTTGGCAGTCAAGCTGTTGTTCCTGATGAAGAGGTCAGGTCTGCAGCCCAACGTCATCACATACAGCTTCTACAACATGTATCTGCAAGATATCTATCAATGTTTGTGTGGCAGGTGTGTTACAGAGTGATGATGCAGCTGTGTGGAGTGTACAGTCAGCCAGTGTTGGCAGTCAAGCTGTTGTTCCTGATGAAGAGGTCAGGTCTGCAGCCCAACGTCATCACATACAGCTTCTACAACATGTATCTGCAAGATATCTATCAATGTTTGTGTGGCAGGTGTGTTACAGAGTGATGATGCAGCTGTGTGGAGTGTACAGTCAGCCAGTGTTGGCAGTCAAGCTGTTGTTCCTGATGAAGAGGTCAGGTCTGCAGCCCAACGTCATCACATACAGCTTCTACAACATGTATCTGCAAGATATCTATCAATGTTTGTGTGGCAGGTGTGTTACAGAGTGATGATGCAGCTGTGTGGAGTGTACAGTCAGCCAGTGTTGGCAGTAAAGCTGTTGTTCCTGATGAAGAGGTCAGGTCTGCAGCCCAACGTCATCACATACAGCTTCTACAACATGTATCTGCAAGATATCTATCAATGTTTGTGTGGCAGGTGTGTTACAGAGTGATGATGCAGCTGTGTGGAGTGTACAGTCAGCCAGTGTTGGCAGTCAAGCTGTTGTTCCTGATGAAGAGGTCAGGTCTGCAGCCCAACGTCATCACATACAGCTTCTACAACATGTATCTGCAAGATATCTATCAATGTTTGTGTGGCAGGTGTGTTACAGAGTGATGATGCAGCTGTGTGGAGTGTATAGTCAGCCAGTGTTGGCAGTCAAGCTGTTGTTCCTGATGAAGAGGTCAGGTCTGCAGCCCAACGCCATCACATACGGCTTCTACAACAGAGCTGTGCTGGAGTCCACCTGGCCCTCGGACATGCACAACAACAGCCAACTGTTGTGGAACAAACTCAGGTGTGTGTCATCCTAGGTTATCCTTTTTTCATTCCTCCAGGTTTTTGTTAGGAATTGTTTTTTACATTCTTTTAGGCTAGATGCTGTTGGAACACGGCATTATCAATTAAATCAAATCCATTTGAGATCGGCAGAAATTTATCCCTGGTCCACTGGGAGTGAAGTCCCAATTTTCAGTTTATAACAGCGTTATTCAACCTTATGACCTCCAAAATATACTTACCAAAAATCCACCCTCTTATGTCAAATTGATGATCAAAGTTGTAAAAACTAAGAAAGAAAATAAAATACAGTGTCACACTCTGCAAGCATCTCATACAACTATATTGTCTTTGAGTGAAAAACCTGTGACAGCTGGACCACAAAGATACTCTGTCAACTTGAGAATTCCAAGTCAAGGGTGCTTGTAGGAACGTGGTGATGGGCGCAGCGCTGTTCCGTCAGGCTGGACGCCGCTGTGCCAAACATCGTCGGCTGTCAACTGCCACAGAGGACGGCAACTCTCTGACAGCAGAGGCGGTGGACGGAGTGTCTCACACATCCATAGACAGCGCCACCTCTCACGACCCTCAACCTACGGGTAAGAAAATTTGTTATCAGTTAAGATGGAAAGACTAGATTTTGAAGTTATGAAAATGAGTCTAAAAGAAGTTTAAAACTGCTGTTAGATTTTAATCCAAATATTTCTTTCTAAATTTTTCAATCAGATATTACCACCTGCAAAAAATTAAGCTAAACGGCATTTTGTAATACCAGAATTTTTCATAAACTTGTTAAATCATTTTGAAAACACCTTCGCTTAGCCCCCAGGGGACTACATCTTTTCCTTGGGACTCTCCTGTGTATATGCCAAACTAAGTGTGTAGTGTAGCTTGAAGACTGTTTGTAGGTAGTCAGTCGGACACAGGATATGTCAGCTCTGGAGGTGAGGTGAAGGAGAGTGGCCAGACAGACACTGTAGAGCCAGGACATGAGAGTGATGATGATAGTGGTATGTCATTCTTACACCGTTAACTGGCTCAGGGCCTAAAGAGATCTTTACAGCACGACTTGGTGTATGGTGCCTGGGGACTCCGTTTATGGTTGTGGTGTCATGCAGCATGGTGACTGCTTTTGGTTTATTAACTGTTGTTTAACCCAACTAATCATATTTGCATTTTTATAGCAACTAACTTTTTGTGCCATTTGAGATTATAGTTGCGACATCAATTGGATTTAATTAAATCCAATCTACGCAAAATTGCACAAATCTTGCACAGTCTCTGTGAAATTGACTAATTGAGAACATCTTCCTTGGTCTTGGCAAAATTTTGATTACTGATTGTCCTTCCCTGTGATGGCAAACTCGTGAACATACTATGACTAATAGCGAGAATGAAAACATTTTATTGCTGTCTCAGCGTAATCGGAAACATTTTCTATAGTCTGCAAAATTTAGAACATCTTTTTTGGTTACGCAAAATCAAGAAAATCTTCTTTGGTCATAGACGAATTCTGAACATCCTGCACGATCACGAATCACGGTCATGGCGCGATGGTCAAAATGACTCCGCGGTCAAGGCGTGATCTTCGATATGACTCGAGGTCACGGCCTGATCGTCGGTATGATTTGCGGTCACGGCGTGATTGTCGGTTTGACTTGCGGTTTCGGCGGTATCCTCGGTATGACTCTGCGGTCACAGGGTGATCGTCAAAATTACTCTGCGGTCACTGCGCGATTGTCGAAATGACTTTGTCTCCTGTGTTCGCGGAACTATCATGAACATCTCTCAAGATAGCGGCATCATCGTCACTCACGAAGCGGCAAAATCGCCAACAATCGGATCAAATCCCGTCCCAAAGAATTCCCAAATAAAGTGTAATTACGTCCCAAAAATTGGGAATATTTTTTCCCCGAAAATTTTCTGAAATTTTGGGATCTGTCCATCCCTACTCTCAAATGGTACTACAATCACACTGCAGAATCGAAACATTCTTATACTAACTAATATCATTTCTGGGTTTCAGGCTTGCATAAAGGTATATACTAACTTTAACAAGACTAATCTACAACTTCTTGGTTGAATAACTGCCAGTTATGTATTGTGGTTTAATGTAGATCATTTAGCACATTTTACTAATTGTTGTGTCTTGATATAAACAAGATTTTTGAATGTCTTTGTATATAAGTTTTATTTGGTTCAATTCTCAAATATATTGATCAATAACATAGTTCAACTATTGCCAATAGGGTTTTCTTGTTTTATAACCATCAACATTCAAAATAAGAGATTTTTTTCTAAGTAGATTAAAATTATGATCACTAAACTTTTTTTGAATTAGTTGACTAAATGAATTTATATTACATCCGTTTAATACAGTAGAGTTTTGATATTCTAGCCTAAACCGGCCACAACAAGGTTGTTAAACTCAGAAAAAATGTAAAAACCATTATAAATGTCAAAACGTGATTAAAATTATTGAATTCATTAAGTTTCTCCTTTCTCCTTTGCCCACATTATTATGGCTTCATGTTCTTCTTTTCTTGAAATGTATCTAACGTTTATTCTTTTGAAGCAATCCTCACTGAATAATATTGGTGTACAATTCATCCCGCTCAAAAACTGTGTACAATTTCAATTTCACAGGACTCGATTGTGGGCAGGGATTCAGATAACAAGGAAAGTTCCAGGATAGTCCAAAATACAACAATTAAGACTCTACTGTATCTGCTGTAGAGCAACAATAATAATCTAATCAGAATGGCTTAGTAGTTTTTTATAATAATGTATGCGTTAGTGATTTTACAATAAGATTTTAACTTTCATTGGTTGCTAAAAAGTGTAATCGTTTTCAGGCCCAAATTCGTTGGACTTTGCTGCGTTTGACCGTTACCGTACAAGACATGGAAGTATAGTTCGCCCGTCTGGTCTGCCTCTGTGGAACCCGACCTCTGCTATCAAACAACAAGGATGTAAATAAACTTCTCTATGTATACATAGAAGTAAATACACAGAAGTGTTGACAATGGGCTTAGATAGAATTGATTCCGCACACTGAAGTGTGGTAACAGGAAATATTTGTTACTATATTCTTCAGGGCTGTGCAAATCCAGAAGTTTTGGTTCAAATCCGAATCATAGCTGTACAGATTTTATCGATCCGGATCAAATCCGAATATTTTAATTAGTCCCGAGTCGAATCTGGCTCAAATCCGAATCTCAAATTTACAGCCGTTATCAAACCCGGATCTAATCCAAATCTCAAATTTACAACTGTTATCGAATCCGAATTTGTAAACCAGTTCAACAATAATCAATTGTTATAAACAAAAAAATTCAACTAATAGTGTTTTGGCCTCTGGGGACATCAAAATGGAAAAGTATGGCATAGATCTTTCTGTGCTAGGGTAGTAGCTTCTTCCCTTTAGGGAAATTCACTAAAACAGGGAATAAACTCAGAATTCCATTCTCAAGTCATTTTCTTTAACAAGCATCAATCTTATAGTGCTCAATCAGTTGGAGGAAACAGGGGAAATAAACTATCACATTTGTAACTGAATGTTTGTTCTACAGTTGAGAGCAGTGCAGGAGTGTTGATGGCCAGTGGAGGGGCCGTGGTAGAGGAAGGGGGAGAGGAAGAGCTTCGTCCCAGACTGCGCTCAGGCAGCTTCTCTGAGTCAACGCCTAGACAGCCGCACCCTCCTCTCAAACACACCCCTACCAGTCCCAAGCCGGAGGCTGACTGCTTCAAGCTGCTAACCAGGTATGTGAAACACTCCACGCACAGTGGTTGAACATATCTAATCTGTTGAGTTTTTTCTAAGATCGACTTCCTGTTGTGCCTTACACCAGATTTTAAACCCTATGCCAGAGAGATGACCAGATTTTAGAAGTGTTGTATTGAAAGTTGAAGAATTCAAGAAATATTGTGCCTACTTAGGTAATATGAACAAAGTATTTTGGAAACTTCAGGAGACATAACAATAAATTATGTGGTGTCTAAAAGTTGTAGGCCTATCGTGATAATAATGATGGTGTAGCTGTTTGATTTTTTTATAGGTGACCAGCCACACTAGAATATTCTTAAACTTGCTTGTTTTTGTTATGTTTGAAAATCATACTACCACTCTTCAGTTTTCAGTTTATTCTAATCATTGTAATAATCCAAGCGTTCATTGGTTGGTTTTCACCGGTTTTAACCGTTAGTTTTTAACTAAAATATATGTTACTTTTATGTACCTTTTGTAACAATACATTTTCTATTATTAGATGACTAATTTCGGAAGATGATAGCACAATTTTCAATCCTCAAAAGGTCATTGAAATTCTTAAAAACACATCACCATGAAAAATATTTAAATACTAAAACTAACATAGGAGAACGCTGTTATCGTCGTAATTCTCAGCCTCTAAAATCGTACATCACATATTTTATCTGTAGGTCAGAGAGTTTTGCCAACGACGCTGGTATCCTGGCCAAGCTACAAGTGATGCGGCAGCAGGACTCTGTGTTGGAGAGGAACGGCCGTTTACCTCACACGGGAAACAGGCTCAGTCAGCCTACCACTGTGTCTAAGTCACTGTTCCGACGACGTGGTAGCCTCAACCTGCGCAGGCTGAAGGAAAGCACTGAGACGGGAAGTTGCGACTCGTCCACAGAGAACCTGGGAGGCAGCTCGACGGACGGGACTGGCAGCTGTGATGATCTTGCACAGACCAAGCGATCCAAGATTCTCTCCTCGCTGTCAAACAAGATGAACAAGATCGGTAGTGACATGTGGACCCGCAGAGAGGTCAAACCGAGAGGCAAAAGTAGCAGTGAGTCACTAAACAAATCTCCGATCAAATCTCCATCGAGGACTCCTGTGACGGAGAACGATCCGTTGGGTGCGTTGATGAGTGAGGTGGAGGAAATTGAGAAACGGACTGAAGAAACGCACAAGACCGTGTCTCGTGTAGGCTCGGAGATTGAACTGGACCAGTCAGGAGCACCTGTGAGTAGATTGTGCTTACAACCAATCTATTACTGTAATATACGGTAGTCTGGTGATTTGTGGTAGTAGGTTAGATTTCTAGAAATAAATGTCCTGAAATACAACATTTTGATGGTTAGAAACAGGACCCAGCTATCCTTGTCATTGGTATTGGTATTATAACTAAAACAGTTAAAAGACTACACAAGGCATCTCACTCCATTTGAATCTCATCATTCTTGTGTTAGGATTTTATGTGGGGTGGTTGGGGGGGAGGGGGTTGTGGTAATCCTACTCTAGCTACTTCAACCTGTTGGAAAAAACTACATTAGGGTTAAAATACCTCATTTGCAGCCCCACCTGAATTGACATAGCTTCCTCTAATACAAAGCAGCGGCAAGACAAAAGTGGCAACATTGCTGTCCTGGCAAACCGAAACAGCTGTTGTACTAATTTATGATGAAGCATCTGCACAAAGTATATGTTTACACGTTTATTATTACTGTTTTACCTTGAAAACAGGCTGGCCAGTGTAAGCTTGTCTTATAAGCTATGCAGGATACAATTCACTTACCTCACACATTAGACAATTTTATTTGTATTAAAATGGTTTAAGATAACCTATTTCCGTCTGTGATCCTACATTTGTTGTATAGAGCAACCGGTTTCAAGGTTATAACCTCATCATCAGGATCTTGTTGTCACTCTTGCGAGATCGTTGAGTTTTACAAACACACAAAAACACTAACATTTAAATAAATAAACACGAGACATTGACAGACGAAGACGATTAAAATAAATTCGGGAACTAGTTCCCAAAGTCATCACTAAACGTCTGCCCGTGCCGCGTCGTGTATGGAACTGGTTCCCGAATTTATGTAAACCATCTTCGTCTGTCAATGTCTTGTGTTCATTTATTTAAATGTTAGTGTTTTTGTGTGTTTGTAAAACTCGACGATCTCGCAAGAGTGACAACAAGAGCCTGATGATGAGGTTATAACCTTGAAACCGGTTGTTGAAACTGGTATAGGTATAAAATTCATATTGATGTTCTTTGATCACAGACGGAAACAGGTAATCTTATACCATTTTAATATTCAAGAAGTGATCCTGGACCAAAGAACATCTATATGAATTTTATTTGTAGTCATAATCAATTGACATGATGCTTTATAGGTTGTCAATGGACTTTCACTCATATTTTTGTAGGTGTTGTTTGATCGCCGCAAGACGGAGTGGGGAGGGGTAAAACGCAGCGCTACGTTCCACGACCAAGGGGATGAGGAGAGCGATGATGAGGATAGTCGCAACACTGAATCTCGGCCTAGAGGTTATTATTTACTTACCATTCTTTTTTACATCAATTCGAAGAGAATGTCAACAAAATTATTCCTATGATGAAACTGGATGGCAAAATTGAAAAAAGTAGTGTTTTGTATAAATCAGATCACTGTAAAGTTTCTCTTAATTAAGTGATAATCTGAGAATGTATTTTTTTTATGTAGTTTTAAAATAAAAAAAAATATTGTAGAGCTCTAAGAGTATACACAGTTTTCTTAACTGAACATGATGAATGTTTTGCCTGTTTTTTAACTATACACTATGCCATTACATAATTTAACTACTGTGTTGATCTTTTTGAACACTTTTCTTTTTGATCAAAGTATTCTTCAAGAGTTCTCCAATTGAGAATTTGACACTATGTCCTTTTGAAAAACTACAGGAAACTCGTTATATTTTTTTGTAATCAAAAGCTAAACTGTTAATTTTAACATTTTAGCTTGTTCTTTATGATTATGTTATGACTAAGTGTTCTTGTAGGTAACGGAAGGAAGAGTATGCAGAGGTCATCGACCATGCCCATAGACGATAACCCTACGCAAAGTCCTCTTAGTGCTCTCGGGTCAACGTTCAAACTACCCTTCGCGTGAGTATATTACACCCCTCGTTCCTGACCCCTTAGTGTTCACTGATGCTTTCCAAGCCAGGTTTTTGCATTTTTCACAACTTATAAAAACATGATAACAAGTTTTGAAATTATTTGTAACAATAATAATTGTAGAATGTGCTAGGATGTGTGCGTACTTTTCTTCTGATGGATTTTGAATTAACAATCCTAATGGCAATGAGCTTTATGTGTTTAATTGCCACCAATAAAAATAATTGCCAGCATAAAGGGAAAAATAGAGGATGATAACATTTGGTATCAAAAAACTAAATTTCATTTGATTTCGTCATGTGACGTGGCATATAGCCTACTTAAAATCCATCCTAACCCAAAAAAATTGTGATGACAAGGTAATGCATTAAAAATTGATATTGTCGTCTAAGAAAGGAGTGGTTATAGTTAAGTGTGAATTAAATTAAATTAGTATCAAAACAGTTTCACTTTTAAGATAAATATTTCTCTCTAGGATTTAGAATGTTTAAAGCTATTCTGAATCATTATGTCTTATATTTTTTTAAATTTAGATCTCTTATGATTTTGGTTAATTGATTAATTTTTTCGTAACTTCATATTTTTTTCGTTCATATTGGTCACTGTTTGTACTTTAATTCCTTACTGTATATACACCATTTCACTTTGCTTTTGTTAAATAATTAATACTAGAGGTCGTCTAGTGGTGGAAAACTCAACCAAAAATATGTAATGTACAAACTTATCTATTTTCACCCCACACTGTAAATAAAACATGTGATTAGAATTTCTTCCATTTGTTTTGATTTTCTGTTAAAATTTCATTTTTTGTCACCAGCATGACAATCATTTTTTAAAATTTAAAATTAATGTTTTGCTTATTTTTTAGCCTATTTTAATTTATAAAGGGATTCTACACATCTACAGGAAAATATCTTCCTAACAATATGTGTAGATTTTCCCTGCGATGTACATGGGCTGAGAAAAAAGGTTTTAAAGAAACATGCTTGCCTATTAATATATAGATAGATAGATATTGATTTAGTAAATATGATTGTTGATTATATTACTGTTGACTTTAACTTACACCATACAATTCACAAGAGAATTGCCCAATCGAGACATCCTTAATGGATTTTTTAGTAGCTTACGGATATCTTAAAGTATCCTATTAATATTAATCTTGGTGTTTTTTGTATTAATTATAAAAAAATAATTGTTTCTTATTGATGTCCCAATCCTAAAGTTTTGATGCAAAAGCCTGACCTTCTCACCAGGTTGTCTGCACCATTCCATATTAGCACTAGATATGTCCGTGTGTACTTTAGTGCTTAGAATTAAGCACAACTCTGTCACAAACCCATCATTTCAAGAGTTTAAAGATATTTTAATTTTTTTATTAATAGAGTTTAGCCATTTGACCGGACAAATTTAGAGTATAAGAACTCTCAAAAAATTATCAGCCTCCTCTCCATCCAACAAAAACTCATTTAATTAGCAGCCATTCATTAGACGTTTGCTGTTTTCCATAAACTACCATTTTAACACACAGATAGGAAAAGAAGACGAACAATGACAGTCCTAAATAACTAAGGTAATTAATTTGTGGTTGCATTTGAAATAAGTATTTCAGAATGTGTTTACAGTCTTATAAAATTCTTGCAAACCACGTAGATTTAGATAAAAACTTAATTGTTAGTTCAGCTTGCAAAACAAACCGACAAAAAAGAATCTTTTCCTGTTCATCCCATTATCACTATCACTGTCTACGGTTTTAGTAGCAAATGTTTGTGAGAGAGTTGTGGGTAGCATGTAGCATGTATTGGATAGCAGCTTAGCCTGTGTGTATGTGTCGTAGCCGCTATTCCCCCTCAAGATTCAGTTTGCGGAACAAAGCTGCGGAGCTGCGACTCAACACGCAGATTATCGAGGACGCAATCACAAACTTCAGGTAAGTTCTGCGGCCTGTGTCACGCAAGCAATCGCTTACTTCTACTCGCCATGTTTGTGACTAACGCTTTCACACGAGTATCATTTTGTGTTTTGTATGTAGGTGAGTTTTAAATGTTTCATTTCCTTCGATCCTCGTTGAAATATTGTCTCCATGGAGCGATTTGGTCAGTAAGTTGATTCTTTGACTTTAAGTGGATAACTTATTGAAATTATATCTTTTATGTCACATCAAATATCATAGTAGGCCTACCAATAACTCAAGAGAAAATATAATTCAGGCAGAAGCATGTGTGAGTGGCACATTCAATTATGTTCTATTTTTAAAACAAGTTGGCTACAGCTGGTTAATACGAATGGGATGTCTTGTTCCGTGTCCAAAAGACCGCTAATTTAATTATAAGTACAGTAGAGTCACACTATTTAAAAACTTGATTTTAAAATAAACATAACCCCACAGGATCAAACAAAATATTTGTGTAACTAGTGCGCTAAGTGGCACTTTGCTGCACATGAGAGAAATGTTTACGCACAAGCCGCAGCTAAGTTTGTTTATGCACAAGTGTGGAAAGTTTCTCGATTGCAGCAAAGGCACTTGGCGCTCGTGTTACACATAATTTTCCTACAGTTACTCTAAAGCAAATACTTAACATCACATTTTAGGTCAAATCCAAGCGTTGAACGAAAATAGAATGTTAACACAAAACAACAGGTTAAGTCGTAGTATAAAAATTCAAAAGGCTGTGAATCGCTGCACCAGCTGATTGTAGTCATAGTATCTTTAAGTGTTGCCAACTTATTTCCAAGCATACACATACTACCTGTCTAATAAAAGCATACTGTTTTTTGTTTGGTTGGAATATTGCAGTGCGGCAAAAAAATGAGGCGTAAAATTTTTTATTTAACAGATTTTGTGAGTTTAAGTTTTTGTTATGAATAAAAGTTTCATTTATTCAATAAAAATTAATAATTTGTCAGTATCTCTTTTTTAAAGTTTATACCAATGTCTGAACGAAATTAATTCTGCTCAATAATGAGACCACCAGTACTTCAGATTAACTTGCAGACATATAGGTGTATTTATGATTATAATTTAAGAATTGAAAGCGGTAATTTTAAAAGTACAGTCGGGTAATTTTCCTTGGGGACGAGTCATACTGTCAAATATTTTGGCTGTTCCTAATTTATAAGCAAATTTTAAATCAATTCTGGTGAAGAACTTGTGACTCAAATAATAGATTTTGCCACTATTGTAGTTTGTAATTTTAAGTTTAAAATAAACAAATAAAATTATTACTATTCAGGTTAAGTAACATTTGGAGTTTTATTTTATTTTTTCAATCATTCTATTTATAATCAGCCTGAGCCAGAGCTCCCGTTTATTTATGGCATTCCATTGCTTCTCTTTCCACATCCTCACGTCAGGTAAGAAAATCACAATCGTGGGAAATGACGATGTTGGCTAGATCAGGGGATGATCTTGGATATTGCTGTAATTGTGAGAGATTATTACGAAGTTGATAAGATTTCACCAATCCTCACAAATGTTGGGTGACTCGATAACACATAGAAAAACAACACTCGAGACTGTCATAGAAAAACAATCAACATAATAAAGTCAATTGTTAATTAATCACATAAAAAATGTTTTTCAATTTGGTACACACAATGTAATCGACCATATTCAAATAATGGGAAACTTGCGTGATTCTGTCACATATTCTAAGTAAGACGTTGTGCTGCAGTCCGAGCCACTTGACCAGTAAGAAGTCCAATGAGTTGCTGCTCGGAGGTCTCCACAGCCTCAAGACCGCAGCTAACAGTATGGCCAAGAAGTTTGATGAAATCAAGGAGGCCATATCTGCCAACAGCACTCCTGTCAAGACCAGTAGCTTGTGAGTTGTCTCCTAAAAATTTGACAGAGTTTGTTTGTTTTTAAAAATATCTTCTTAGTATTGGCCAGTAGCTTAACATTTGCTAACCAGTAGCATTGCAAACTTATGGTTGTTGACTTTAAAACAACTTTTAACAAGCAATTATTCAATATTTGCGGAAATAAGAATCTTAAAAGTATCCAGTTTTGTGCTGTGTTTTGTATATTCTCTCGCTAACTTGTCAAAACAACGTTCAATTCAAATTTTGTTTAAAATTAAAATATAAGACGCATTGCCTCTGAAATGAGTACCGGTTCCTTAAGATTACTCTTGATATCTTTGTGTATTTCACGTGTGAAATCAAAAGTCAAGCTGACATTGTTTGGTTGTGTCGCAGACTGAGTGTGGACACTGATGAAGGAGAGGATGAGCAGCTGCCTCGTCGCAAGATATCTTCGGAGACTGTGACACAACACTTGGACTCCTGGAGTTACAACTTGCTGGATCTGTTTGGTGACGGGAGCCGCAAAGGCAGTGTATCCAACCTGCAGCCACTCGGTATGTCAAGTCTCGTATCAGCTGAAAACTCAAAAATACTCTTTATTCAGTCTTATCGAAAATATTGATCAATTTGAGAGTCTTTCCAAAACCAAAACAGCTTCCTGTAACAATTGTGGAAATGTCAATAATTTTTACATAGGAGGGCATGAAATAATAAACCAGAAAGGTCAAATGTTGCAAAACACTTATTAGAAAATAACTTTAGATGACCTAAAGTAACTTGACCTGTCTTTGGGATGGATTGAATTAACCTTCCTCGCTAGTACTTTGCTCAATCACATTCACATTAAGGTGGTTGGATGTAACTTCTGGAGATTAGAACAGGCAATGGTAGACAATTGGTCATGTAGCTGACGTGGAAAGTGTCGAACTGACTCGCTTAGTTGATGAGGTGAGTGGTTATCGTGCTCACCTGGTGGTCAAAAGTTTACCATTTCGATTAGGAGAAAGGTTAGTAGTTTTTTGATGGTTCGAAACTAGGCCCAGCTGTCCTTGATTATTGGACTTTTAATAAATGTTCTTGACTAATAAAATAGCGGCTCTTAGTCAGCAACAAACCTACTCAAGGCTTCTCATTCCATTATAAATATTCCTTGCAATCTTATTCAGCTTAAAATATGCACCTTAGTGTGCGTCTCTGTCTCAAAGAATTGATAACTGATAATTAATTGCCCTTTGATGGCGCCGGTAAATTCCATAGTCTTAATTGTACTGTAGCTAAGCGTCTAGTACCCAGCTTTGTGAAAGGAGGAATTTTCATCGTCAATTTTGTTCTAAGATTAATTAAACACAAGTACATTCTACTGAAGAATTTTACTTAATTTATCCATCAATCCTTAGGGAACGGAAGAAGCCATAAGATGTGTATTCAATTAGCATTAGGCCTTTTCACGGGGATCGTCAGTTATATCGGTGGTTTATATATCAAACTGTGTTGTTGCAGGAGAGACCAACAACAGCTGGTGGTCCCAGTTGTATCTGCTGAATGAGAAGCTGTACCCCAGACTGGCCCGGGACCCTGAACTGCCTCTAGCGCTGGACATCTCCATGACTACATGCTGCAAGTGTCATAATTGCGGCTCTGTGCTGTACGACGAGGAGATCATGGCTGGCTGGTCACCAGACGATTCCAACCTTAACACTAAGTAAGCTGAAGCTTAAATTCATCGTAACTGTGCTAGAATAAATGTAGTGTTTCTTAGGCCTACCCAGAAGTAATAAGATTATTTTCAAAAGATTGTTTTTATTAAATTAGGTTTAATAGTTCAATTCTGTAATGACTAAGTTCTGCTTCTATTATAAATATGATAGATTTCCACCATTTGTGCATGATGAAAGGTGTTCATGGCTGGGGTACCCCACCTGCTGGTAGCGTCATGTTGTCCTGTTCGGGATTGCATTGCACACTTTTTAATGTCTTTAGAAATAGTTTATGTAGCATGAAAAGAAACTTCAAATCACTTCAAATAATGTAAAACAAAACAAAATGATCTTTTATGGCCTAATGATGAGGGTTGAATTTTGTTTGAAATCTAAATATATAAAAGGCAAAGCCCTCAGTGACTGACTCACTCACTCACTCATCACTAATTCTCCCACTTCCCATTTACCTAGGAGGCTGAAATTCAGTACACCGATTCTTTAGGCATTAAATAGGAAAACTAAGTAGTTTTTATTCTGATCGGGCTTTCGGGCTCCACCCCAGTGGCTCTGAAGTTTCCCATGTTAACCTTATGATTTTTCATATTTAAAAGGAATTTCTTAACAGGTGTTTCAATTAAACAAGTTGGTTCTGTTCTATGATGTTCAATAGCATTAAAGTTACAAGGATTACCAACAGGGTGCAGCACTATTATTTTTTTTAAAATTTATGACTACAGCCAATTTGCAACCAAAAGGTGAGTGAGCGTAGCGAACGAACTTCAACCTGGAAGCGAGTTAGCGTAGCGAACGAGCTAACCTAAAGGTGAGTGAGCGTAGCGAACGAACTTCAACCAGGACGTGATTGAGCCATGCGAACGAGCTCACTTGTGAAGTTAAACGGGGCAAAGCCCGCGGGTACAGCTAGTTAAATATATAAAGTTATAGAACGGTATAGCGGTGAGCGCATTGCTGCATGAAAAGAGTGACTTATTGTCGAGAAGAGTAGTAGCAGACTGTGCCACGGCCAGACATCGTACGATGGAAAATTACAAAGGTCCGGAAATTCCTTTCTTATCATCCAGGAACAGGCTACTGAAACTCAGGACAATGGAACATGTGCGTTCAAATGAAATAAAATATTACTAAACGAAAATGGATATCTAACAGTAACTATAATATTCCTTACCATATCAAAAATCACCAGTTGCATAAATGTATACTAAATGCACTCTTTGTTGTGTAGGTGTGTTTTTTGTGATAAGGAGACAGTTCCGTTCCTCAACGTCACTGGGCTCGACTATAGAAACTGTTCAATCATGGTGTGCAAAACCAGCGTTGAAAGTCTTGACAAGTCCGTTACAGGTTTGTAAAGTATATTTTTTACTTTCACTCTTGTTTAGTATTCCTTGACCAAGAGATATTCTTGATCATCGTTTATTCTGTGCTTACAACGTAATGGTCAAATTTCTCATGATGTGAATTCATGAATTCATGATGTAGCTCCTGAACTGTTTAATTTGACAAATATAAGGTATCTTTACGTCAACAGTTTAAATGTGACATTTGAACTTTTGACGTAAGGTATGTACCTTATATTTGTCTGTTTTATACTTAGGTGTGACTCATTGTAGGTTTCAAGATCCAATCATAAAAATTCAGCTGATTAAATTCTCAATTTGAATACTTCTTGGGATTTGAATAAGCGGACCTTTGACTAAATGCAGAACTAGAGTTAAAGCCAGTATTAGTAATTAAGAAGAGTTAGGAAGTTGATTGAGCCACCAAATGATTGCGTTGATGTTTTCTATCGAATGCTAACTTTTCAATGGTGCCAAAAACGGTGAAATCACTTATTGTAAGCCATAGGCTATGATCTTTTATAGCACAACTATCACAGTAGCAAAAACTAATGGAGAAAATATAATTTTATACTATAGCTTAACACATTCACTGCCTATCCTATGACGAGTAATCTCGTCACCGCAAGCGCTTTCCAGTGGCGTGCGACGAGTATACTCGTCAAGTGCCGTTTAAAAACTATTGTTTCAGTGCAAGGTTAGCCACTGCCAAGAGACTTTGTTTCGCTTATTGTCCTAGTGTTATACTTCAATCAGGTAAAATTTGTCTTCTGATCCAACTATTTTATTGGTGGTAGGGACGGTTGTAAATTTACTGTAGTGTGGGATTTTGGCTTGAATCTAATGACATTTAATAGAACAACGTTGATGAATGTACTGTACCATTGGGAAGGAACCTAACCTCAAAATTGTGCTTGATTGCTTTTTTGCGGTATTTTTTATGGTGTATCTGGTTAATTCACCCCTGCCTTTTGCCTCCATTTGACAATACTGAGAGCTGGCTAGCAGTATTGTTTAGTGCTGCTATCTGTTGGGTTCTTATAAACTACGTCCACAACGACTGGGACGCAGTATATGCCTCTCATTTGGATGAAACAAAATTTAACCCTTAGAGTGCCAGGCGAGAAATAAACATAACGCTCAAAAAATGCCGATGATTTTTCCCAAAGGTCGCGCTAAAAATGCCGAGCGCGATCTGGCGATTTTTAGGTTAAAATTTCGTAAAAATCGAATTTTCGATATTTCGACCAACGAAAATCGATGTATCGCATCTAGTAACTTTCGACTCAATGTTAATATATGGGTTAAAAGAATCCGAGTATCCATTCGGTTGTTATGACAACTGTTCGATCATTACGAAACGTCCGGTCAGCCGGACGTTGGCACTTTTGGCTCGTTCTAAAAACGTCCGGTCGGCCGGACGTCGGCACTTTTGGCTCGTTTTAAAAACGTCCGGTTCCCCGGACGTTGGCACTCAAAGGGTTAAATATTTTCGCGCACTCCACGAAGTGCATAGATGATTGCGCCACCGGCCGCGGCCGGCCATCACGCAGCCGCATTGAACCGTCTTAATTTGTGATTGGTTCACTCAACTTTGTTCTGGTTTACATAGATGGGATGTCTTGTTGTAGGAGAGCCCGTGGCAGTGGAGCCAATCACAGTGCCTTACCTGAACCCTCTGGTGTTGAGAAAAGAGCTGGAGTCAATACTGCACACAGAGGGCGACGTCTGTCTTACTCAGCCAAAGTTCGTGGACGAGCATCCCATCATATATTGGAACATGGTAAAATCTTGCTGTATATCTGAGCACAAAATGGTTGTGAATAATAGTGACACAAACAAATAGGATTTGTTTTGCAAACCTGAGGCATGTCAGGGAAGCTACCTTTTAGGTAATAAAGGAAGGTACTCAATTGAGGTCCGCTACAATGCAGTGATGATTCTGCCTGTACTCGGTCTTTGCCACCTGATGCTGACCAGTGTCACAAATAAAGAGGTTAAATAAACCAGCAATGCAACACTTAACTTTAAAATTGGGACAGGGAGAGCATCCATAAATTTTCTAACAAGCTTTCCCACAATTTTAAATATTGCTGTGATCCTTCCCTTTCCAATGCCCTTATATGAGCATTTAGTAAAATTTTACAAATTTGCAAAAACCTAAGGTCTGTATTATGAAAATTCTTGTACATAAATGAAGACAAAAGTAATCCAACTTAGGCATTGTAAAAAAAAATTAGCCCAAATTTCACACTAACAATAAGTAGATACAAAAAAATCATAACTGAAGTAGACTGCTCTGCTCTAATTTTCTTATCACTTGGGAATCCATTGCCTCTCCATTCTTGTGGTACTGCTAGTATGTGACAGCAGTCCTGTCTCAGCTGACCACAGTAATGTGAATGTGCAACATTGTAGGTGTGGGTGTTTGAGAGGCTAGGTGTGGAGTCACATCTACGTGCTCTGTGTCTACACGCAGCGTCTGTATTGCAGCAGAGACAAGAGTCTCAGTTGCACCAGTCCTGGGTATCAGCTGACCACAGTAATGTGAATGTGCAACATTGTAGGTGTGGGTGTTTGAGAGGCTAGGTGTGGAGTCACATCTACGTGCTCTGTGTCTACACGCAGCGTCTGTATTGCAGCAGAGACAAGAGTCTCAGTTGCACCAGTCCTGGGTCTCAGCTGACCACAGTAATGTGAATGTGCAACATTGTAGGTGTGGGTGTTTGAGAGGCTAGGTGTGGAGTCACATCTACGTGCTCTGTGTCTACACGCAGCGTCTGTATTGCAGCAGAGACAAGAGTCTCAGTTGCACCAGTCCTGGGTATCAGCTGACCACAGTAACGTCACAGTCAAAACCCTCTGGGACAATCCTCGACTGTATGACGAGGTAAACTTGACGTCAAATAGTTGTACAAACACTTTTATTCTAAGATTAATTTTGAAAAATATTTCGACTAGGGGTCTGGGGCAAAAATTGTACACTATCTGCCCCATATTGCGGTGAAATTGTTAACGTCTTGTGCGGTCTTGGCAAAATCGAGAACATTACTGCTGTCATGACCAAATTTTAATCATCTTCAGCAGTTAAATCTGAAGCGTGAACGTCTTCCACAGTCACGACAAAATCGAGAACATCTTCCATGGTCACAGCATACTCGATAACATCTTCAGCGGTCTTGTCAAAATTTTGAACCCCCTTGGTCAATACAAAATCCAGAACATCTCCTGAGGTAATGGTGAAATTGCAAACATCTTTCGTGGTCTCAGCAAAATCTAGATCATCTTCTGCATTCATCTTGAAATTGTGAACAATTTTTGCTATGACAGTAAAATTGAGAAAATCTTTTGCAGTCCTGGCAAAATTGGGAATATCCTCTGCAGTCATAATTGCAAACATATTCTGTCATTATCATCGTCTCCCACGATCGCGGCAAAGCCATTAATTTCACTTGCAGTTGTGGCATATCATAAATTTTCAATCACAAATCTTTACACATAGTTTCTGCAATCGAAAAAATAAAAGCTCAGCCCAAACCAAACTCAGTTTGGTCCAAAAAAATGTTCCGGCCCCAAAAAATCCCTTGACCAACTTTTGGCCCATCCCGGCTTGAAAATATTGTGTACCCGCGGATCCCTAATTTTGACCTGTCATATTTCCACTTAATCAACAACAAAAGAATCAGCCTTGTCAACACACATTTTGATAGGTTTTCAAATTATTTTTTTATATAAGAATACATAAGAAGAAGATGTAAGAAGACATAAATTAAACCACTGTTGCACAGCAACTTTGCTTCAAATACATTGTTAGCATAAGATTTCAGGATTAATCTATATTGATAGGAGTAGTTACTGATTCAGTGTAGTTTTAGTTTGGATTTGTGAACCACCCAGTTTTAAGCGAAAAATATGACCAAAGTTAAATTTCCTGCTAAAACACAACTAAAAGTTTCATGAAGTGTTGTTTAGCTATTAGCATCTATATTTTGTTAAACCAAAACTGTGAAAATGTTGCCCATCTGCCGTATGACTGTGTCCAAATTCTTTTCCCAATACCTCGTGTTCACCTTTTTGCATTTCTGAAAGAGAACAATAAAAACTGAAAACATACTGAAAACTGAAAATAACCGAATCAAAACTGATTCAAAAAATAACCGAAGAAAATAACTGAAAACTTAATTGCTATTAGAACATATTTTTCAATCAAACATGAGATATAAATGAGCTCACAACTTGGTCGCTACAGTGTGTTTGTGTTGTTTGCTCCAGATAGGACAGCCGATGTACGTATTGTGGAGCCAGGACAACCAGCAAAGTTCACTAGTGAGCGCGCTCATCACTGACAGAACTACCATCTCACGCAGGTACATAGCATGAGCAAATTGTCAAGATCAATGTTGATTATAGTTGCCAAATTTAATATTGTGAAATATATTCTTATACCTGATAGGTTTCAAGGAATCCCCACTACATTAATACAAATGTTTGATGGTTTTAGTAGAGCTATTTCTTATAATCCCACTAAGTTAGATCTGTCCAATAGTGTGGCATAATCTGGTGCTAAAATTTTAAATCTGTCGGTTTGGTTAGCATTGTAGTAGCATTTTATCTTCTTTTTGAATTTAAACATCTGATGGAGTAAAATCACGGTTAGTTATATACTGTTTACACAGCGATAAAAGAAGAATCTTCTTCAACTGCAGTTACCTATGGTATGATAGTAGTACTTCTGTATCGTTTGAATAGACGTAGGTTTATACGTTGTACCAAATTTGATCTAATTCGAATAATTTATTACTCAGTATATATATATTTGAATTTGAACAGACAACAGACAGTGTTTTTGGGCTCTGAGGACATCAAAGCAACAAAGTAAATCAAGTCCAGGTCTTACCACGAGACCTATTCCCTATACAATATGGGAAATTTGCTAAACAGCCTAAAAAATAATGCTGTGAATTAATGGAAGAGTCTTTTCATCAGTTGACAAATCTCACTTGGTGGTTTCAGTGTAATGGAGCAGATTATCAGTTCCGTGAGATGCAACGACCTTGTGGATCCACTCAAGCGACTAGCAACCGAGCGGCAGAAGCTAAAGGGACGCCACTCTCTGTACAGGGACATCCTCTACCTGGCGTTCAATGTGCTGGGCAGGGAGAATATTGACCAAAGTACGTACTGCATTACACTAGTCTATTGTAGCAAAGGTTGAACCTACTTATTTGTAGATTTTGTTTTGTTTAAGGAACGGATATAGGCAAGGATTATAATTTTCAGAATAAAGAGATAGCACTTAGCTTCCCTTAGAAAGAGTTCAGTCATAGTCCAGTGAGCCCATAATTAAAATTAGATAAATTATACATTTTTCAAATCTTGTAAATAAACCAGTGAAAGGTGCAAAAGCCTAGAAAGCAACATTTTTTCCAACTTCTTTTCTTTACAGTTTGCAAAGTCCCTCAGGTGATAAAATAATTTGTTTTCAGTGTGTACTATGGCCTACCGATGCAAATTATGTTGATAGATTAAATTTAGTATGTTATTTTCCTTTTAATACTCAACATAATGGTACAACCCGCAATGCTGCAAATGCTGCAAAAATATTGATCCTACCTTGTAAACAAAAACCCAACAGCTTGGGTCTCTCAAAACATCCATCAGCTGATACGTATTATAAATTAAGAAAAAAAGTAGTGGGGGAACTTCCCGTCAAACCCTCTACATTTTGTGACCAGACTATAACACCACTTGCCCATAATATGCATTGTTGACAAGCTCATGAGAGAAAGTAAGTGTCAGATTGCTGATACTGTTTATTTATCTTCTTATTTAATCTTCTTATTTATCTTCTTATTCAATTCTATTTTCATCTTAACTAAATAGATCAATCTATTTGTAAGTTATATTATGTCTTGATCCCTCTGGTATTGCAACCAAAGAGTAAAGAACAGATTGCAAAATTTACTATAAAAAGAATTTCAGAAATGTAACAAGTGCCTTTGGTTCTGAGTTATGTTGTACGAGACTTGTGACTCCAAGCTATTCCCTACCTTGAGACATCCCCCTCTCCCAGTCTGTTTTCTTCTGCAGGCATGTGTTTGTGGACATGATTTACATTAACTTATGAATGTTATCACAGGTGCCTTTGATCGTGAGTATGTTATGGCGTACGAGACTGTAGAGACTTGTTGTGACTCCAAGCTGTTCCAACGTTGTGATGTCCCCCCCTCCCAGTCTGTTCTCTTCTGCAGACACGTGTTCCGAGAGTTACAACTGTGACCATAGCTCTTTATCCGTTTATTTATTGTACGCTATTTATTTTTGTTACTTATCCAAATAAGCCTTTTTCGTCCATTAGTATTAGATAGAACAATCTCTTTTTAGAAATATTCTCTATATATAATATAGAAATATGTAAGCAAACTGTGGCCTTTATCGTTAAGGTTGTAATTTATTCTGCTGTTGTAGCTGTTCAATTTCCTGTTGTGTTAAAGTTTTGTTATTTCTAAACATCTCTATAGATCTAAGTGTTAGAATGGTTTGATAACTATGAGTTTAATTGGAACTTGTATAGTTTATTTTAAAATTTTATCTTTTTACCATACAGGGTGTTCAAAAAATGAGGGGACATAATTTTCTTAGATATTCCTTGGGTCAAAACATTTGATATTTTTTACATGAATAGATTTTTTAACCGATCTTTATGAAACATGGTACAGTAAAAACTCACTAACTTGACACCCGGTAACTTGACAGTTTTTGTAACTTGACAGTCAACAGATAACAGGTTGCATGCAAAAAAAAGTAATTTTTCCAGAACATTAAAAGTCTGTTAGTTATGTATAACATACATACCAAGTTTCATAAAGATCGGTAAAAAAATCTAAAAATAAATGTTTACTGTATGTAAAAAATACAAAATGGCATATATCTGGTTAACAAATAGTTTTGGGAAAAATGTTATTCTTGATTTTCTCTTTATTTTTATCCAAGAAATCACTATGTAAATTAATCCCCACCTTTTTTGAACATCCTTGTTTTTGAGGATGTTTGATTTGCCAAAATTAATTTAGATTGGAGCAATTTGAGAAGCTTAGTATAACCTTTGACTATTTAATACAACTTCAGTATCCAATAGTCAATGGTATAACTAGGCGATGGATGCAATTAGATTGCCAAATATTTGTGATAAATCACATGTTTTTATTTTAAATTCATATGTTTTAATTAGAAACTAATCATCAACTTCAGAATCATCATCACTTTAGATAATTCATTATTTTTAATTGGTTGAGTTTGAAAAGAACAATTTTTTTTATAAATCTATATTACAATGTAATAAGCTAAATAGATTTCTATATTTTTTATATCAGTTTTTCGGGTATGACTCTGAGGCAGCACAAATTTCCAATCTGGACTTCTTTAAAATAAGCCCATAACACATGAAAATTATATTGAACTTTTGTCTACTATAAAATGTTGGTTCCAAAACACTAGCTCAGTATTTATAGGTTTCAAAATTATTACTGAACAAATTAAAATTAAGTTTATTATGTTTCAAAATATAAATATTTAACACTTTTTATATAACAATTGAATTAAAATGTACCTCTGATCATAATGTTTTAAGAGTTTTATGTTCCCTGTATGTTTGTGTTTTGTTTGCTCAATTTTAATCTTGTGTTAATCCATATGTAAACTATCTTATTGTGCCTCATAGATTATCTAAAGACTTTAGTTGTGGATTTCACTGAAAGGTGATATGTTATTTTTGTATTACTAAAAATAGTAAAAATGTACATAGAACTGTATTATAATAGCAATTACTATGCAGGGTGTGGCATAAGCTTATGCTTTGGTTTTGGCTATGTATTCTTAGATTAGCCAAGTCAACTGTTTATATTGATCAATTATATTAAATGTTATCATAAAACTTGTCTTTTTACCTATTTTCCACTGTCTTTACTGAAACAATTTTTTAGTATTGTGTCGGTTGCAATTTTTATTAGTTGGTTTTGATTCGGTTTTTGTTTTATGAATTGTCAGTTTTTAGTTATTTTCTATTTGTTTTAAATAAATGGAATTAACCGCCCACTTATATTTATTTATTATACACATTGGAAATATAGGCCTACATTTGTTGCTACATCAATGTCTGTAGACAGCTGTGTTTTGCATTTTGTTTTGTTTACTAAGGAAATAAGAATTAGAAAGTTGTAATCAAACATAAGGTAAACGCACCAGTAGCTGACAGTATAAGAAACTATACGCACTTAATAATCCGTGGTTTTGAATAAATAGGAACTAAAGAGATATTACGGATTTTATGTGATTCTAAATTTAGTGTTGTTTTCAAATTTGTCATACAAAAAGGGTTTTTTAAATATATTTTATAACATTTTTAAACTTAATTCAACCTTTGTACGTGTTCCAGTGGCTGACAGTGAAAAAAGTGCTTGTACCAGTAGCTGACAGTCAGTTGTCCCAGTAGCTGACACTGGAACTACATGTACTAGCTGCTAAACCTAAGGGTTTTATAATTTATAAGACGAATAAAATCTAACTTAATAATTAAATTGTAAAATCATGTAAAACGTTATTAAGAAAATTTATTTTACATATTTTAAAATAAAAAATATTTACATTAAAAAAAAATATATATTTTTTATTTATATTAAAACTGATTTCAACTAGCGTCTAGACTGCCAGTGCAACTCAGAGGAACGAGGATCAGATCACCTCCCACCACCGCACCATGTCATACGCTTCCGTTCCGAATCATGCCGGCACATCAGCATAGCCTAACTGTTCGCGGAAAATTGATATCACTGTCGCTGTCAAAACGTATCGTTTATAGGTTAAATTTAAATTAAAAATAATTAAACTGTCATAACCTAACCAAACTTGCTGATAATGAAAAACTCGAATGAAGGAACTAATCGAAAAAATAGTTCTGTTCTAAAAATAAAATTATGAGTGTCTCAAATTCAATTTTATAATTTTAATGATAAAATTAAACTGTCATAACATAACCAAACCAACCAAACTTGCTGATATGAAAAAAATTGTTGACAAAAAGTTAGTGCAACCAAATAGTTCTGTTCTAAAAATAAAATTATAAATGTCTCAAATTCAGTTTTATAATTTTTAAATTATAAAATTAAACTGTCATAACCTAACCAAACCAACCAAACTTGCTGATATGAAAAAAATGTTGACAAAAAGTTAGTGCTATCGACGGGATTCGAACCCGGCACCTTTCGATTATCAGCCCGACACGCTATCCACTACACCACCAAGGCTCATGACAATGCTCCGTATCGTTGCGGTAATGGTTGACGTCACGCCATCAGCATGAAGCGGTGGTGGGGGGGTTTTCAGATCAGATCCTCGTTCCTCGGAGTTGCACTGGCTGCCTAGATGCTTATCTGATTTCACGACATGTCTGCTTCTATGTCGTGAAATCTGGATAAGTTTAAGTTTGATTACATGCTTTAATTTAAGTTGAATAAATTGATAATTGATAATGATAATTGATAAAAGCTTAAGTTTGTATCAACTTTCTTTCTTTCAGTAAGTTTACAATCAAATTTATTTCCTTAGTAACAAAAATAAAAACACTAAGAAAATAAAACTCAGCTGTCTTACAATTTAATCAAAATCATTCACACTAGTTAAATACCCCCGCCGCAGTTAACCTGCAGACTTAACGAATGTCCATTTGCCTGATTGGATTTACACTAAAATGTCTCCTTAAAAATATAACATTTATTCCCTATTTAAATAGAATTAGTTTAGCAAGTACTTAGGTTTGCTGCAACAGGGAGGGTAAGAAAAGTTTTTGTTGTTTATAAAATGTTAATACTGTAGTTTAATAAGAAAAGAATGTATTTTCAAAATTTTTTCAAAATATGTTCGTAAACAAGCAAACTATAACAGTTGACTTATTATCCATAAGAATAACAGTAAAATTTTAAATTTACATTTTTAGGAACTTTCTCTGTAACCATTAGGCACATAATAACGCTTCAATATACTAAATTATTTTTTTGGAACTACTAAATTAAATGGTTTAGAAAGAAATTGTGAAATTTTGTGTTTGTAGGGTCAAAAATGGGAAAAACCTATTTTTACCCCATAAAATCCCCCATAACCCCCGTTCCCATAGTTCGATCATGCTGGTTCGCAAACTCGTTCGAATAAATGTAGGTTTACACGTTTGTACCAAATTAGATCTAAATCGGATCATTTTTGCTCGAGTTATGCTAACGGACATATATACATATATATATGAATTTGAAGGATGGTGTTTTTGGCCTCTAGGGACCTCAAAACGAAAAAGTAAATCGGTCCCGGGTCAAGGTCTTACCATGACTACTATGTATTAGCTTATTCCCTATATGGGAAATTGGCAAATAAAACAATTTTAAACAGTAATGTTTTCATTGGAATATTAATCCTAAACAGGGAACAGAACTAAAAAATTTATATATATATATATGTATATACTATACACATATATATTAATATTTGTTAGATTACTAAACAAAGCACACTGCTTCGTACCAGGCGCAATGACACCATAGCACGTGTAAAGTTCGCAATTATTTAAGGCCTTGGGCAAATTATATTTGTTTAGTAGAATGCCACTTGCTGGGTAATTTTCAGCATTGCAACACTGTACAATATTCCAGTTTAAAATATTTATGACACAGATGAATGTAAAACCATTTAGTTGAGACGAATGAAGGAGTTCAAGTATTAAACAAAATTAATTCCAGTGTTGGGGAAGCTACTTTTAAAATGTAGCTAGCTACAACTACTGCTACATTTCCAAAAAAAGTAGCTTAGCTACAGCTACAGCTACAGTTCCGAAAAAGTAGCTAGCTACAACTACAGCTACAATGAAATGTAGCTACAGCCACAATTTTAGCTACTTTTCCAAAGACGTTACTTTTTATTCTACGCACATTAGGTAAATGTAAAATTAATTTGAAACTACATTTTTATTGAACAAACATTTAATCAAAAAATGTCAGTATTGTATCTACCATTACTAGGAAAACAAATTATTCCTAGATTGTATTTAATTTGTTGGCATTATAAACCTAAAATTACAGCAACAGAACCAAATAGTTGGGTGTCCCATCATATTTAGTAATTATTTTTAAATACTGTATTGCATTTATTTTTAAGCATCTTATATGTAAATTTCATTAAGTTCAAAGGACATACAACAAAACTATATTTTAAAACCCATTTTAGCGAATTTCCCATATAGGGAATAAGCTATTACCGTAGTACTCATGGTAAGACCTGGACCCGGGACCAATTTTTTTTTTCGTTTTGAGGTCCCTAGAGGCCAAAAATACCATCCGTTCAAATTCATATATATATATATACTAGCTGTGTACCCGTTCTACGCACGGGGATCTTATAATATTCAGTTGAAACCTTCTTATATAACGAACAGCAGTTGGTTTGCATATTTTAAGATATGCTGGCCAAACTATTATACATAGCTTCATTTTATGTTGTTTTTTGTTGTTCCGGATCGGTATGACAATCAATAAAAGGTTAAATTACCTCTGTGTCTGCCGGTCGATCCTATAACGGTAGGCTTACTTTTATTTTTACTATCTGATCTCGTTTGCATGGCTCAATCACGTCCTGGTTGAAGTTCGTTCGCTACGCTCACTCACCTGTATGTTGGAGCTCGTTCGCTGCGCTCACTTTCCTTCAGGTTAGCTCGTTCGCTACGCTCACTTGCCTTCAGGTTAGCTCGTTCGCTACGCTCACTCGCCTCCAGGTTGCAAATTAGCTGTTGTCATAAATGTAAAAGAAATAATAGTGCTAGTGCTGCACCCTGTTGGTAATCCTTGTAACTTTAATGCTATTGAACATCACAGAACAGAACCAACTTGTTTAATTGAAACAGCTGTTAAGATTCAATAATTTCATTTCTCATAAGGTTAACATGGGCTTCCAGAAATTCCACGTCAAAAATCGACAAAAACTTGATTTTCAAGGGTTTACTGTTAAATATCTAACTGTCTCATATTCGATGAAATACGTCTAAAACCATCTCATATATGTATAGTATTTGGAAAATAAGTTTCAGGCGGGACAGTGCTATAGTTATTGAGGAGTAGTTGTAATAAAGTGCGTATTTTAGCGTTACCAAGAGAATGACAGATAGACAGACAGACAGACAGACAGACAGACAGACAGAAATTGAGATAAGGTTTGATTCGGTTTCTCTGACCTATGAAATGTAAAAATAACCAAAAAGTTCATTATTCTAAGCAATGTACAGACAAAACTCTAATTTTATTTATATAGATATATTTATATATATATGTGTCCGTTATCGCGATAACTCGAGCAAAAATGATCCGATTTTGATGAAATTTGGTACAAACGTGTAAACCTACGTTTATTCGAACGAGTTCGCGAACCAGCATGATCGGACCATGGGAACGGGGGTTTATGGGGGCTTTTATGGGGTAAAAATGGGTTTTCCCCATTTTTTACCCAAAAAACATAAAATTTTGCAATTTCTTTCCAAACTATTTTATAGAGCTTAAAAAAACAAATGATTTAGTATATTGAAGCGTTATAATGCGCCAAACGGTTACGGAGAAAATTCCAAAAAAGTTTAAATTTAAAATTCCCATGTTATTCTTATGGTGAATAAGTAAACTGTTGTAGTTTGCTTGTTTATTAACATATTTTGCCCAAATTTGGAAAATGTTTTTATTTCTTACTAACTATTAACATTTTACATAAAAAACACTTTTACTGAAAACTGTAAAACGATTATTTAAAATACTTTTTGTGTTACAGAGCCTAGCCTACTGAAATTGGAGTTTATTGCCTTTATTTACTTTCAATGTTAAAAACGACATTGCTATAACTTTTAACCAT